TTCGTGCGTCGACGTCGTCGCCCATGGAGGAGGCTGTAGAGACGATCCAGTAATGGATCGGGTCTCCAGCCTCCTGGTCCAGACGAACCTGAACCACTGTGCCGCGGCGCAGGATCTCTTCCTGCAAACCATGGCACAGTGGTCGATAGGTGTTGCCGTAGTCGCGGAGCCCTATTCTGTCCCTCCCCGTCCAAACTGGATGGGTGACTGGGACGGCTCCGTGGCAGTCGTCGGTTCCACGACGGCTCATTCCCCGCCCTTGTCGCTAAGAGACAAGGGCACTGGATATGTTGCCGTCGAGTGGGGGGGGATCACCATATATGGTGTCTATTTCTCCCCCAACCGGAGTTTGAACGACTTCGAGGTTTTCCTAATCAGCTTGGAGACCTCGATACGGCGACTAGCGTCTGGGCACGTCCTTGTGCTGGGGGACTTCAACGCAAAGTCCATTGCGTGGGGTTCCCCCAGGACGGACGCCAGGGGCGAGGCCGTAGAGGAGTGGGCGGCCTCGGTGGGCCTCTGTCTTCTAAACAGAGGCTCCACCAACACGTGCGTGCGACAGCAGGGGGGGTCGATAGTGGACCTCTCGTTCGCTACCCCTGCCCTCGCCGCACGAGTAAGGAACTGGCGTGTCCTGGAAGAGGTTGAGACGCTCTCGGATCACCTGTATATCCGATTTGAGCTCTCCCGGACCCAGGACTCCAGTAGGGGTCACGTGGCGCGGCGTTTATCCCGCTTTCCGCGGTGGGCTGTTGCCAGGCTGAACCGGGACCTACTGGAGGAGGCAGCCATAATTCACTCGTGGCTGTCTCCTCAGGCTCCGACCGAGGAGGTCGACGTGGGGGCTGGCCGCTTTCGCGATGCGATTACGCATGTATGCGATGCGGCCATGCCCCGCGTTCGAGGTCGTCGGCCTCCAAGGAAGGGAAGCTGGTCCTATTGAGGAAGCCGGGACGGCCAGCCGATTCGGTCGCGGCCTATAGGCCCATCGTGCTGCTGGACGAGGCGGGCAAATTGTTTGAGAGGGTTCTTTCTGCCCGCATCGTCCGGCACCTCTGCGAGGTGGGCCCCGATCTGTCGGACGCCCAATTTGGTTTTCGGGCGGGGCGTTCGACAGTCGACGCCGTGTTGCGCCTGAGGGCCGTGACCGAAGAGGCCGTGAGCTGTGGCGGCGTGCTGTTGGCGGTGTCATTGGACATCGCCAACGCATTCAATAGTCTGCCATTCAGCTGCATCAGGGAAGCACTCCACTATCATGGGGTGCCAAAGTACCTGAGGCGGCTAGTGGCAGACTATTTAGAGGAGCGTACCGTCGTGTACGAGGACCGAGAAGGTAATCTGAGGTGTCGGCCCATGTCGTGCGGTGTTCCACAGGGGTCTGTTCTTGGACCCCTCTTGTGGAACATAGGGTACGACTGGGCCCTTCGCGCCGATTTCCCCCCCGGGCTGGGTGTAATCTGTTACGCAGACGATACCCTCGTGACAGCCCGGGGGGCAAACTTCCAAGAGGCGGCGCGCCTGGCCACAGGGGGAGTCTCCCTGGTGGTCGGGCGCATTGAGGCGCTGGGCTTACGGGTGGCCCTAGACAAGACGGAGGCCCTGTTATTCCATGGGCCCCGTCGTGGTCCACCCCCTGGCGCCTCAATCGTGGTCAACTCGGTCCTCGTACCGGTTCGGGCCCAGATGAAATATCTGGGCCTGATCCTCGACGGGAGGTGGCTCTTCGACGAGCACTTCCGACAGCTTGCTCCAAAGCTGATCGGCGCTGCGTCTGCCCTAGGGCGACTTTTGCCCAATATGGGTGGACCCAGCGTCGCGACAAGACGGCTGTACACGGGGGTTGTCCGGTCAATGGCACTGTACGGTGCACCGGTGTGGGCGGCGGCTCTGACCGCCCAGAATAGGGTACGCCTCTGGCGTCCTCAGAGGGTAATGGCGGTCAGAGCCATACGCGGTTACCGCACCGTTTCGACGGAGGTGGCGTGCGCGTTGGCCGGAACTCCCCCGTGGGATTTGGAGGCGGAAGTGCTCGCCGAAGTTTATCGGCGAGTGGCTGACTACCGGGCGGAGAGCGGATTTCGCCCTCCGCCCGAGGATGTGCGCGAGTGGCGCGAAGCCGCTCGCCGAGCCACGATGGCTCGTTGGTCGTTCCGGCTGGAGACTCCACGCGCTGGCTTCGCCGCCGTGGAGGCTCTCCAGCCGGTCATCGCCGAGTGGGCAGGGCGGCAGCACGGGACCCTTTCCTTCCGACTGACGCAGGTGCTTTCCGGGCACGGTTGCTTCGGAAAGTACCTGCACACGGTCGCTAGGAGGGAACTGAGTCCCGCCTGCCACCACTGCGACTGCAGTGAGGACTCGGCCCAGCACACGCTGGCGGTCTGCCCCGCATGGGCGGCGCAGCGCCGGGCCCTCACTGCAGTCATCGGAGTGGATCTCTCGCTACCGGCCGTAGTACGCTCCATGGCCGGTAGCGACAGTTGTTTTACCGCGGTCGCAACCTTCTGCGAGATAGTAATCTCGCGGAAGGAGGCGGCGGAGAGGGCCCGGGAGGACGACCTCCACTCGGACCCGATCCGCCGCCGGCGAACCGGGCGGCGGAGGCCCGCCTACCACAGCCTCATGCCGCCCTGAGTGTGGCCGCGGGTGGACGGGGTGGGTTTCCCCTCCACCCGCATTAGTTTGGCCAGCCGCGAGGGGGCGGCGTCCGCGTGTGCCGGACGTCGCCTAAAGAGAGGAAAACAACAACATTGAGACGGAGCCCGCACCAGGAGCGGGCTGGCGCTAGGAGGGGTCCGGATGTCTTAACAACAGCTGTTCCCGGATCCCTCCTGTTACAGGCGCAGAGTGGCACACCGTGTGGGTTTAGTCGGTCCGAGTCCGACACACCACCCCGCCGCAAACCCCGGAGGGGGTGACGGTCCGAGGGGATTTCCACACGTTAAAAAAAAAAAAAAAAAAAAAAGGCGCTTTTAATTTTGTGGCAATAGAGTCGTCATCATGTCATATATAATTTATATAAGTATTTAAAAATGATAAGTTGTTTTGCGTATGCTTCAACAACTTAAAACAGTTCTGCACCGATTGCGTTCAAACTTTGACACGATGTACAAAAAGCTTCAAAGATTGTTTTAATCCTTTTTTTGCTACCACAATGTGCCACAGCGAAGCGTGGACGGGTATAGCAAGTATTTTATAAAAACTAAAACGTGTAACTCGCCTGATTCTATTTGATCGCGGCGAAGGGCAGTCCATTTAAATTTGGATACTTGGACCAGGCCCTTTGGTAACAGAAATGTTGCGTCTCATCATAACTCTCGAGTTACGTGCGTTCAATAGTTTCAGTTAAGATTTAAACATATTTATTATTTATAATTGCGTATTAATTCTAGACTTAAAAACTAGGAAGCACGTAATACATTAAAACGTAACACACTTACCTACTTATTAAAACCCCAAGTCCTGTAAGTTGCAGCACAGTTTCACTACCGCAAAAATTTGCAAGATTTAATTGTTACCTACTTAATTTTGATAACTAAGAATATCTTATGGTAACCGTTTCAATAGGAATTAGACATAATTGTGTAGAAAGAATAGCTTTTTCTCCACTTCGGTTGTAATTTAATAAGTTTCTGCAGGTCACTGACATTAGATACCAGCAAGGGGTTCATTAAACATAATGAAACAAACGAAGGTCATGCTGCAGACAACTGGCAGTCAGTATTTAATTTGGTTGAGGGTCGATTTTACTTTTTACAGCGCCATTAAATGTAAATATTTCATCGTCTGATAAACCTTTACTGTTCCTGTTATGTATGTGTGGGTTAACATACTTTTTAGTACGTTACCCGTGTGACTCATTTGTGTTGAAGGTTCGTACGCAAGGGTGAAATTATGTGTATGAACTAATTCTTGCTTTTAAAAATAGAAAATCTAACTTAATCATCTATATTCACATTTGCCAAGTTTTTTTTTATATCATTTAGAAGCTAAACTAAACAACACTATATATATTTAGTTTAATGTTTTTTTAACCTTTAGTTCATATGCTGGCAGGAGCTGGATGCGAGAAGCCCAAAATCGATCCTTAGATCGTGCACTTATGGCGTGCAATGGGAGAGGCCTATGTCCAGCAGTGGACTGCGATAGGCTGATGATGATGATGATCATGAACCTTTAGTGCATGGTGTCAATTAATTATTTGTTAATTGACAGATGACGTTACCTGTTACATCATCATCAACAGCCTTTAATAGTCCACTGCTGGACATAGGCCTCCCCTTAGAAAGGAGGTTAAAAAGTCTGTTACAGATGACATTAATTGTAGTATGCTCAATACTGCTTGCCAGCTACTGGTTTGGTCGCTTATATGTATACATATTTTTTTGCGTCTACGTTTGCGTTTGCGAGTTCTCCATATTTAATCAGCAAGCTGCTTTTCCGCTGCTATTTCAGAGATGATCATAACAAAAAGATACACAGACAAAAAAATATGTATTTTTTGGTATCTTTTTTTTTCATTTAAGTTGGATATTACACACTGACACTTTAATTTTATTTATTTGTATCTAAGGATGACTGACCGTTGGGAATAAAATCAACACAAAACAACAATCGTGTTTCGTCTTTGACCTTGTGGAGACCTTCCCGATGCTTGTGGAGTTACATGAGGCCTCTTTCATTCTTCTGTGGAAGGTGCCAGTTAATTTTCTTGAAATCTTTAGATTCAGTTTCTGCATATGGCACATTAAAGAAATTACAAAGGGACGTTCTAAAAACTCCTGTAGCAGTTCTGGACCGAAGATGGATTTTTCAACTTGAGGGAATGCCAAAAGTTATTGCTCTATAGGCAATAAGTCTCATATTTTCGATTGAAGACCACCTCATACTTATTTACATAAAAATGCTTAAACAAATTCTTTTAAAATTAGATTATTTTTTTATTTTCAGTTTTGATAATGATACTCTAGACGGAAGCGCATGGGATCACATTATAGAGCGCCATGACGAGCAGTGACTATCGACAGTATTTATTATCAACCTATACTCTAATGATGACTATTGGTAAGCATAAAACTTTGATTTTACAGACAGTACCTGGGTCACCTGCTTTATACTCTTTTCCCTACTTTATACTCTTTTATATTTAGGTACTTTGCATTTTTTTCATGCGAGCGAGTAGATGTGAAATAAACTTACACACCTACCCACAGGTGACCCGCCTGCTTCGTCGCTATAGAGGGCACTCTATAGCATAAAAGTAGAATAATTATTTATAACTGTGTTGCAAGTTACAGTAATGAAGTGGTTTCCTCTGTAGCTGGTTCTGTAAAAATACTAGGACCCCGGACTGTCTAAACAAAAATTTGGTATTTCAAAAATCAACTTAACAAAAGACATAGGTATTTATTGTTTGTCCAAAAAGTATTTTTTGTCCTAGAATGTTTCGTGTCTCTGGAACTAAAAGAACTACATGTACCAACGCACGTAGTACTAGGCACGAACGCACAGTTGTCATGTCACTGGAAGTTGAGTCTCACCGACACATTGTATTCAGTCAAGTGGTACAAAGACGGTAAGGAGTTTTATCGACACGTGCCGCGCGACTCGGAGCCGAAGAGGGAGTTCCCACTGCCTGGTGTTGATGTTAAGGTCAGAAAGATGTTTTGTTTAAAACCAATCCAATCCAAAACCAAAGTTTTTATTTTACTACGATAATAGTTTTTATACTTTGACTGCACGGATGGCGTAGGTAGTGGTTTAAGCGGCGGCCACACCGTGTACTAATACGCTGAGTGTTGTGGGTCCACAAATTATTGTTCTGAGTCTGGGTGTCCTTTGTGTCCGTTTCATGTATGTTTGTAAAGTCCCCCGCGACACAGGATAACTTCCTAATGCGGGAGCTGTCTCTTTAAAAAAAATACAACAAAAAAATACTCTATACCCTTTATTGTTGATATCAACAGAATTCCGAATCATCGGGCTCAAGTATAGTGTTATCACCAGTAACATTCAAGAGCGCGGGGCGATACCGCTGCGAGGTGTCTGGCGAGAGGCCGCACTTCCTCACCGTGTCTAGCTACGCGGATATGTCCGTTGTTGGTAGGTACTTTCTTTTTATACACAATGTTACATAAAACATGTTATTATAAACACACCACATAGGTTTTGCCTGCGACTTCAATGGCTTTAATGTAGATTTTTTCAATCAATTCATGAGAGAACAAAGGCCCAAGTGTGAATTTATTTCACATCTACTCGATCATCACGGTGAGCGCGTTAGCCGCTGCGTCACACTGAGCCCTCTTTACTTATTTCAGAATAAAATATAAAGCTTAACCCTTTTCTGAACTCTATGTCACGTACACAAAAATAATGCTGATTGGTTGAGTAATAAGGGTGAGAAAGTGTAACGAAGTAAATATTAACTAAATTATCCTCCGCATCCCTAATAATTATTGTAAGTACACAGCATGTTACTTTAAACACTATGTATTTAATGCAGCTACTATAATACATGAGCGCAAATACAAATAAGACGAATGTAAAGAAAAACGTTTAAAAAATAGACATAACCAATGTAATTATGTACCTGTATGTACCTACGTGACTTAACGCAATCACTTATTAGGTATGTAACATTATTCGTAGGTAATAGGTATGTAATGTTATAGCCGTACATATACATAACTACATATATACATAGAACGCGAAAGTAAATATAAAAGTCAGCCCAACGTAACAATTTCATTTTTTTTTGTTAGGCTTTAGCGTTCCTTAGCTGGCTTAACAGGAATATTAGTTTTGTGGACCCTTCGTATAAATGTAGGGTCCACTCTAACCATAAGTACGTTTTTCTTTAAATACTTTTTATTGTTTCAGATCCACCAAACGACGGTCCTGTGTTATCAGACCTCAATAAAAAGTATCACTTGGGTGAACGTGTCCAAGTCAACTGCACATCAGGTCGATCTCGGCCTCCGTGCCAACTGCAGTGGTACATAAATGGTGAGCCAGTTCCATCTACATCGTCACTGTCACCTATTTATAAAGTTTATGAATATGAGCATGCAAGCACAACATCGGTGCTTGATTTCATACTTACTGAGCAGCATTTTAGAAAGAAGGTTGTTAAAATTAAGGTGAGTAATCCTCAAATCGTGATTTAAGTGAAGCTGGTTTCTAACTTTATTTTTATAGTAAATTGAAATTCGAAGTCTATTTATATATAAGTGTATGCGTCTATTTATACGCACGAGTATAGCAACATTGTTCCAGTTTATGTTAAATCAAAATAAAAATAGGTTTTATTAGTACTTCTTAAGGCGAACTTGGGTGAGAAATATTCGACTTCCGTAGCTCGTTAAAGTTTGAGTATACGTTTTGATACACTGACATAATTATTTTGTTTGCAGTGCTTGGTAACACTTTTCGCATTGTATTGGCAAAGCAGCGAAAAAAGCGTGTTGCTCGAAAAAGAGAAGCTTCGTGATATAATGTCGCCGAATATTAAAAAACCAAACTCCAAACCAGACATCAGTGATAGATGTGGCAGCTCCCTTGTCAGTTCATCGTGGAAAACCTATTTTATATTTTTTTTCTTTTTAAAGATTTATTTATGACGTGTACCATAAATGATCCGTATTGGTTAAGAGTTGATATTTACTTACACATTTTTATCAGTAGGTATTTGTATGTTAGTATTTTTGCAATAAAGTAAAATAACGTTTCATAGATTGATTATTAAACTTAAACAAGTAACTTCTCTAAAGATTTTCAATGATATAATAATGATATAATAATAATGATATTCTACCACATACACACAACGCCATCTAGTCCCAAACTAAGCAGAGCTTGTACTATGGGTACTAGACAACTAATATAAATACATATATACTTTTTTTTTGTAAATACATACTTATTATACATAGAAACACCCAGACCAAATCAACAGCAAATCACACCAAATCAAACAGCAAATGTTCGTGCACACAAATGTTTGACTTGAGTGGGAATCGAACCCGCGACCTTTGGAATAGCAGTCCGTTACACAAACCACTACGCCATCCGGTCGTCAATGAGGTAGATTTTGATTATACAGACTAAGTTTTAAACTTTAGATTTAAGTATAGATACCGACCTAATTATGTTTAGACACGGGAATTAATGCAATCACGAAACTGTTATTAAATACTACTTTGAAAAGCTATTTTTGACCAGTTAGCACAAATCATGATCACTAGCTAAATGTATACATTTAATTATAAATTAAAAAACCGTTTGATGACGGATTAAGAATACGGAGTGTTACTACCCCTGTTCATTCCTTGGGTGCCGTTAGAGCATAGTTAGGGAGCAGACTACGCATGACAACAGTACTGCAAAGAGAAGAACAACCTGAAACTAACCCTTTACCAACCCGTCTGGCCAGCGTAGTATAGTAGGCCAAAACCTCCTTTCTAAAGGCTGTTGATGAAACGTAGTTGTAAACATATATTTACCTTTCATTCAGTCTTTTAAGCAACTACAATCATTTGACTGACGGCAGTGGTTTTAGTGATTATCTCACCTACTACTAATCATACTCAAATATCACAAAAAAATATTTGAATATGTTTAAAACTTTTGCGAGTAGGTACTTTCGTTTAATTTATTTAAATAAAAAACGCAACTGAGGTCTATTGCGTTTCTCGAGAGCATGGCTCAGTGGTCATGGAACTCATTGAGGTCGCAGATGTCGCAATGTATACAATTTTAGTATATCCACCACCAGTGATGAAACCAGGGATTACCTGGGATAATTAGATGTGTAAATTTACTAATAGATTGCCTGGGTCCGGTTGTTCTCTGTGTCTATTTTTAAGTTCATAATTTCAATTATTTCTGCTGCCACTGCACTTCATCCAATAAAAATGTTTATTAGATCTTATTTGTTTCTTGTTTGAATAACATAATTTATTGAACTTAATGAACGTAAATTCGTGGTGCCATAAAAAAAGCCGTGTGGTGTCGTGGGACACCCGATAGGAACGAAGTTGTGACGATCGAGTAAAACTGATTCGACACGATTTTAATTACAACGCCATCTATGAAAGCGGCTATTACCTACATATTTTTCAGTTGGTTTCTAATTAAAACAATTTATACATTGGTAAAATCTCCTTGAGAAATGATTTCCTATCTATTCGATAGATGGCGCTGAATGACTGACATAAAAAGTGTCGTTACAACTTTTCGTGAGAATTTTTCCGTCTAGCCCCCTTTCACAACGGAACTTCGTCCAATTATTTCCCGCGGAATATGATATCAGACAAGGATGGACCGCAGAGACGAAGAATGAGGGTTTTCTGAAATGTTCCACGTGAGATGGCGGCACTGTAGCGTCAGATCCAACCACCTGTCAAAACACACACAAGATTTGTATTTTTCGATCATTTTTTTGGTTTATTCATTCTTTAAACGTTACAAAAGAAATCCTGTTTTCTAAAATGCCACAGTGTTGTGCAGTACCTCTGTGTGCAAATAAAACTTTTGCGCCTCTCTTTTTGAGCTCAATCTTCAGTTCGGCAACTTTTCACTGGTCGTAATCCATAATAAACTCAATAACACTTCCAAATACATAGAATTTCACTAAAAATTATACGGTCAGTAAGAATCTGTGCTATCTGACAGCTGTTTGGACCTGACGCAAACGAAGCGCCGTCTGGTGGCAGAAAAAGTATAGAAAACCCTCATTAAAACATCTTAATATAAAAGGAATTCTGATAGCAATACTGGCAGAAAAAGAACACATGAGTTAGCGGAGACTCTAATACTAAAAACTATGTTAGTATTTTGTGTGATTGACACAGAAAAAAATAAAAACCCTAGAGTAAACGACACTAGGTTTTATATTTGTTATGAGTTTGGCGATAGCTTGCTTTTCTGATCTTTTTACGTTTAGGACTTTGAGGCTTGTGGATGCCAAACGCTACAAGCACACACTGTATAGAAGTCCCTACCTACTCTACTATCTTGCACTTTGTTTGCGTACTAAAATTGAGCATTGTTCGTTTTAGATAGTATACATAGTATATTTAGTAGTATCATATATATTTTAGCACAAAGGAGACTGAAAATTAAAAAAATCTAACTGTCACTCAAAAATTCTAGTGTCAATAATAAGAAAACCTAACCTACCAATAAGATTTCAACACTTTCATAAATCATTAAAATACGTTATAGATCTATCAGCAAAGAATGTGAGATTAGCATTTAGTGTGCAATAACATTATTATTTCCTTCATGTAAATCGGAAAATATGTGTAACATTGATCGTATGCCACAGATGTGCACCATGGTAGATTCAAAATCATCTTGTGATCCTTTTGTTGGTAAGTGTTAATCCTATCCTGTGGTTAGATTTGGGACAAATAAAATCTATGAGTATGTGTACCTACTCCGATACCTACACAATCTAAAGTTGAGTTGAGTGAACGACCGCGTTGAGTACCTATAGAAAGTCTTGCTGCTGTTGTTTGTTAGTCGCAATTTCGGCCAACAAATTGAGGATTGCTGTCACTTTTGCACAAGATGATGACACCAACTAGAGCATCATAATAATCTTATTGTATTTAAAAAGATATGACCACAATATAGTATAGTGTATTATGAAAGCCAACTTGCAATCAATTTTATTTACTGTTAGAAGGACAATATTTAGAGTCATAAAGCCTAAGCAACGTGACTATGTAAAAAAGCATTTAATTTTAGCAAAAAAACAAAAGCAATTTTTTTCATCTTTCCTAAAGTAGCAACATACGACAGATCGGCTGATAATCGAGTCACATTTTAGATTCCATTTTGTTAAAATCAAAAGTTATTGTAATTTGAATAATACGCGCCATTATTCAAAAGAATAACGTAAATCTCTAAAGAAAAGTATGAAAGAATATGATTTAATGGCATGTTAGTTAATTTTAATCTTTTGTCTTTTAATAACCAAAAAACAGTAGGAATAATGAGTAAGGAAAAATGCTCATTCTCAAAGATAAATAAAAATAATAATTGCGCGGATGGCGTAGTGGTTGGCCGTAGCCGAGTGTTGTAGGTTCAAACCCCACATGGGACGACACTTTGTGTGATCCACAAATTGTTGTTTTGAGTCTGGGTGTTCTTTATCCGTTTCATGTATGTTTGTAAAGTCACACGCGATACAGGATATTTTCCTAATGCGGGAGTTGTCTTTTAAAATAAAAAAAAGGAAGAAATTAGTCATAGAGCAACACTGTAGGGAGTAACCATATGCAGGCGTTCCCCTCTGCCAAAGTATTAGTCCACACGGTCATATGAGTACAATAAAACTAATTGCGGCCGGACCGCTCACTAGACAAAATCTTGTTGCGGTGTTGAATAGACGACAGTAGCTGTTTAGATTTTTAATTAAAAAAGAGATCTGCCACGTCAAGTTTACGAAAAGATGGCGTCACCTTTCATATGTAAGTAATTTTGAATCAAATTATTACTATTTACTTATTTTTTAAGATTTTTTAAGATTTGTATTGTTTTTGATTTGTTTACCAACACACACCGGTCGCCCTCATACAATATTGGGATCGGTTGAGGGACCGATCCGAGTTTCGTGTTGCTAATCGCTATCAACGAGCGATAGTGTTGTTAATAGTTTTTCGAATAGTTAGATATCGATAAAACTAATACATCCATGTCTGTCATGCATATTTTCATTTTTTAGATTTTGTTTTTTGATATAATTAATATAATTATGTGGATTGCGAGCTTTATTTTAATATACTTTAATATTAAAATGTAATACAATACTTACAAATTATTACTTAGTAATTTTAATATAATGTGGTAATAACACATTTTATTAAAATTATCAAGTGTGAACTACGACCACATTGTTTTTATTCATTTATTGCAGGTTTCTTAAAGATCTAAGTTTAAGGGCTTAATTCTAAAAAAAAAACTTTTATGAAAACTTATACCTTACCTAAAAGAAACAGTGTCATTTGCTTAGATCATATCAAGACCTCTGACTTTTAAGTGTTGGCGAACAATAAAAGGATGGAACATGCTTAATGAAAAAGCTAACTTACGGAAATGTATTAGACATATTTATACAACATTAATCCAGTCTAAAAACCAGTGTTAGATAAAGCTATTGGTAGTATCAATGATGATTATTGTAGTAATAAATAAAGTCCTATCTATATTAATATCCACCCTTGTATCATTTTTTAAACCTGATTTCCCTAACCGACTTCTCGAATTTATTGATCGATGACTACGATGAATTAGTAGTAGTGATTATAGTTAGGTGCAAAAGGTATGTATTTTTATTATAATGAAAAAAAACTTAGACATTACGACCGAGGGCATGAAACATCATATCCTATCAAGTTATAGGTATAGCTATACGTCCATAGCTTTTCGAGAAAATTAAAACAAATATGTTATAATTTTAAAAGGTTATTTCCCTTGTGAAACTGAACAATGCGATGTGTCATCCATAACCAGTTATTGCTAAATTTGGCTGAAAATGATACTACCTAACTATAAACCCCTATAAACTTTGTCGTCAGAAGAATTCTAACTTTATCTGATGACTACTACAACTTTTAATTCTTTTGTTAATTAGACTGTCAATCCTATTTGCATGACAATATTTCAAACACTAAGATGCATTCGCTCTTTTTATCGCTCTTTCACCGTTTGTAAAATTTTAAAACATAGTTAACAATATTGGTGCATATTTTTAAGTATTCGGAAACAATAAAATGCTAGCCTACAACACAAGAAGAAAAAAAAATCAAATCAAGGTTAGTGATTTCTCACAGAAAAATTAAGATCTCTGAAAGGGAAAACAAATATCGTATTAATAAGTATCTCTAACGTTTCTTAATCATGATTAGACTCATTAAATATACACAAACAGACATAACCGCAACTACAGACAACCGCAACTCTATTCTTATAAGGCTCTGTGATCTATTAGTCTAGTCCATAGCAGTACATTTCGTTATCTGTGTTCGTACTGTCATTACTGTCAAAATTAATACTTAGGGTGTGAACACACTTAGGAACAAATTAAGGGTCGATTTATATTTAATTTGTTTGAATGCATTCAAATTAGTTTTAATTTCCTTTGTAATTGTTAAGTGAAGTTATTGTCAATTGTTCCCAAATTCTTTAATGTAATCTTTGATACAATACCATTTATTAATATCTTTTGCATGTTACAATACAAACAGATACAATTGTAAAAGCTACTTTATTTTCGCTTCAACAAAAACAATGCTTCAGTAGTTCAGTATTAAAAACACAGTGTAGTCAATAAAACCGTATGAGATGTCTCAAAGACCGCATATTAAATCTCGCATTAAAATTTGTAACAAATCTGTATTTCATCTTCAAGATAAAAAAGCGGACGAGGGTGAACTGTCCATGGGATTGATTAAATCTGCGAAGAGAACTGGGCAGCTCAGTTTATGCAATAGGGGACTCGGTACAGGTAAGCCAGAATAATTTATGACTTTATGACATGTGGTACTGCAAACTGTGCTATCTGTAATCAATCATAATATAAGTCCTTACTTCATTTAGTTCTACACATTTATGTGGTATATCATAATATGAGAGTCAATACATTTTGTAGTTGCTTGTATAATACCTAGAATATTCTCAGTTCATGCATATATACACTTTTTTGAAGTGCTCAATTTTCTAATTAATTTAGTACCAGAAAATGTTTGGAAAATTGATGAATTGGTTATGGATGAAACAAAAGAGGTTGATTTTTCAAGAAGTAATACTAATAACTGGTGGAATGCTGAACCGCTAAAGACCCTTGACCTCGGTTCGAATGTTATAAAAGTTGTATCTCCCAATATCAAGTATCTGCAACACCTCATCACTCTCAAGGTGAGCAAGAGACAGGTTTCACTGCGTTAAAGTCTTGATGCTGTTTATATACATGTTTCACTATTATTCAGTATAAAGTTGTTGTAACTGGCTAGACAGAATAGCTATTATTAAATTACTCTTAATAAATCATTTAAAAGATTACTCAAGTCACAAGTATATATCTGACTACAAGTAAACATTCAGATCTTACTTATTTGAGAAAACTACTGGTCATATATGTATGTAAAGGTAAAGCAAAGATATATTTTAAATAAAATCAAACACAACTATGTACATAACTTTATACATATGTAGGGATCAAGATCAATCACAATAGGTTTTATTTACTTAATAACACTAACGGGAACGGTATATTTCTAAGAGCTTGCTTCCCTTTGTAGAGCTCTAGCCTTAAATTTGAATTTAGGCATATAATCTTTTTAAAAATTAATAGTTTTGCAAGGTAAGAGATAAAGTAACAGCTTCATTCATTAGCTTTCCAGTGTTTATTTATATCAATATCCAACTTTAATATAAATAGCAAAAAATGTTATAAAAAATAACACATTACAAGTTCTACTTTAAGAACAAAATGAACTATTAAAAGTGCTATGTCAGTAAATTTTGTTTTATTACGCTTCAAAAGTAGATACTAATACTAATACTTCAAAAGTAGAGAAGTAGATAGATACTCCCATAAAAAAATGTATAAGTATAACACTTAAAGAAGTATTGCTTCTTTTAGCTTCATGACAATGCCATAACTAGTCTACCAGCTGAAATTGGGGAGCTAAAAGAGCTCATGAACCTCAGCTTGGCTCATAACAAACTAACAGTACTCCCAAAGGAGTTCTACAGATTGACAGAGCTGCGATGGCTGAGTATATCTCATAACAGTCTTACAATAATTGAACCAGATTTTGGGGATCTAGTCATGCTTAATTTTTTGGTAAGTAATTAACTTTATCATCTTAGGCTCAGCTATATATATAAAAACTAAGTTAATTGCATGATACTTTATTTTTTTAAGAATAACACTCACTTAACCAAAAAGTGTCATGCTTTATCTGTCACTAGCGTAGATACACTCACAGCTTTAGTACACTCATATCATTAACTTTAATTATACTTGCATCCTCATCCCTAATAACACACATCCACACTCACATACCCACACACTCACAAATTCACACCACACCCACATCTATATCCATGTCCACACCCACACCTACAGACACCTCCCAATCTTTGTCCACACCTCATGCTCGCTGCCCAATCTCAAAACAAAAAGTACCCACATTCGTCGACGCATCCGCGTCCCTCTACGCGCCCACACGCTTTAATACGTATCTGCGCCTGCATTAGTACTGTATTAACACTCGTTTGAAGTTTCTTGATATACGTTTACGTATACGTATTACGTATACGTTTAAATTTTATTAACACTATAAAGTTGAAATTAATTTATTTGTAAAATAAAATCAGTAACATAACGTAACATACAGCAAAAATAACTATTGCTGTCAGTTGTGGTAGAAACGGCTTACGATATACCTATATATCACATCACATGATCACATCAACAGCCTTTGATAGTCTACTACTGGACATAGGCCTCTTCTTAGAAAGGAGGTTTTGGCCTACTCTACCACGCTGGCCAGACGAGTTGGTATAGGGTTTGTTTCAAGTTTTCCTTCTCTTTGCAGTGCTGTTGTCCTGCAGAGTTTGCTACCTATATCGTAAAGCCGTTTGATTTAAATCTTAAGACTGGTGGCAAATAAAATAGCTTATAATGCATTCACGCAAGGCAGATAAGATAAACTCCTGCATATAAAGGACTAAGTGCCTCTGAAACAAAAAAAAATATAGACGTCATTGCGATGCACGTTGGTGCTACCTTAAGTAAAGTTGCTAAAACGGAATGTACCTACCTTGTTCATTTATTATATTCTCTTTTGTATGGATTCTATATTACTAAGTATAATTGATAAGAGACTAGACATGTTAATTTGCAAAACGTTTATAATTACGATTTTTGTTCTCAGGACTTATCACATAACAAATTAACATCTCTACCACCAGGAATGGGATATTTGGTTCGCCTTGTGGAATTAAACTTATCCCATAATGAACTTCAGGAACTACCTCCAGATATTGTGAATTTAAGAGGTATTTTTATTAGATGTATATATATATATCTTTAGTAGTTCTGCTACCGCTAGGCCGCACCGCCGAAATACCGCACGTCATTTCTGAGGACCGCTCCTGTGCAATATCAGCTACGACTGGGTGCTCCGCGATGCCTTATTGGAAGATGACGCCGTCACGTGCTACGCGGATGACACGCTCGTGACGGCGTGCGGTAAGGAGCACCGAGAGGATCCAGCGACTTGAGGTGTGTGCACAAATATAAGACCTTGTTCTTTCATGAGCCTCATCAGGGGCCATCGGAGGGATCCAGTCTCGTAGTAGGAGGCACTCGCATCGACATCGAGCCCTCAATGAGGTATCAGGGGCTTGTACTGGGTCGGGATCCTGGGACTCGAGAAATCGAAGACCAGAAATCCCGAATCTGCCAGGTCCTCATGGAGTAAAGGCCGTGAGTAAAAGGAGTGCCGGGCACGCCATTATAGGGCGGTAAGACCCGTTATGGAGGATTGGCTGGAGAGGAAACACCGGACCCTCCCATACCGGCTGACGCAGGAGATCTCCTTGCGTTACGATCATCGGAGTGAGAATTCTCTAGCTCACTACTGTGATTGCGGCCATGGTACGGAGCGATGGCGCGGGAACTCTGCCACCTCCTGTTGCAGGTTTTTTTTTAAAGACAAGGACAACTCCTTTACAAACATACATGAAACGGACGAAAAGAACACCCAGACTCAGAACAATAATTTGTGGATCACACAAAGTGCCGTTCCATGTGGGGATCGATACCACAACACTCAGCGTAGTAGTAAGCGGCGTGGCGACCGCTTAAACCACTACGCCATCCGTGCAGTCATTATAACTCTCCCGGTCCGCCAAGACCCAGGAACAGGCCAGGTACTGGTGGCGGCTCAGGCAGCAGAGGTCGCTGAATGAATTCCATCTTGCGTAAGTGCAGGCCTGGGGGGGGGGGAGGGACAGGTGAGGCTATCTGTTACTAAAAAAAGGAAGGCTCGGATGTCTGAATAAACCCTGTAAACGGATACCTCCTATCTCAGGCGCAGTGAGTGGTTTTAGTCAGTTCGATTCTGATACACTGCCCACCGCAAACCTCAGTGGGGTGAAAGCCCATGCACGTACCCACGTAGTCAAACTTAAAAAATAAATTCTGGTGAATAACTTCTAGTAAGGAAATGACAATTTAACTTTGGAGTTGGTCTAGAACGCAGCGGGGGGAGGGGGGGATGAGATGCTTGCTTAGGGCGCTCTTAATACTTAATCCGCCTCTGCTCTAAAGTCATAGATCAACACACACAATAGCAACAATCTGTGTTTTGTCAAATATTTAACAAACTAAATAATATTTAGTTTATATATACTCGTACGTATCAAAAATCTCTTATATGATCTACAATCGCCCATTTCCAAGGGATTAAGCTTCATGAGAAGGGCAATCAAACTCCTAAAGGACCCTGAAAAGAAGGTCAAAATATTGAAACTCAGAACAGAAAAACTAATAAGTTTTAGTTTAACGACAGAAGAAAAAACTGAATCAGCTTATTGAAAGACATGCTTAACAATAGTTATGTAGGCGCACAATCCACGACCTGCATACTTTTATCAATGGCCTCAATTCAATTGTGATAACATCGACTTTATTTGTATTTTTTTTTATTGAATGATGTAATATTAAGAATGGCTAATACATTTGCCCATAAAAGGGATCACAGAGACACTATACATATAAAAAACGATAGCTAAGTACTACTCTCTGACACGAACTCGCCTTGGGATGTAGTCGTTTTCAGACTGGATAAAAAAACAAAATTGGGTTAAAAAACTTAATTGGGATAATAAAAACGGACAGTGCCTAGGAGCAAGGGTAATGATGGGCTGGGTAAATGAAACTAAAACTGTAGTAGCTCAAAGAGGCTAGCCTTGTACACTTAGTATGTCCTATGATTGAAGGAGGCAGTGGCATCGATTCGCTGGGTTCAAAAATTTGCATCTCTGCACAATAAAAAAAAAGTAAGTAGCTAAGAAAGAAAGCTAAATAATTTCTTAAGAAATTTAATGGTTTAAAAGGCAAAAAAAGTTTACCTATTGAACAGGGATAACTCCTTCGTGTTATTCAAGTCTGTGGTTCAATGCGCAGAGCAGAGCAGAATCTTATCTATGTTATACCATAAAAGATCTTTGATTACGATTTGACAGTAAAATACCTATGAAGTCACGTGCTGCAGCGTCCTCTTAGATGAATTCGATTCTTATGACCTCTTGTGGACGTTTGATTGCAATTTACCTTAAATAGTGTTGAGACACTCGATACAAATCAAAAGACCATAAAAATAAAAAATTAAACACAAGAACATAAAACTAGTTATTTTCGTTGCGATGTGAAATTTGGATACTCCTATGTTTTTAGTCATTTATCCGTCAACGATTTTACGTTAAAGGTTAAATTGATCAAAGCCAGTCTGACAGTCCACAACCAGTCAGACTGAGCCAGTCAATCCATATATAGCAATAAGGGATAGCTTTAGAGGGCAGCAAATTACATGTGTCTCCAAAGTTGCGGGTGTCCACGGACGGCGTGGTCAGATACGGCACTGGTGATATATTTCCTCATTTGCCATAATATATGCATATGCTATAAAAGAAATACTGTTCCAGATTTGAAGAAAATGAACATAAGTAACAATAGTTTGAAGAAATTGCTTCCAATGGGAGAACTAAGAAAGATGGAAGTATTAGAGGCAAACCATAACGACATCGAGGAACTACCCGACTTTTATGGCTGCACAGCTTTGAAAGAAATATATTTGGCGAATAATTATATTAAGGTAAGAAGAAATTGCTATTCTATTCATTTGCTATTCTATTAAAAGTACGTTTGGCAAGTGATAATTATTTGTAATTTGTCGGAACATATAGAAAATATGACATTTCTACTTAGCTGCGGAAGCACAGCCTTTATCCGGGAATCCGCACGCCGTCTCGGGTACCAGTAGCCGGTGAACCAGGTGTAACCTAGAAAGGAAATCCCTTGTACCCAGGGCAATCTCCGACTCATAGATAGCACCCTCGTGTGTGAGGACCACGGTGTTTCTTTCCTTAAAAAGGGCGCAATCGCTCGGAAGCACATACCTCACTCTACCTCTGATGCGAACAAAACTCTGTATGAATAATTTAATAACCCTATTCGCCATTCGTCGGTCTCTGAATCCGTCGAATATTAAGCGCTTTTTTTAATATTATTAACCACGTGCATTTGAAAAATATTTATTAGAACAATGATACAAATCATGAATGTCGTTCATGTTTAAAGTTGTTTTTTCGATTGGGGTTACACAACGGTTTTGTTAATAGTGTTGAAACTAATAAAAAGGATATAAATTATCCCTACTTATTTGAAAATTGCACATCTCATGCTAGGTAAAAACCCAGTGATATTGTATAGGTATCATTTGGTTACATACATTAACGGAAGTACGAAGGGGTAAGTAGGGAAGTTCATGGTAGGTAAGTGTAATTGCTCATACGGATAGATAGAGTTAAAGCAATAACTAGATCTAGTAATCGTGTATCTGGATATAGAAGTGGCTGTTGCCAGAAGCCTTCTAACCTATTTGATTACACCTCTATGTAAACTAAAACACCGGGTTTTGCAAAAGTTTTGTTTTAATTATATGTTACTTTACCCTAAAAGTGTAAAGTTGTAATGTTTTTTTTTCTTTTATAACTTATAATAAGGGGTGTCGTTGGATAGGAATTTCAGAAACATTAAAAAAGTGCAAAGTTTGTTTTCTATTTCAGTGACGCCTTTGCTAAATAATAAACTAATATTTCTTGTCAGAGTCAAGTGTCGCCGGATCACTTGAGAAATCCGAAAAAAATCACGATGGTAGTACCTATATGGATATAACGAAATCAAATGTATTTAGCAGTTGACTTACTCAATACAAAATCGTTCGTAAATATTACTTAGAGGAAGTTTTAACGAGTAATGAACAACTATGGAACCCTAAATTGTACATTATTTAAACGCTTTTGACCACTTCCTTATTGTCATACGAATAGTTTAGCGTGTTTTACATGATACATTTTATTGCAGGCAATTACAGAGGAGTTCTGTGACCAGATGCAGCACTTGAACGTGTTAAACATTAGGGACAACAAACTGGAATTGTTGCCGGAAAATATATCATTGTTACAAAACTTGAAGAGACTCGATCTGACTAATAATGATTTGAATAAGTTAGTAAAACCCCTCATTTTATAAAACTAGCTGCAATCTATAAAAATATTATGTGCAGATCTACATTGACTCGTCAAAATATTTTATTTGAAATTTGCAAAGAGCAGCCAAGCCAAAAAGCAACAGTGAATGTAGCAGCTAATGTAAAAATGGTTAGTTTTCAGGATTCTGTGAAAAAAGGAAAGGATAATTCCTATTTTATTTTTGAAGACGAACAGTTTTTTTTCTCAGAATCTTATCGAAGTACAAATTGAATTGAATATCGAACACTGAAGTCTTCTCGAACCTTGAAAAAATGTATAAATGTCATTTAAGACATCGCAGTCTAAAATACGCATTTTCTTTTTCTTTTTATAAAGACAACGCCCGCATTAGGAATATATCCTGTGTCGCGAGACTTTACAAACGTATATGAAACGGACACAAAGATCACACAGCCTCAGAACAACAATTTGAGGATCACACAGTGTCGTCCCATGTGGGTATCGACATTCAGCGTAGTAGTAATCGGCGTGGCGACTGTTTAAACCACTACGCCGTGCACTCAAAATTAATTATTTATTATATTATGCATATTAAAAACTGCCAGTAAATTAGTAACTATACTTTCTGTTGACCTACAGTGATCAAATTTTGATATCAGCAAGGTCTTATAGTACAAGTAAAAAAAAAAACAATTTAAATTGTTAATTCTTGAGTTAATCACATTAATTTCGTCAAATGTTGCATAAAGGTGCTATCTTCATATAAATATATTCCCACGGTAGATATACTTAATTTTTTGACAGGTTACCTCGTAATCTAGGCCTGTTATCTCAACTGCAAAGCATCAGTATGGAAGGAAATAGATTGTCTTGTGTAAGACAAGATGTGATTCGCGGTGGTACGGAGCGAATGATGAAATTCTTACGAGACAGAATCACAGAGGAGGTCGTCAGCGAGACCAGGTTTACTAACGACGATTGGCCTGATAAGTAAGTTCAAACACTGATAACAAATTTCAAAATTAATCAAATGTATAAATATAAAAATGGTTGTGTGTACGATTCCAAAACCCAAAAACTTCTGCATCGATTGAACTCAAATTTAGACAGGATATACAACCGCTTTAAAGATGGTTTTTATCTATTTTGCGTGTCAGTTTCGTGCCTCATTTGTCATCAATGCAGTACCGTCTTAACCATAAGGGTACACGGGGTCCTGGGCGTCACGGGGCTCCGAAAAGCGATATATTCGCTTATACTTAACATTTTTTTTTCTATTTTAAATCTATATAAACAGACAAAAGAGAATTATAAGTAAATCGGGGCTTAATTAGCGACTTTGTGGCTTTTTTATAATTATTTTTTTCTGTGCGGAAATCCGCTCGGATACCACCCACCGGTGGTTATGTCGGACTCGAACCGACCAAAACCGCACGCCGTCTCGGGTACCAGTTATCGGGGAACCATGTGTACTCTAGGAAATAAATCTCTGATACCCCGACGTACCTCGGTCAATCGACAGAGTGTAGATAACCCCCTTCTGTGTGGGAGCCACGGTGTTCCCATTCTATTGACTAGAGGGCGCGAACGCTCTATAGCGCGTGGCGCCGCCACCCTGGCCTGCTTCTGCTAGGGATTCTGATAGGGATGGCCTCCAGGCTTGAGCTTATGGAGGAAGGAGGTTGTTTTGCAACCTCCGGCGCCTGAGTCGTATGCGGTACCTGGCTCGTTCCCGGCTGGACGGGCCGGGAGGGTTCTAAGCCTCTCCCGGTCCCTCTCCGGGATCTCCTTTGCAAGCATAACTTGCTCGCAGAGTCCCACGCACTCTCGCTCCGTACCATGGCGGCAATGATGTTACCGAGCGAGAGAATTCCCACACCGATGGCCGCTACGAGGCAACACCTCTGCTCCACCCACGCCGGGCATTCTGCTAGCGTGTGGAACGCCGTGTCCACAGTCCGGCCCTCGCAGTGGTGGCACTCAGGCGTTGGTTCCTTGCTGATCAGACACAGGTGATGTCCGAAGCATTCTTTCCCGGTGAACACCTGCGGCAACCGGTATGAGAGGGACCCGTGATGCCTCTCGAGCCAATCCTCCATAACGGGTCTTACCGCCGCGATAGCAGCGTGCGTGCTCAGCGCTCGGTTGCCCAAGTTGGTTCCTTCCACTCCTCCACGAGAACCTAGCGGAGTTTTGATTTCTGATCCTCGATTTCTCGAGACTCGGGACTCTGACTGATACAGAGCTGCAATGGTTCTCGCCTCCAGGTCCCACGGTGGAAGACACTCCTGGCCAGTAGGCCAGAAGACTCGCTGCCTCAAAGGAGATCGTGTGGTACCCCCTTATGACCCTGATGACCAGCACTCGCTGCGGTCATCGCAGTAGTGCGACGTTGCTGGCTTTCAGGGCCTCCGCCAATACTGGGGCCCCATTAAGATCCATGGGCCGCACAACCCCCGATACTAGATACTTCAACTGAGCCTAAACCGGTACGATCACCGAATTGACCACGATGGAAGCGCCGGAAGGTAGATCATGACGGGGCCCATGGAAAAAAAAGAGTTTTCATCTTATCCAAGGCCACCATCAATGCACCCGACCACCAGTCCTGCAGAACTGCCTAATTCAGCGTGTAGGGTCAAAAATTCAACGAAATGAGGGGGACTACAACTGAACGTTGCGTCACAAAATGTTTCCTTTTTTGGTCAATTTTAATTCTATCTTTTTTCATACAAGACACCAAAATTATTGTCTTCATAATAATAATATTCTACCAAAACGAAAATTCGGTGTTGCAACGGACTCTGTACTTCACGAAATGTTTTAAATTTTTCGTCACATGAAAAAACGAGTTTCAGTCCGTGTGGGGCGCAACGCCCACCTTGCCCCACTGTGGGCATGCCCATCATGCCTGATATATAACGTGTAATAAAATAATTCGTTGTTTTATATTTTAATAATGAATACTACATATTTATTTACTTAGATGTAAAAACAATAATATGTAATTTAAGCACGGCTCCGGCACTTGTTACTTACCTACTATTTTTATCTTGTATTTTCTCTGACAAACGAATGTAAATATTCTTTTGAGGAAATAAATGTCTTAAACCATATAATAAAACTGAAATTGGTCTAGTTCACAATTTGTAAAGCATAATAATTTGGAAAAGCCTTGTTTAAAATATGTTTTAAGTACTTACTTCGTGTTTTAAGTTCATCCTGTCCAACACAATTTTACTAATTATAACTATTTTTGGTTCTATGCTCTCCTCCACAATAATTTGTAACCATTAGTTACTAATTTTAATATCCTCAAGTAAAAAGTCAAAGTGATAGACTTTGACAGACTAAGATATAACAGAAGATTTTGCACAACAGATATTTCGAAAGAAATCATTGTCGTAATCGTAACCTATTAAAACCATCCATTGAAGCCTGCTTATCAAATTAATACCTGTATTTATATCTGTTACACCTGTATGTATTTATATGTTCCTGTCTATTTATTTCGTTTTACTGTCCAACAGTACATCTAGTGTAATATAGAAACAGCTCTGAAAATAGACAATTTTGTCTCATTTGAATAGTAAAGACTCATTCTCGGCTTATTACTTGATAGTTTTATAAATTATCCCTATCTTAATTTTCGCCACCTTATTTTTTTTACGTAATGTGTACATGTGTATATAAATGTATTTGTCTCTTTTAATGCTCTGCCGTATATTCTCCCGATCACGATCGTCATGAAATTGGTTATACGCTCTCCAGGGATAAACACTTTTAAGGACCTTCCTTTATTCCTGAAAAAAATGTTCCCAATTGATTAAAAAGTTACCTTTAGGACCGTTACCGCAAGAAAAAACTAGCAATTGCTAGATTGATTGATTTACAGGTACACCCTGAAGAAGAGCCTGGCGCTGATGGTGCCGGCGCGCGATCTGAGCGCCGTGCCCGACCACGTGTTCGTCGCCGCCGCAGACGCGCAGGTGCACATCTGCGACTTCTCCAAGAACAAGCTCACCACCCTGCCCAAGGGGTAAGTCACTGGATACTTACCCAAGTCGGTGCCCTAATCCACGGGAATTGAGACGGCTGTTGAAATAGTGAACTTAAATTTGTCGTAGTAAGTTTTTGCTGACGTTCAATCTCAGTAGACCCATTGGCCAGGTCCATGATGGATCAAGGTTCGGTGGCGCCTCTTAATCAAATCGTGCAAAATTTGAAGGTTTTGATTCTAGGATCTTCGGGTTATCACTTACTCACAACCTTACTGAGAAGTATCCGAATTATTGCCTGTAAGAGATTGCTTTTTAGCGATTAGGCCACCATTTGTGTCATATTTATTACGAGTGGTTGATGTACTCTTGGAAAAAGTAAAAACGGCGTGAGGGGTCTATGCCAGGGTCGGAACAAAGTATAGCAAGAAGTGGCGGAAAAAGTCTTGTTACACATTTTCGGTCTCGCTCCCATCCGCTCAGAGCGTGTAACGCGCCATAAGGAACTTCGTTCCAAAAAACATGCCATACAATAAAGTTTATTCTCTTCTATTGCATTATTATTCGTTAAATATCTACAGCGAGTATATTATTTGATGGTGGTAATATTCGACAGAAGGAAAACTCGACACAAACTCTATATACCAACCCGTCTGGCCAGCATGGTATGGAAGCCAAAAACCTCCTTAGTCACTCCGGGTGATTTCTGTGTCACCGTGGTATCAATCCGGCCAAGTCTGGCTCATATGCGGCACTCCCACAATACAATTAGGACATATTTTTTTATCACAAATCTTATTTATCTCTCCCTCTTTTTCAGTTTTGTTCGTCTTAGTGAAACCTTAACGCAATTAATCTTGTCTGCAAACAATTTGACGAGTATTGCGCCCGAAATAAACTGTTTGACTAAATTGCAATTCCTGGACGTGAGCAAAAATAGCCTTACGGATTTACCTATGGAACTGGGACATTTGAAGAATCTAAGGGAACTAGTCATTTCTAATAATAAGTAAGTATATATGTGGTATGCAGCAGTCCTAATGTAGATTGCTGATAACTTCACTAAACAGTAAAGCTTCTTAAAAATTAATATAGTGTGGACAGACGGACGGACGGACATGACGAAACTATAAAGGTTCCATTTTTGCCATTTAGCCTACGGAACCATAAGAAAATTCGACATAACGTAAATAAAGTGGCGACGATCCTCGAACGGCTAAATAAACTTTCTTATAGCTAAGTACACTCGATTAAGTAGCCTTTTTAACAAAAAAAATTAAATCATATTAAGTCCACGCTTTTAGAAGTTACGATACCACATACAGATAGAGTTACGTTAAACTTATAACACCCCTCCTTGAGAAATGTTTTTTTTAATACTGGGTTGTGCCTTTTGTATTTATATATATTATGTAATAACTGTTTGTGTCATAGGTTAACCAAAATACCGAGGTGTGTCTACGACGTGGAGAACTTAGAGATACTGTTAGCCGCTGACAATAAGATCGAAGAAGTCAACGTATCGTCTGATGCTCTCGCTAAGCTGAAGAACTTAGCTGTACTGGATCTCAGCAATAATAGCATTTTCACTGTACCACCGGAACTCGGCAATTTCACACACCTTCGGTAAGATTGAAGACTTGCTCCATGCAATGTGACAACAAACGTGATGAAGTGCATTGGTGCCATTTGAGTAACCCCCCTCCTTCCTCTCCTTTATTAGGGTGGTTCCTTTATTAGGTTGTTCGACCGGTAACCTCACTAAATCGGTGAAAAGCAGCGAAAGCATCGCTTAACACTAGTTTTCTGTGAGGCCGTGGTATCGCCCCCGTCAAGCCGATTATTTGTCCTGGGTTCGATTCCCACCCAGGACAAATAATTGTGTGATAAGCATGGTCATTTGGTCTGGGCTATGTAGGTATAATATGTATTGTATTTATAAAGAAAAAGTATTCTATCAGTCAATCTAGCTTTCATAGTACAAGCTCTGCTTAGTTTAAAACTAGATAGTGTTGTGTGTTAGATGTCCAAAAATATTATTATAATATGTTTTATTTTGACCTCGTCAGAAAGTAGTGTAAGCTGTATGTTAAAACGTAAAAGACAGTGGCGTTGTGCTTTAATATGTGTCCGTTTTATGTATGTTGTGCTTTAATATGTGTAACATACACAAATTAAAGCACAATGCTGCTTTCTGACGAGGTCATAATACACAACTATATTCACTTAAAGATTAACAAAGTATTTAATCATTTGAAGGTCTCCCACATTGATGTTAGACCTGTGACTAATAAGAGTTCAAATTGATCAACTTCTATAGATCTGAACGGCCCAATTGTTTGCAGGACCTTGGAGTTGATGGGCAACTGCTTCCGTCAGCCGCGACACGCCATCCTCACAAAAGGCACGGAGTCTATTCTCTCCTACCTGAGAGATCGCATTCCCACCAAATAGTTTTTATCGATAGTTTGGCGTGCATTACAAACGGAAGGGTTTAATTTTCTGTGAAATATTCTCAATAAAAATAAGTATGATTTTGTTTACAGTTTTAAAAATACAGTTTGTACACATTAGTATACAGGACTTGAGTGACTTCCCGATAAGGTTATCCAAAATCTACTGACACCAGAGCATCGTCGTTACTCTGTATAGTAATTAATATTTCTCATTTGGAAATTATGACCAATAATATTATTTGGAAAAGCAATTTCTATTTCTATTCATAAGAAAGATGAATATCAAAGTGGCTTATTTTAAACACGTGCTTTCTATTGAGTATTGTATCAAAATGCTGAGAGCTTGTTTGCAGCCTATATTCCTATTTAAGAAAAGTATTATTATTATTTACGGATATTTCTCAATAAATTCCGCCGGTTATGTCTAAGATGTTATGCCATAAGCACTGTCATATAAGTTAGGTCAGTTTGCGGGAGCCAAAATGTTTTTTTTTTTATTATTTACATGTACCTGATTGTGCTAAACTTGATCTTGAATTTCGCTTAACTCATGTATTGTTATTAAAGCTGTGGGTTATTATTTACAGTATTGTTTTGTTTTGTTTTGAATGCTATTGTTGTAATTAATATCGCTATTATTGTTGATATTATCTAATTGGATATCGCGGTTGTGATGATACAGAACGTCACAGATATCATTGAATTCTCTATTAAGATAACGAAAAGTATTTACAATGACTTTATTATCAAGTACTCAGTGCTAATTGCCAAATGTTAAGGTATATAAGATATTTTTGGACATATTGTTTTGACGAAAAGTTTAGCATATTGCCAGTGCAGTGTTCAATTTTAGCAGCTTAGAAGCTGTATTGTAAAACCTGGTTTGTGTATGATTTGGTAAAAGTTATTCTTAATCTAATATTTATACATACTTATAATAAATATTGTCAAAAATATTAAAATAATTTTACTAATATATTCGGATAGTTTGATATTTAAAATTTAGTAGTGTTACGTCAACCTGTATGCAATTTCGAGTTAAATGTTGAATAAAACTTTTGGTATTGTAAACAGGCGAGCGAATGCTCAGTATGCACCAAGAAGGAGTTTAAATACGTCAAACTTTCCTAATTTTCTTAACTTTCCCAACCTGGTTCTTGGTTCAACTGTGACAGCTTGTTAAAATTCGTGTAAAAGTAAACTGTGAAAGTTTGATATTGTTTATGGTGGGAATGAATGGAAATGTAAAAGTGAGCACTTTGTGTGAAAAATGATTTTTATTCCCAAATATTTTTTCGAATTCGCTCGTTTCCCATATTAAAAGTTTTGTAATATAGGTTGATGTATATGTGATAGATATAACATATTCACAAATTGTTTGAAATTCTACCAAAGTATCATTCCCTGTACCTGAATTTTATTTTTATAATATACACAGCCTCTACGTTAGCAGCTTTAGTGCATGAAAGTATATAGTATTATAAATATAAAAATATACACCAATTTTGTTAAAATTCGAAAGCACATTTACAAAAATTGGAAATCTATGAGCATATCGTGTGATTATGAAATAATATATGCTTTAAAAGTATGGTTGTGTTTTATTTAATAACTAAAGATCCGCCCCGGTTTCGCACGGGTACAGTGTAGATACTACTAATACTACTAACGTGGTCTAAGTGTAAAGTATATAATTATACTATATGCAATATTTATAGGCCCTGCCGGCCGCTGCCACCCGCGACGGACGTACGGCCTGAAGCAGCGACATACGCTTTGGCCCCATATTTTAAATCTAATGCCTTCTAAAATATTCATTTTAATGTGCTGTAAAGAGCAATTTTAATTGGATATTTAAAACTAATTGATCCTTTAAATGGCTTCGTAAATAACCTATTATTTTTTTGTAATATTTAAAACTGGTTACTGTGGGTTATCCTTAGGAGATAGACGTATACCATCGCGAACTTTTTTTAGATCTTTATAAGATATACAATTCCGTACTACATTATTTTGGTCCATCTCACAAAGATAAGCCAGTGTTTGCTATTATAATAGTTTCTCTACTGCAATATGCATGTATTAAATATATAAACATTCCTTTTGAATCACTCTCTATTGGTGAACACCGCATTAAAAGCCGCTGCTTAGTTTAAAAGATCTAAGCGTACAACAAAAAAAACGACTTTGTTTTATACTATGTAAAGAAGATACTATGCAGTGATCCATATTTTCAATTTTTAAAAACATTTAAGGGCAGTAGGTTGTATCGTAAAAGTTAAGTACCATATATTAGAAATGGAAAATATGGCAAATCAAAGCGGCGCTCGTTGGCATTGCGCACTATTCAATTACCGCAAAATATTTCAATCAAAAACGATATTTTAATTCGTACAAAATTTCATATGATGATGTCATATTATTTGATTATTTGACATTAGGTGTGCCCCGCGGTTGTTGTTGTACCTTGGTCATCCCATGGGAATACTACATTGTTTAGGTAAATATATAGATTGTGTTAATCTAATGTGTCAGCTACCTCAGTACCAAATTTTATCAAACTTTAGGACCGTTAGGGCCGTTAGGACGTGAAGAAGTAACAAACATACACTCACAAACTTTTGCCTATATATTAGTGTAATAAAATTAAAAAGGCAAGCATATTACTTTGTTTTAAGTTATGACAGTGACTGTTGGTCGTGTTAATAAGGATCCTAAGACGCGCGCCCTTCTTTAAATCTGGATGGTTGTGGTAGTTCCTATGCCTAGTCCACGGTCTAGTCGCTTGCTGTTATGCCAAGATAATCCAAAAAAAAATTTGGTATTCTATTAGTTAATCTAGCTAGGGCAGGGTTTACCGTGGGAGAGCCATGCTTCGGCACGAATGGGCCGGCTCGACCGGAGTGATACCACGGCCTCACAGACAACTGGTATTAAGCAATTCTTTCGTTGCCTTTCACTGAGTGAGTGAGGTTACCGGCGCCCAAACCCACCCGCTGACTCGAGCGGGAGGGACTCCAAGGGCGGTAACGCACTTGTGACTTTTGAGTTGCAGGTGTCCATGAGCGGCGGTAGTTGCTTACCATCAGGTGACCCGTTTGCTCGTTTGCCCCGGCTTATGGCATAAAAAAAAAAGAAAAAAAACCTGGTGCTCCGGCAACTGGTACTCAAAACGGCGTGCGGTTTTTAGTCGGTTCGAGTCCGACATTACCAGCCGACCGGATTTCCACACAAAAAAGGGAGATGCTCCTTAGTAGTCCCTAGCATATGTGTTCCCAGCAGTAGACCCACTTGTTATGGTACACCGTGTGGTTATAGTTAGTCTTATTATTCCTTCATAACATTTCATATTGCCTTTTTAGTTAAGAAGCTCCGTCTTTATAATTTGGTTGCACAAGTATACCGACACTGTCATGCAACGTTCACAATTATGAGAAAATTCGTTATTTTTAATAGCGAAATAGTATTCTGAAAATGACAAATTGTATTTCAAAAAACCGATAAAAAATTTAAAGTTAATTCTATTAAATATATATTTTCCAGCTTTTTTAAGACTGTTGTATCCGTACCTATTGGTGGAAAATGTATGCAAGTAACAGAGCATTACGATATTAAAATTACAAAACACATATATACATGCGGAAATATTTATGAATGCAAACTGTGGTAAGTGTAAAATATATTTGTCAACGTAACATCTCAATGTTTGTAGAATAGTTTTGTCTGATTTAGTCTGATTTGAATCTTTTTTCGTTCGCAGTAGGGTTCACTTCATTTAACGTAATACTAGATCATGAATAGAGCCTTGGACTTCAGAATAAAATCTATAAATAATAGCGGTGTGACTTTGAAGAACGTTACAAATTATGATCGTGTGTTGTCGTGATTGTCATTAATTATATGACGTATTTTAATTCGCAGTCAGTCTAAGAGATCGTCTTAACCGGGGCTAAAATACCTACCTACTTATTTGGTTTATATATAATTTGTATATTGTTAATTAAATATCTGTTTTTATACATACATAATTATATTTACGTTACCTCCGAATAATAAACTTTAACAGGTGCAGGTGTAGGTATGTAGCGTTGTAGCTCCTAAAGGGACAACAATTTTGTTTTATTAGGAAGGTGACTTGATCTATTGCTCTCAGCGCAATTGTGTATTATAATAAATGATTAATTATAATAAATGAATAAATGATTACATCTATTGGTTGGATAGATTTGAAATTTTTTATTCTGTGATATTATAATATCATTGTAGGTTGTTATGTTAAAACTTGATGTGACATCAATCGTATCAACAGAATACCTATGTTCTCACTTACAGCAGAGGTATAGCGTTTGGGCTTATTGCAATGGGTTCTATAGGCTCTAATGAGTACCTACGTTATATCTAACAAAGATAGATGGTGATCAGATTCTAAGGAGAAGAGAGTTTTCAAGTTTTTGTGATTTCGGGAATTTATGAGTATTAAATGCGTCTTTCCGGATTGATAATTGGTGATTATTTCTGCATTGATATAAGGAAATAATATTGGATGTAAATTTGTATATGTATTTAATACAAATGCTGGCCCCTCTAATAGTATTACTGTACTCTGTGGGCTTGCCCTAATGCATGCATCAATAAATAAATGTGAAGGTATTTGTAGTTGTATGTATTTAATTATCGAAACGACATTGAAAAGACACAAAAACGCTAAAGCAAAATATGAACGATTTACATTAAGGACCAATTTTTTTGACTAGGATTATGTAGCAAGTATAGATGTATGACACGTAGATTGGGCATAATACGGCTTATAATGCGGTCAAGAGGGAGAATTTGGTAGGTACATATACCTACCTATGGTCTAAAAAGGAATGTTACGAGTATTGTCTCCGACCACTTAAATTGTAAATAATGCTCGCAATATAATTTGAAATGCTAGATTGTTTTTATAAAATCTTGTAGGTACGATATCGGTGACTGTGCCTATTGATTGATAGAGAAATACTTACAGGCAAGACATCATCGATGTGGTAAGTTTGACTTAGGTAAGTCACTTTAGCCGAAGGTAGACTTCACCGAAAACTTTCACAAAGTGGTCATCATGTAACTGCTTTCCACCACTTTAAATTGTCGGTCCTTTTATTAAAAATAACAGTAAAAGGTGTTCGGGAGCATTTGTTTCTAATTGTTCTGGTCTATATGATCTGCATAAAGCTACTTTATGCTTCTGATGCCGAGAGCTATGTCCTTTACTTCGGTAGTCCACAAGAGCATCTTGTTCCGTATAATATGTTGTTGGGAAACGCCTATATACCATAGCTGTTCTTGATGTTTCCCAATTGACAGTTCATTGTTTAAGCATTGAGTGTTAAAACAATGAACTCAGTCGCACGACCTCGTGCTCGCTCTGTGTACCATAACACTAGCTTTTGTTACTAATGAAAAACTGGAATATTTTATACACAAGTTTCTGAAGTTTAAACATTCTCAAACCGCGTGTCAACCGTTTAGTCCGTGTGGTGACGGATTAAGAATATGTGTGTCGTAAGAGGCGACTAAGGAAGCAAACTACGCAGGACAACAGCACTGCAGAGAGAAGGAAAACTTGAAACAACCGATGGCGCATCGGGGGGGGGGGGGGGGGGGCAATTTGACTTTATTTACTATAATTCATACTTTTCTCATTCTCTATGAATGAGAAAAGTAGGTATGAATTGTAGGTAAAGTCGACAGCACATGAAGCTTTTCACTTGTACTACGAGCCTTACATCTACAGCGATTGTAATAACAACAGTATCTTAGTACTATATACATATATATTCTGTGACAGTACAGAGTTCAATGTGTGAAGCTACACGCTATGCAATAAAAAACTTGTAAATAAGTTATAAAAACATTTATTAGAAAAATAGAATAAAAAGGAGTTTGAATTTGAATAAGTGTACAGCGTATTTTTTTTTAAATTACCAGATTTTAATATTATAGTGGTCGTTGTTTGTTTATATTAGGTTAATTAAAACATAATTTTCGGGGATTCATTGTAAACTTCTCGACCACTTTATTATTAAAATCTTGTAAGTTTCCATGTATAAGTTTTCGGTGCACACTCATCATGGCCAAACCAGTGAGATTTTCGACTGACATCGTTTGCATTTGTGCGGGGTGTAATTTAGATAAGGCAAATGATGGAGTATTTTCTTCAGCAAAGCGTGTTTCAAGCGATGTAATAACGGAGTCCAAGTATGGTATTATCAATGATCTTTTCCAGAATTCTGAAGGGCTTTTTGCTGGGTGATTGCTTCGATGACGTTGTTTCCCAACAATGCGCGGCATTGAAGTGATATCCTGCTCCAGGCCGACTTTCTCCGCAACAACAGTAGCATCCTTTATGATTTCATCTGTGACTCTTTCGGGATTATCACGGTGGCTCTTAAGCAATTGCAAAATGCGTTTGACGTGTTGCGAGGCCTTAACCACATCCAAAGCTATGGATTGGAGTGCGTTGACAACAGGTTCCAACAAAGCAGAGTATTTAGCTATCAAAGTAATACAAAGTATAAACGAAATTTTGAAAGCAGCCGCATGGAGTTGAAAGGCGTTTTTTCGAGTCGCACTGTTTCCTTCACGCGATAAGTTTTCTAAGGCTTCCAATACAACAGGAAAATTCTCCTTAAATACTCTGATAGTTTTATGTTTCTCACTCCATCTTGTTTCGCAGAGCCTGGTAATATTAGGTACCAATTTTCTTCTCAAAACCGATTCCCGAAAAAAAAAAATAATATCTTTAGTGGTTCCCATGGTGTTTCGAATTTCAGGAAGAATATTGAGATCATTTATTACCAGATTCAGTTTATGGGACGAGCAATAAAAGAACAATGCTTTGGTATATTTTTTGCGCAGGATCGCTTGTACTCCACCGTCTTTTCGGGACATCGTCAAACAACCGTCAAATCCAAAACCAACGCATTTATCAGCAGGATTAAGGTCTTCTTTTGTCAGAAACTCATCGATGCAATATGCAATAGATTTCGCATCCAGACCTTTCAGCTCAACAAATCCGACGAACATTTCTTGGACCTCATTGGCTTCATCGTCAAAATATCGCAGCCCAATCGATAATTGTTCAGTACCGGAAATATCAGCTGTTTCGTCTGCTAACACACTATAAGCTTCTGCTTCTTTTACTTTTTTCACAATGTCTGCCTTAATAACATCTCCACAAATTGCGATAATTTCATTTTGAATATCAATCGATCGATAGCTTGCATTCTTTTTCCCATGCTCAATGTGTTTCTTCAAAACTAAATCTCCCGCGTCAATTCGTAGCTTGTATAAGTCCTCGAGAATACCTTCGCCATAATGTTTTTCTCTCAGAGCTAAGTCGTGCGACCCGCAAAACGTAATGCAGGAAATAATAGATGTTATAATTTTTCGGTTTTCTTCAATAATGCCCCGGGAGTATTTGTTGAGTTGTAAATCTACAGGCACACTTCCAAGAAATGATTAGCGGCTTCCAGTGCCATCTTATGGAAGTGGGTTTCCATGTGCTTTTTGCAATGCTCGTGAATATCTTTGAACTTACAAAATGGCCTTATGATAAATGACCCTAATACGCCTCTAAAAGAATTTGGATTTGGCGTTAACAAAGTACAATATTTACAAAAGGCTCCTTTTTGGTGCCTGGAATAGGCCAACCATGGAGAGTACGTTTCCAACCATGAATACTTGAATTTCCTCTTTAAATGTTTAGCGTCTTCCGCAAAGTCATACGTCGCAGGCGGAGACCAAGTGTTGTCAAGCAATTCTTTCTTCATTTCAGTCGATAACATTGATGCTTGTCCAATAAATGAGTCGGGAACTAAGTCCGGTTCTTTGGATGTGCTAAGTCTCTTCAGGTCACCCACGGAATCATCGCTGTCACTGCTTGCTCCTTCAGGTTTCTTTCTTTTTAAAACTGCAAAACAAAGTATTTGAAATAGCTACAACTTCTTCTGGTCCGCAATTCACATTGAAAGCATAAATGCGCTTCAAGACGGCGGCAGGCTCGAGCCCGCGCAAGGTTTAACCGCCGCGGCTATGCTCGCGCGGTCTCGGGTATCCTCGCTCGAGCACTCTAGAGCGGGCGCGACGACACGCACGCGCCGGAGTCTCAAGCATACGCGAGCTGACTGTGCCGAATCGGCACTGCCGATATTCATTCATACAATTTTCTACTTTAAGCTATGGTAATACGGTCCTATTTTCGATTGAGCCATTAAATTGAGCAATTTTCCTTTTGGTTTAAACTGACGACCCTTAAGAATCGGATATCGTGCCTAGAAACGGATTTTTTGCGATTTTAAAAACCGATGCAAAATCAGCATTTATAATCAAATCAATTGACGTTATTTTACGAACGGAAAATACGTAAGTTAAACGCAAGTGATACTCACCAAAAAACTTTCTGATGTCCATATTGATTATGTGGTCACAGCAACTATTTAGATGTGATAATAGCGCACAAAACAAACGTAAAAGCGGGCAGTGGCAACGCTAACGCACGAATAAATGACAGACAGACGCTAAAACAAAGGCGGCTGTGCGGAGGGCGCGAGTGCCGCGCGGTTACATGTTGCTTCCCCACTCCCCCTCTCCCGCTTCAACGATAGAGTAGAGCAGAGCGTAGTTGAGCGTACGGAATATTAGGAGTGGAATTGGTGAATTCATTCGAGTTTCGACGTACGGGAATGATTGTTCAAGGCTTGAACTTCAAGCAAATTAACTCAAAGACTTAGGACTTTGGTTGCATTATATTTGGCAACTTTTTTAGAATCTCTAGGGGGGGGGGGGACAGCTGCCCCTCCCTGCCCCCCTTGCCTATAGGTATAGTAGGCCAATACCTCCCTTATAAGGAGAGGCCTATGTCCAGCAGTGGACTAGTAAAGGCTGTTGATGTAATGAAACATTCTCAAACTATATAATTATCAAAACACAATTTCTTTTTAAACTAATGAAAAAAACTGTGGCGACTTTCACATACAAAGATATAAAAACATACTACAGCGCCATCTAACGAAGAAACGCCGAACTACCGATTAACTGCTTATCCTGTATCGCGATATGAATAATTCTCAGGCCGATTAGCATATTTATTTACATTCCCAACATCAAGCGTTGGGCCGCGGTCCGCCAGGAATGATCACCTCGCCTATTTGGAGGATCCTCCCTTTGTATTGGATGGACATGACATCCGTTCCTCCACAAAACGTCGCTATCAGTAAAATATTTGTTTTCATCATCATCATCATCAACAGCCTTTAACAGTCCACTGCTGGACATAGGCCTCTCCTTAAAAAGGAGGTTATATTTGTTTTACTCCAAAAATATTACTTCATTGCCTCATATATTTAAAGCAACAGCAAATAGTAGTAGGTGTAAGGATCAGACAAGTTCCATCATCTTTAGCAAAAGGCTTTTTTGAGCAATATACTTTTAATAAGTAGATTTCTAAGACGTTTTCTAAGAATAGTAAGTATATTGAATTGTGTGTCTAACTGCGTTACAGATTAATGCGAATACACACAAACACTATTGTGTGTGTGTATCCCGCGACACAGGATGTATTCCTAGTAGGGGTGTTTTCTTTTTATTTAGAATAGAATTTAGAAATTTTTCAAAAATACTTAGGAGCGTCAGGCACGACTTTGGCTTAATGATTTAGAAAATGTGCCATTGGCGTTAATATCGTACAACTGCACGCTTATAAATGAGGTAAATCGTCCCTTCGAGTTTTAAATAATGAGTAGTCAGTTACATAACTGTAAAATTATAAAAAAATTGCTTCTAGAAGTTATCGTGTTCAAGATAATGGTATACCAGTTGCATTATGTACACGTAAAGCATTTGGAGTATTATCAACTTGCTTTGGTACCGTGACTCGTTCCAACAACATTTACATAACAATAGAATGAACGTAGTTGAATTAACATAACAGATTGGCTTTACTAGGTCGAGATGGGACAAACGACTAGGTAATGTTAATTTTATTAATATTTGTCATTTACAAAGCGTGATTTTACTTATATGAATTCCAAGTCTAAAAGTTAAAATTTAGGAGAAGAAGAATTAAGGTAATTTAACAGTTTTCAACCTCCTTTCTAAGGAGAGGCCTATGTTCAGCAATGGACTGTTAAAGGCTGTCGATGATGAGCATTTTGTTCATGTTGCATCGATTACTCTTTTTAACAAACAATCGTACTGTATGTGTATCTAAAAGCTTACTACCTTTAAGCATCGAAATGCTTACTACCTTTTATTTAAAAAAAAAAGTCTGATTTTTATACTTACATACTTTGATCATAATTTTCCTTACTGAATAATGTTAAGGGCTGTGGACGTTGATTCAATTAAGAAGTATAATAATACTTTTAATAACAATACTTCACTGTACTCACTCACTAATATATTAAACTCTCCAATAATAAATAGTAAAGTAGAAGTCTACAAATAAAGTGTGACGAGATAAACTGTGTAAATAACTGATCCTAAAGAAGCTAATAGGCTTTTTTGTTACTAAAATAACACTATTTTTTTTGTATTTTTGCAAGCATGTATATGGTAATTTCCACTTACAACGTAAAATATATTTCAATACCCTCTAACGAAGACACACCGAACTGAGGAGTAACTACTAATCCTGACTCGCACAATACAATTTCTCGCAGCGAGTAGTATTTAAATATACATAATATACAACTTCTTAACATCCAGCTTGGGGGGAGTACCACTGTTTTGGAGGTCGGCGTTCCCAATAGTTCCCCCGCTCCCATCAGGTATGAGAAGAACACTGCCACGACGACGAAACGTTGGGCCACGACTAGACTGGATAATCGCGCCTGGTCAGAGGGTCTCCTCCCTTTGTGTTGGAGGAACATAAAGCACATTTCGCCACAAACACATACACATAATTCCGTTTGATATTTTCGTAATAGGATCCAAACATCGGTATTTCATATATCTACTTGCCTATTAATTTGTTTAGCTAAAAGTCACCTGTAGACGGACGTTTGGTAAAATTTCCGTCAAAGCACTAAAATTATATACTTGCTCAGGAAATGTTTAGTATTGACAATGTTTTGCAGAAATATGCCTCGCACGGACTGAAGTTACAACATACGTCGTGTTTGGACGTCTATTGCCGTCATTATTATCGTTTTCACTATCATTTGACGTTTGTTCGTCACTCTATTGTAAATGGTAGTCTGTAAACCCATAATAATAAACTGCAAGGTCGTGTCGGCGAATACTTACTATAGTGGGGGCCGGCTGGCACATGCGAGCTGCACTTCATACAATTTCAGTAACCGCGGTGTACCTGACGATCGCTACAACCGTGATTATATACACAATATCGCACAAATATTAAATATCGATAAATCTAGTACTTAAACCCACCTAGTATATTCTACAGTTCACTTAAGTGTTATAAACTGGACAAGTTTATTTAAAATAATTTAGTTAGTGTGTTTCATTTTTAAGTAAAAGACTTTGGATAGGATTATGCATAAGTTTTTAAAATTTTTAAAGTGAATATTCAGTTGCAATCAATAGCAATATTCGAGTACACATATTATATTTGTTCAGGTGTGTTCGTTCGTCAACCCGACAGACTCAGTTGGATTGGGTGCGCTTTTCAATTGTGGTCTTCAGTTTGAACTTAACGTTTACAACAACGTGTTTTTGGCATCGATGTGCCTGACTCGTTAAAGATTTTTTTTGTGACATGTGATATTCTTTTAGCAATCGCAAGTTAATAATCAGTTGTGTACATTTTAGTGTTAACCTATGAGTCAGCAACAAAGTTGAACGTGTTCGGAATCAAATATTATGAAGACATATGGAGTGTTTGTTGTCTTGTTCGTGTATTATCATTGTAAGTATTTTGCTATCGTAGAGGGACTAATGTTAGTGTCCCTTTTTTAAGTTATTGTTATCATTAATATGGAATATTTTTCTGATATTTTTCTTCTGCCTAGTTTGGCACCAGACGGCAGTGTTTGAGATGACATATTATTTATTATCATTTATTTATATAATACTAGCTGACCCGGCAAACGTTGTTTTGCCATATACATTATTTCTAGGAAATATTTAAAAAAAGGGGTACCCTTGTCATTTAGGGGTATGAAAAATAGATGTTGGCCGATTCTCAGACCTACCCGATGTGCACACAAAATTTCATAAAAATCGGTCCAGCCGTTTCGGAGTAACTAATTGGTAACTAACATTATGACACGAGAATTTTATATATTCAATTCAATTCTTTATTAATAAAATATAAGCATCACAGTATACACCAAATCGCTTATATCTATGCTAATTTTAACAAAAATAAACTAAATACTATTACAATTGTAAAACTCAGACCATCAAAAAGAAACAACATAAAATTTGTAAACAAAAACAACCTTACATCAACTTAGGAACTATAAAATTACTCTTTAAAATTTAGATATGTATAAATATGTTTTAAAATTATGCTTTGGGAGTCGAAAAATATATCTGCATCTGGACTATACTGAAGGAACTCATTGATAAGCCTAATTGCTATAGCAGTGGGGCTATGGTCAGCCTGGGGAGAGCGCCACGTAGGCGGACAGCACAGGAGTCTATGTTGTCGTCTTCCAACGGCACGCATATATTGGTCGGGAACATAAAAATGTATTGTTTCCCGTACAACAGGGCTATCTACCTTATTCGCCAGTATCAAACAATAATGCATTATATGTGTAGATTCCCGTCTGAGTTGAAGTGTATCTAAACCCACCATTCCTGACACAAACAGTGAAGGATAGAGAACGGGGTAGTATCCATACTGACGCTTATATAGGTATCTACAGAATTTACGTTGAATTTTTTCTATCATAATATTATACAACGACTCCCGTGGACCCCAGACTATTGCATTATATTCTAATTTACTACGCACATAAGTATTGTATATTTGTATTATAACTTGAGTGTTCTTAAATTGTGAAGATATTCTGATGATGAAACCAAGGCATTTATTAGCGTCTTTGCATATTTTAAGTATCTGGTCATGAAAATTTAATTTGTTATCCATTGTTACTCCCAAATCCTTGATTGAGGGAACACGTTCCATTGGGGCGCCTGCAAGATGATATGTATTTGTAATCGTATTTGTAATTGTATAAGACTAGCTCACCCGGCGAACTACGTACCACCAATAAAACTTATCTGAACTTATCCATATAAATAAAACAAATTTTTATTAGTTAGTTTTATATATTCTGCAATTGGGGGTGAAGTTTAAATACTATATTGATATAATAATGCATTTAAAGCTTAGATAAACTTTATTTTTTGTCTTTATTTGTGGTGCGGTATATATGCGTCAATGTGGTGCGTTAATATATGATGGTTTTCCGACGCGCTCGTGCTCGCAACGTATAATTGTCCATGAGAGAAACAGGGAACTCCAAGTCCGAGGAATCACTCACTCCCCCAACTGGAGTCATGATGAAGAGTAAAGTATATCAACACGTAACAGCCAGTGGTGCTTGGTGTAACAGACACTACCGATTATGTAATCGCCATAATTCCATAAACCAAAGTTTTTTTTTATTGTTCCCATCGAACCTTACCTCACCTCACCACATAATAAAGATTACCTAGTTTTTTATGGAAAAAAATAAGTTAAGTAACGAAAGAACAAGAATTCAGGCACGCAATGGACTTGCAATCGATTACTAGTGATATACCTACTCGAACCAGCTTAGGTATTAGGTACACCAAAGCTCTGAAAGAGGAGTTAAATAAAGAGTTGGCAACATATCATCAGCCTACCCTCACACTTGTTAGCCAAATACAAAATAGCCGAAAGGCCTACGGAGCATATCAAAATATAAGGTATATAATACATTAATGTGTGCCTATCAGAAAGAACAAAACAGTATCCCGAAAATAGAAGACCAGACTAGACTTATCCGTGGCATTTTATGTTTTAAAACAAATGAAAAATGGTTGTTTTGAAAAGTTATAAGGAGAAATAAAGCACTTCACATTTAAAAAGATGACGTGTTTTAAAGTAATAACACTGGCTGGCACGAGAATGATTCATTCTACTTTATGTTTTTATTAATTGCTTTACTTACTGGTACCTGTACTATGGTAACTAAACTGCTGATAAACATACTTAAAAAGTCCTAATTACATACAAAATTCTGGCAAATTACACCTAGACAGAACAAATGACTCACACAATATTTATCCTGAGTTACATGGGCGTAACCAACATTTACTTAGGGGTGGGGCAAAATTAAGAAAACCAGGTAAACTACGCAAGACAACAGCACTGCAAAGAGAAGGAAAACTTGAAACAAACCCTATACCAAACCGTCTGGCCAGCGTAGTATAGTAGGCCAAAACTTTCTTTCTAAGGAGAGGCCTATGTCCAGCAGTGCACTAGTATAGGCTGTTTATAATGATGATGATGAAATCGATTAAAATTAAATATACTTAATATACTGCTATTTAATATACGACGTAGGGGCAAGCGCCCTAGCCCCACTGTGGGTACGCCCATGCTGCGTGGGAAGAACTCACGACCTCTTAGCTTTAGCTTAGGCTTAGCACTTGACCACCAACAGACTTGTAAGTGAACATCGATTTTATGTAGGCCAGGACTCGAAGTGCCGTTCCTATACCTCTTTGCGTGACCCGCAATGTGCGTTTTGTTGACAACACTCGAGCCTCGAAGTTACCACCAAACAAAACAATGAAAATCAGATGGGAACCAGAGTGGACAAGCCAAAAAACTCTACTTAGTCTTTCGAAGAACTATATATAGACGATACTACGGTATCGTCTATATATATTCTATCTATAGTTCACCATATTTTTTGTGTTGACCACCACAGTTCTTGTTAATACCCCTCCAGCTAATCAAGTTAAGCTAAGTGCTTAGGAGCGTATCTATGTCAATACAGGATGGGGTTCCAACCCGCAAAGTCCGATGCCTACTGTTTAACAAATAAAAAATAAAGAAAGGTATTATTCTTTGACCATTGATAAAGCAACCTGGAGTTGCGGTAATTTTGTGTTGATATTTCAAGTTTCAAATATGGAAGTGTGAAATATGAATGAAGCGGGAATGCTAAGTATAGGTACGCCCATTGTTATTAAACAACTTTAAATTCTGACAAGGATTTGTTACATACACCTTTTCTTTATTTTGTTTGTTTGTTAATAAGCAATACATCTGTGCAAATCTGTAAATCCCTCCAGTTAAGCTTGTGTTAGGACCATCCCTAATTAAACCCTTGTCACGGTGACCGCGTTCGATTGGCCAGTGCTGAAATCTACACCAATCGAAACGTTGAACGCGGTTGCCGTCGCGAGTGAGTTGATGTGAAATAAACTCACACTAGGTCCTCAGTACGGTAGTGCACTCGGCGAGACTCGAGACTACAACCATTTGATCTCCAGTTTGACACCTTAGCCATTAAGCTATTGTCGCTATTGTAATAGATGTGAATTAATCATAATCTTCTATTACTCGTCAATATTAATACATCTGTGTTGTCCTTTTATTATAACAAGTATCTTGCCTAACGGGCACTTGGTAGGTCTGATGCTTAGAGTGATTTGAGTGTACAGGACCACTAGTAACAAAACCACGAGGCAGCATACTCGAAGCATTGTGATCTAAAACAATACAGGACTGTAAATAACATACTATTTTCTTTTATTGTGCTACAATTACTGATTGTTATCAAAAAGCTTGGATTTTATCAGACAATTTTTGGATTGACAAGTGTCAATTTCAATGATTTTATTTAATGCACACATTTTCTAGTGTTAGGCACTACGCTTGACCTCTCCTATGTCTTTACCCCTGTCATCATCTACCTCTTCGGGAATAAAAGACGTGAGTGTATACATGTTTGTGTGTATTTTCTAGCCTTCTGATGGTTTATAGCACATTTATTGATAATGTCTACTGGCTGGCCGTGAACTTATAAGAGAAATGAGTTCGATAAGGAAGTAAAGTTGACAAAGTTATTTCGAGGTTGGTCATCATTTAAAAATATACACATTAAACATAGTGTTAGCAGCACCGCATAATAAATAATAGTACTAATACCAGCACTCAAGAGATAAATTATAGAAAGTAATACTATTTTCAAAAGTAAATAAACAATACGGAATACCTTAATGTCTCGAAAAAGTTTTCTCAAACTTTTTTTTTTGCCACGTCACTTTATAACACTGGTGTATTTGCACAAAAATATTAGATTTTATTTTTAATATAAAGTTTATTATTTTAAAATTTTAATATTTTAAATAAGAACTAAACGTTTACGGGTCGACAGTGTGAGAGCGTCTTCCATGTGAGACCGAACAGGCTAAGAAAGCAGGATCTCAAGACTGGTACATGTATATATAGACAGACTAGGTCTTATGTGTGTTTGAATTGATTGCATCCCATTCGAGTGATATGACTCGTTCTTTAGGTGTTAATCAAGTAATTGTGTAAGGTGTATCTGTATCTTACTACCGTAGATTTACGAATAAATTTTGGTGACGACGGTAAAATTGCTATTTTATTTAGCTTAATTGCAAGATTTGTAACTTTAAAAGATAAAAAAGTTACTTCGTTAAGAAGAAATGTAAAATAGTTCAATTAAATTTAAAAATTAAATCTTTTCCAGCTTCCAACGCTCAATGTGTTGGCACGCGTTCAGTGACTTTTACAAGATGGTCTGGCGTTACTCCGGAGACTGCTACACCTGTGTTCGTGTATTCAGCGAGCGGTGACGAAGAATCCCTAGCTGGCGCCTGCCTAGCCCGATGTAGAGAGCTTGAGGATTGTGCTGCGGTAGTTGTAGCATATGGCAGAGGCAACTGTCAAGGTATAGCAGACAGTACTAAGTCGAAGCTGAAGACTGACAATGATGTGGCGTATTTCAAGAAAATTTGTTTAGAATGTAAGTATGGAGGTTATAGTTTGCCGAGTATTGAAACTGATTCACATAAATAATGCTTGTTACTAAAATATGACATGCATAGATTGTTTGATGACACCGTGATCGGTTCCCAAAAAATTTTGATTCCGATTCCAGGTAGGACAAATTGCTATCGAGTTTTTCTGTTAGGAAGAAGACGGAAATTCACAGTATATTACGATATCTTGAAACATGTTTCGAAAATGTTGCATTAATTCGATACCTGTTTTTATACATATTGTATGTATTTTTAGTGCCTGGAGATTGTACTAATCGTTGGTGGGCTTTGGAGAATACTCCAGGTTACCACTTGCATTCTGAAGGCTCTCACCTGAAAGTGATTCTCAATGCTACCGTTTATGACTGCTACGACGCCCTGTTTGCACCAAATTTAGATAAACAATTTAGGTATGTATATAATCATTATTTTCCGTAAGCACCTCATCAAACCAAAATAATATAACTAAAACAATAAAATGACAAACAGAATTTAACACAGCTTTTTTTTTATTGTTCCTCCCTAGAGAATTTAAATTTGAAATGGAATATTTTCTGTATCAACTTCATATTTTAACGAAGAGTACAACTTTTTTTATATTACATTTAATATATTATTAAAATACTGTGTTGGGTTGATACGTAGCGTTGTTGGTATGGTTACCTAACTCCGTAGACAAGGGATAAGTCGGGGGCGTAATTAAAACGAATACCTAGATTCTTCTTTTGTCTTTCGTGTTGGAAGTGGGAACTCTTACGGGTGTGTAAAGTGAAGTAGTATGTCGGACTCAAACCAACTAACACCACACAGTGTTCCGTCAAAACAGAGTATATTGCCTAGGATACCCTAATAAAAAAGCCACCGAGAACCCCTGCAAACTTAGGCCGCCTTATAAACAGATGACCGCACCGTGGAGCACGGGAAGCCTAAACCCCCTCCAGATTAGAGAGTCGCGCGCGTAGCTAGTCGTGCCACCGTCTGAGGCCTGCTTCTGCAAGACTCCCAAACCTGACACCCAGATCCTACTGAAAATAGCAATTGTATACAGTTTTTAATCAGCCGCTCTTTACTGCTATGACCCTCATAAACACCACTGCGATGTAATTGCAATGGTGAGTGATGTCTATTGATCGAAGTGTTTATATTTGTTTTACTGCTTATGGTCGGTTTTACTTTTGAAAACTGTAGGTACTATGCGAAGCCGTGCAGTATCTTTTAAGGACACGTCTTCTGAGTATAATAAATAATATTCTTATCTATTCTATGTCACACTAGCCAACATGCTGGAATGTTTTAACGAGGAACTTCCGTACAATAAATCTGACGACGCCATTTCAATATACATTGGGCCTCGCTTTCAGAAAAATAATTATCAAATGTCGGAATTCAAAATTCCAGTATCCAGCTTTTGAAAAATCAATTATGTCCCAATTCAATTTGCTACATCCTTTTTCCAGGTCTATAGTATCGTCCAAGTTTTTATCTAAATGACCATTATTTCGAAGTGTTTATGATGGAAGATATTGTTAGTTATTAGTGTTATTACGACTGTCAACCGGTTTGTTAACTGCAGTGGCACTTTGAGTGATACACTTGCTCGTCATTGATTTTCATTTAAATATTAAGGATGTTATTTCTTGTTCTGAATCCAGATGCGGCAAATAAATCGACTTGAATGATAAGTTGTGTAAAGTTGTTATGTAACATAATATAAATTCACTTTTTTAAAGAGGCATTAGGAATAATTATTCAGAATCAGGATAGCTTCTCGTGGATAAAAAAAAAAGCGAATCTGGGGTTTCCCCAGATTGTACAACCCGGACTACAATAAAAGTCCGGGTTTTTGATCAGATCCCGTTCCTATAAATTTTTTTTTTAAACTGAGTAACTACTATTGGGTTTGTTTATCTTTTATTTAATACCTAAGAATGTTAAAAAATAAAGCAAATTGACTCACTTGTCGTCACAAGAACGCACTATTTCATGCAACAAAAGAGGCTTAAAATTAAAGTTTTCTTCTATCAAGTACGGAGTAAAATATAATTTAATCAAGATGTAGTTAGTATTTTAAACTGCGTTCCATGGTACAGTTCAGTGCGCGTGTCATTTTTATTTAGTCGTAGGTTCTTTTACACAATTTAGTACAATTTCTTAGTCAACGCATTAATGTAAATACGCGTGACCTCAAAACAACAACTGACATTTAGCACATATCTAGTCCACATTACATATTTCGACTAGCTCTTCGCGTATTTTTTTAATAATTACTTTAAATTATGTATCATGTGTGGGTTTGGGTGTTGATCTCGTTATTAAGATGAGTCCAGAATTTAGCAACGTAATAAAATATAATGACGTCCAAGATTTTCGTAAGATCCGCCAAAAGTAACGGTGCCAGATAATCCACTCTCGGATATTCGTGAATACGATACGGATATCTGACTATATGAATTATATTCTAATTTAACGTCCAAAGACATATTTCATTGTGTTGAATATTTGAGTCTCACTTTAAGTGTATTAAAGGTAGGTACTCTAAGATATTTTAACAAACTGTGTGTGAGATCCTGTGTGTGAGATCCTCGTATTATTATAAAAACATACACATTGACTTCAAAACCACTATTTTTATTTTTTGGAGCATAGAGGCGGGTATTACAAGTTTATGTTTATTACGTGTTTTAAATTAATGTCTCACTTTATTACAGAACTGATCTTTTTTTTTATAAAAGTAATTCAGATTTTCTCAAACATATTAATATGCTGCCTTTATTTTGCATCTCTGCCTAAGTTGTAAATCACGATCGCCAAAGTTGTAAATTTGAAGAAGGACAGTCCTAAAATAATAAACAGTTTCGTTTACACTTTTAATTTCTTTGAGAAATTAATGAAATCATAAGTCATGATCTGATTGATGGCAAGTGCAATTACTATGTTCTTGACCGTTTTGCTTAAAGCGCTAAGTTATTTAGTTAGCTTAGTGGTAAAATTGTTTTTTACAATTCCACACTAATCAAGTATGTCTGGGTGTCACTATCACGTAATACGTTGCTGATGAATATATATTCTGTAACAATTAGCGGATTTAGAACCTCCACGTCGCGTTATTTAATAACTTACCAACCTTAATTATGTAACTGCTTACAACAACTTTACCAATATTATTCGTAGGTCTCCTTTTTCAGTTGCTTGAACTTTTGGAAGGAAATAAGTTTTGAGTAAAAAACTTACAAGGACAGATCTGAATACGAGGGGTGATCAATAATTAATGATAATCGAGTATTTCTAGAACGCACAAAAACCCAAATTATTTTTTTTCTGCTTGCTTATATATCGACTACTTCAGCTTCAAAAAAATGTATAAATAGGACACCATTACCGGGAGATACATTCATTTGAATACGAACTGTCGAAGAGAAAACATCAAAATGGAGAAAAATGAAATAAGAGCTGTCATCAAGTACCTCTGCCTGAAAAAAATGTCTACCAAAGACATACACAGCGACTTAGAGGAAACATTGGGGGAGTCTGCTCCTCCATATTCCACAGTCGCACGCTGGGCAAAGGAATTTAAGCTGGGCAGAACCTCCACTGAAGATGAACATCGCGAGGGACGCCCTTCCACGTCCCTTACTGGAGAAAACGTCAAAAAAGTGGAAGATATCGTGTTGGCCGATCGAAGGGTGACCGTAAGGCATGTAGCTGAGGTCACAGGGATCTCCTATGGCAGCGTTCAAAAAATCATTGTCAACAAAATGCATATGAAAAAGGTCTCTGCGCGTTGGGTACCGAGAATGTTAACCGACGAGCAAAAAAAGAAACGAGTCGACATTTCGAGGGTGAATCTTCAAAAGTTCCAGGCCGATAAAGAATTTTTTTTGTCGCGTTTTGTGACCATGGACGAGACCTGGATCCACCACTTTGATCCCGAAACCAAACAACAATCAATGACTTGGAAACGAGCTTCCTCACCAACGCCGAAGAAATTCAAAGTGTCAAGTTCAGCGGGAAAGGTTATGGCGTCTGTTTTCTGGGATGCAGAAGGAATTATTATGGTGGAATATTTGGAAAAGGGGGCCACTATAACAGGCTCTTACTACGCAGGCCAAATAAGAAGATTGCGCGAAGCTATTAAGTTAAAAATACGCGGTAAACTGCGCTTACTAACTGGGCTAACTGGGCTTAGAAAAAAGATACACTAAATGTATTAACTTGCAAGGAGACTATGTTGAAAAATAAAATACTTTTTTAAATCTAATAGTTCTGTTTCATATTGATTATCATTACTTATTGATCACCCCTCGTACATTGCTTTTAGATATTCAAATGAAGACTAGTGCCATCATGATACATAGTCTGCTTAAAAGGTCTCGCGGCCTAAGAACTTGAGTTGTACTTGTACAAAATTAGAGATAATTCTGTGACTAATGTGTGTTAAGATTACTGTGTCTTGTTGGTGTCGTAGTTCAGACGCTACAAATAAATGATAAGATTAACTTACCAAGGGATCATACCATAGAGTATGTTATACATCATCCTAAAAAGAATTTCGGAAAAGTAGTTAACAAAAGGATTCTGCATAATAAAGTTGAGATAACTTTTCTTATCCACTGTATTGCATTGCTTTGCGTTTAAGTTTTTCGGGTAACATAAACTACTATATATATTCTTAATACAAAAATGACATATTTTTTTAAGTTTAATTTTTATTCTTCTTAATGAGCTCAACTTTTTTATTTATCATGTAGGTCAGCACAATGGGTGTTACCTCAAGGCGATTTTGATGGGGATATGATCTCAACTTCGGACTCTGCGGTCGGCAATTGTATTCTGAACCTGGAGAACAGATTCACTGAACCAGAGTCCTACCGAGTCTCCAATTACTACACGTTTTATATTGAGAGTCAGTGTAGCCATGACTGTAAGTATAGTATGATATAGTTGCTTCATGAGAGAGAGAGATCTTGCGATATATTTCTTGGTTAAATATTTTGTTCACTTATGATAATGTTTTGTATTTATCAGTTGTCTGTGTAGTGACGGATTAAGAATACGGAATGTCACTACCCCATTTCATCCCGTAGGTGTCGTAAGAGCCGACTAAGGGCGCAAAACAACGTAGGACACCAACACTTTAAAAAGAAGGAAAACTTGACACAAACCCTATACCAACCCATCTGGTCAGCGTGGTACAGTAGGCCAAAACCTCCTTTCTAAGGAGAGGCCTATGTCCAGCAGTGGACTATTAAATGCTGTTGATGATTTATCAATTCGTGTAATTACATAATGTGTTATCTTATTTATTTTATAATTATGGTTGATTTAAAAGAATGAAAAAATGTCCGAAACCTGATTATAAAGAGATCCGCAATAGGTACTCATTATAACGGTATCTATATTAGTCTTTGCAAATACCATGGAGGTATACATAAATAATTTCCCCTTATCTTTACAACTTTGTGAGTGCCACAGCCACCGCGCCATTGGTTTTTTTATGATTTTCCGGTTAAAAATGATAGAAGATACATGGTATGCTGCTCAACTGCACAGATGGAAACCCACACAGTGTAGTCATACTTACACCTCACAAAAATGAATAAGAATCTTGTATAAATAGAAGGGTTTAATACATATAATAGATTACTAGCTGACCCGGAAAACGGGTGGTGAAAAATACTTTACGACCGAGAATAGGTACCTCAAAGATACCTTCCAAATATACAAAAAAAATGTAGATATTTATCTTCTATCTACTAGTATATCCATAAAAGAAGAAATTGTCAGACTGATTCACTGACTGATCGATCCACTGAAACCACTGGGTCTAGTAGCATGACATTTTGCACAAATATACCTCAAGTGACGTAGGTGTGCACTAAGAAATGATTTTTAAAAGTTCCGCCCCTAAGGGTGCAAAATGGGGTTGGAAATATGAAACTTCGTTATTTCTGGTAGTAGCTTATTCAAACTTACAGTATATGCTATTTATTAAAATCAATAAAAAACGGTGGTAGTTTCAACACTAAGAAAGTATTTATAAAGAAATATTTTCATATTTGCATCTTTAGCAACTTTGTTCGATCAATCAGTAAATCAGTCAGTCAGTTATTCTTTATGTTCTTTTATATATATAGCCATAACCTTGATTCATTGTATCCTTTATGATGTTTAATGTCGACCAACACCCGGACGAAGTCGCGGGCAAAAGCTAATATATTATATACATACATTTTTTTTTATTAAAATCGGTCAAGTCGTTTCGGATTAGTGCGGCCACAAACACCGTGTCACGAGACAGTTATAAATTAGATTTCGGAAAGATTTAGTGATGCTAAATGTTAAGTACACAAAACCTATTACAATACACTCATACATTGACATATCACAATAACGTCCGCCAAGCTGAAGTAGACCATTCTATTGACCTAATTCTATTATCCTTTAGACCTCATGTACTGTCTAACTATTTTGAAACAACCCATTCTCTTTAATGATGGTTAAGCCCGCACGTTTTGATAGGAAAATCCATAGAAATATGAGGGCTCTATATAAGCAAGCATTACTGGCATTTTTTACAACTAGTTTTCTAATAAAATTTGAATAGTTAACTCGTTGTTCACCATTTTCTGATAAAACGTTTCATATTTTTACCTTTTCACATATCCTTTGTGTAGTCATGTCATCTTTGATGATGTTCTTAGGAAGACATTTAGGTCATTTAAGTATGATACAAAAAGTAGGTAGGTACATAAAGTAGCTACTTTTTTATAAAATTTAAAATTGTACTACTTCATGGAGCCAATAGTTTAAACCGCGTTATTATAAATATATTTTATTTCATATTATTATTATAGATCAAAAGAAGATTGACAGATGTTCTTACGAAGAATATCATAATCAGACGTTGAAACACGTAGAATACACAATCAAGAATTACACCAAAGATGAGGTAAGTCCCATGAAATTGTTAGTCCAAAAAGTTATTTTACCAGGTAAATACCTTGTAAAATAACCTTGTTTACAGAGCAGTACTGATCTGGAGGCAAAGCAAAACAAATGATTGGTAATATTGTGTAGGCAGTATTTACTTTCCGTGTAGTGACGGATTAAGAATACCGAGTGTCACCACCCCTATTTATCCTGTGGGTGTCTTAAGAGCCGACTAATTACCCAGGACCACAGCACTGCAAAGGGAAGGAAAACTTAAAACAAACCCTATATTAATCTATATTATAGTATGCCAAAACCTCCTTTCTAAGGAGAGGCCTATGTCCAGCAGTGGGCCATTAATGGCTGTTAATGAAGATGATGACGATAATGATGAATATGTACTTTACATTTAAACATTTGTTTTATCACTCACAGTTGAGGACTCAAATTAACAGCCAATTCGAGGTATTGCTTTCCAATCCATCCGTATAATAAATTTCCTACCGTTTCTTTCCCATCTAATATCTCCCCACTAGGAGGCACGGGCACTCTCGTTGTCGGTAATGCGCTTTCTCAGCCCTATTACTTGAGTTGGATCAAAATAATAGTAACCAAATTAACACACCTGCGTTTACCCCTTCACGGATTGCCTTGAGTATACGGTGATAATTTTAAGTGAAACTTATTGTAATGACTATTTCTTGAGAGTGTGTTACGGAACATAATAGGCTAGTCAACAAGTTCAAAACGTGTTAATTCTTGACAAAGCTCCTAAAAATATGAGCGATGGCTCATTCGATTCGGAAAATGTATCGAAAGTATGTATTAGCATATAAAAAATTTGCAATTGTTATTAATTGGTCCTAAAACGTAGTAGTTCTAAAAGGTCGTAGAATAATTGGTCCTAAAACTATTAACTATTACTACCTGCGGTATATCCGAGATTCAAGAAAAGAGCGTACTCCTGTCTCAAAGGCCGGCAATGCGCTTGTGACTCCTGAGTTGCAGGCGTTCATGAGCGGTGGTAGTCACTTTCTATCAGGTGACTTGTCTGCTCGTTTGTCCCCATATTTAAAAAAAAAACAGTGTACCTGCAATTTTTATTTAACTGAGTAACTAATAAAATTGTACATACACTCAATTATAAGTACCTACCTGTATTCTTGAAGGAATAGACAAAGGCTCAATATTATAATCCCTCTCAGTAACATCACAGGTGGGGAAATTAGGCGTGGTATCTTTCATACGATGTATTTTCTGTCCTGCTTTCCATGAAGCTTTTACACAATCGTCTTAATCGAGCTTAATTCCGAGCGCTCATATTCGATTAGAAAGTATCGATAGGCCTTGACGTCTTTGCTCTTCGTGATCGCTGTTAATGAAGTCAAGTACAGATTTATTTCATAAATTAAATGATTAAATATGAACCTTTCTAAGATTAGTAATATCGAGACAATCTCATAGTTATCGACTAATCTCATAAAAACAAAACACCTCAATTTTTTATTTGCTGGAATCATTGTTGTTTTTTTTTTGGTGTATAGTGCAAGACATCGTGTGAGATAGCCGAGCGATTTGTATGCCGTGGGTTCACATGGATAACAGAGGGACATTCTAAGGGTAGCACAGTAAGAGGGCTCTGTGACTTGCACAGCGAGGATCTAATCACAACAGGCTCTTGGCTCTTGAGGAGAGTTTCCGCTGCTACTTACTACCGAAGAGTGATCTGTCTTAACAGTAAGTAGGTTTGATAACATTTTGTCACTTTCGTTTATTTGTGATTTTAGTTCTTGTCTAGTAGTAAAATACTTAATATTGTTCCCAGTAAGCGTAGAATGCGAAGGAACTGACATGTTACTGACGTACAAACCACGTGGCGTGTTCCGAGGCCGTGTTTACGTGCCGGGCCGGGGCGACAAATGTAGTGCGCGCGGTACAGGGGCAGAGGCACGGCTGACATTACCTCTGCACGGGGATTGTGACGTCAACTTTGCGTATGGCATATCTAATGGACCTAATGGTATCATTAATAGGTGAGTAGTGCTGCTTGCTTCTATACATAGAGCGTAACTTAAAAAAGATAGCTTGTTATCTTCAAAAATGTTCTCATATACGTGCAGTAACATACCTATTTGGTTTAGTACCATGGCGTACGTCATAATCATGATCCAGAACAATCCCATCATACAGACTGCTGGTGACCGCTGGGTTCGGGTGGGGTGCTCACCAGGAGCGCGTTCAGCCACGCAAGTTGATGCTACGATCGCTGTCAGAGAAATTGGGTAACTATTTTGTTCACGGCCTTTTTTAATTTTAGATAGATACATAGATAACTCTTTATTGTACAATGAAAACATAATAATAATACAGTTTGTATACATTGGTGTGAGTCTTATAATCTAAAGTTATATAAGTGAAACATAGAAAGTAAAATATTAAAAGTTGTACAATTGGCGGCATAATAGCGATTTGCGATCTCTTCCAGACAACCACTGGATAGATATATATAGAGAAGAAGAATAGGATTAAGATAGGGAGTTGCAATTTGAATAAGATTTTTGAATTAAGACTTAAGAATTAAGACTTATAAAAACTTATTTAAACATATACACTAAACACATACATAAAATTTTAGCTTTTAAGTTATTTCTTACGTTGTCGAGCTATTAATACGATGGAGCAAAACTGCAAAAACATGTATTCCATCATGACAAAAATCTATATTACCATCAATTATACATTAACATTGGCTCACTGTTATTGTTATGAAAATGAGAAATAGGGAGCTAGACGCTATTTTGCCTTAAATCAGGTTCGAATGAGCAAGTATTGAATTGTGAAAAAAATACTTACCGTGACGTATCCGACAAGTATTTTAAAAATATGTACTGCTAATCTGTATTAAGTAAACTGTATTTGAAGTAGTATCTATATAATAGAACAGGTTCAGGAGCTGAGTTTATATTTGCTTGACTGACTTCTGTTCCCGACGATTGAAAAATATCTATTTTTTCATCAGTCAAACTATTTTATTTCATTATAATATTATCTAATAAAAGATATAATTTGAAACAGAACAAGCTATAAATCGCCAATATCAGTGAGCGAAAACGAAATACCAAAGGCGGTGGCCCCCGGAGCTGCAAGTGCTGTATACGCCGCGAGCACTGCTCCCATAACGATGTACGTTGTGCGAGCACTGGATGACACTGGGGCAGGCACTGTCTCCCTCGGCGAGCCGCTGGAATTGAGAATCGAGACTACTGGTAATGTTTATCTCGGAAAATTTTATTTCATATTTATATATTTGTATAATTATATGTACTTATATGTGTATTAAAGATAATGGAACTCATTGTTTTCCTGCCAATAAGCTTTTTAAATTATAACTAGTCTACTACTACTACTAGGTCGAAATTCGACCATAATTTATTTGATTTTTAGTTTTAAACTTTATTAGTGTTCTTTTGTCAAAGACTATATCTCTATAATCAGAGGTTTCATCATGGCTATAATGTATTTCTAATGCATTTTATTTAAAAAAAATACGTTGTGCACTTCTTCTCCTTATAACTTTAACTGTGTCAAATTTTACGTTCATCTGTTTGCGCAAAAATCTTAAAAAGGGGTACAAAGTTTTAGCTTCACGTATTAATATATCTACATTCTAAATATGCCAATTATCTGCATGTTAGGAATATATGATTACTTTTAAAGTTAGTTTGCCACCTTGTAAATATACTCTACTTCTTAGTTTCTTAGTAGTAGTCTTCTTACTTCGTAACCAAGTTATTTGCCGAAACTTCTACATCTGGAAGAGCCTGTACAAAACGATAATAGAACTTACAATACTTCTTTTAAAATATTAAATATCAAGTAAGTATAGAAGTTAATCTCATAAATCGGTCCTTGCTTAGATCTGCCTTGGTTGATGTACGTTAGCCGAAACATTAATATAAAATTAGACTATCTGCTTAGCTGACTAACGTAAACTAAAATTGTTTCTATCAAAATAATGATTACAATTGTTGCTTCAAAAACACTACGATTAATGGGTAATTTAGTCTTGCTTCCAATAAAAACAACCAAACGTTAACTCATTACAAGTAATTTCATGTCTCATTAGGAAATCTACATATAAAGTATCTACTTGTAGATCTTGTTATTACTAATCTGTCTTAGATAAGAATTACATAACAAGGTAACTTAGATTATAGTTTCCGTCAGGAGGCAAAATCTCCTGTTTTTGTTCTTCATTAAGTTTACTAATTTACTAGTAAATTAGTAAATTCTATCCTAAGTACGCACTCCTGTGATTTGTTTTGACAATTCAGATTGGTAACTATGGTCTAATAATGAACCCAAGAGGTAGATAGCTTTTAAAAAACAGACTTACCTTGAATAGGCTACTTTTTGTCGATAAATTAAGCATTGAATTTGATCCAACTCACCAATTTCTATGTTTAATTTAAGGTGAATTCTACACATACGAAGGCGCATTTTATAGGGAAAATATTTTTAATTAAACCAATCAAATCCACAGTTTACTCGTATTCTCTCACAGAAGATATAAAAGATGATTACAAAATTATGAGCAAGAGTATTTAGAAACCGGCCAAGTGCTTGTCAAACCATGCAAAGTGTAGGATTCTGTAGTCTATTACCTCCCCTTTTTAAGTAAGTAACAAATCGAGCATTGCGTGTAATACATGTATCTATAGTTTACGTTCGATTGCAGATGAGACGGAGCTTGAGGCGTATCATCTGGTGGCTTCATCCAGGCTTGGGGACAGCTCTGTCCTTCTTCTCGATAGTACAGGATGTCCTACAGGCCAGGTAACAAAAATATTTTCTAAAAATTAACTCTGTCTGACAGGAGCTGTACCAGTGCTTTGTAGTAATGAAGGGCATTGCTATAAGTACATCATCATCGGATCGGTGTACTATGCGCGTAGGTATATCATCGGACAGTGCTGTACTTAGTATAAATCTCAGAACCCTACAACGTTCGTGGCCCCATACACACTTATCGCTTAAAAATATTTTTTTTTCATATCCATTTTATTTTTCAGGTGGATTTCCCGCAGTTCACGAGGTCTTGGCTCGGAGGAACACAGCGACTGTCGGCTCGGTTCAAAGCGTTTCGCTTTCCTACATCGCATGTAGTTCGATTTGCACTCCTGGTGCGATTCTGTGAGAACAAGTGTCCTCTCGTAAGTTTCTTTCACGTACCTAAGACGTCTGTTGAATTCTGTGAGGTTATGGGGACCTTAATAAATGTAATGGGATTACGGTTTGCCCATTTTTCACCGTTAATATTTATGGAAAACGTTATATTCTCTTCAGCGCCTGTTGGTATTTTTTATGCGAAATAAGACAATTTTCCTACCTTCATTTCCAACCTGTCTTGTCACATATTCACACGAGTTTATTCGCTCTTAACTTTACACGGTTGTAGGAACGGTATACTCACGACACTACCATATTTGAAGGATCCATTTATTCTTATTAATCACACCCTACATCTTAATCCCACATACTTTGGAAATGAATGAAGACTACACGCATACTGAAGCATGCTCGTAACCGTAGGTAGTCATAATATCAATTAATGTCAATATAGCTTTACAATGACTGTTGTGTTACGTCTGCTGTAGATTATGAGTATTTATCTTGCCTTATCAGTAAGGGTCAAATGTTGCGTACCAGGGATTTCCTTTCTAAGTTAGGTTTTCTGGTTCCTGGCGTAAGATTTTTTGTCAGTTCGAGTCCGATATAACTATCCCGCCGGTCGTCCGGTGCGGGGTATTGGAGGGATTTCAGCACAAATAAAAAGGGTCAATGTTGCAGCTTAATTTTATAAGTTTCCCCCAAGCTATTGAGCTGAAATACGGAAACGACGAAATTTAACGTCAATGTCATCTATATTAATGTTTTTTATAGATTTTCATCCTTTTTATTAATTCAATGAAATACATTATTTATACTATTTTATGTGCCGACATCGTAGGATTGGACATTTTTAAGCTGGAATGACAATGTGTTTTGGAAATAAATGTAAATAAATAAATTGTTAATAATATTTTAATTGTTGTTTCAGAGAGAATGCAATGGCAAACAAAACAGAAACGTACGTCAAACGAACGACACCTTCTACCAGTTAGGGGATGAAGTTCAAGCGGCGGTAACATCAGATACTATGACGTTACGTAGAGGAGGCGTGGTTGCCCAAGGTGGGGCTCCTCCATGCACTCCTGCAGTTGCTGGCGCAATGTCGATGGAATTGGAAATGCTTGTGGGATCCAATTACATACTGTCTACCGACACGCTGGTACGAGCTGATCATCGATCTTCTATACGTGAGTATGATTATGTGTGGGATAAACATGTTAAAATCTTATGAGAACACCAATAAATACGGAAAATATTGTGCTTAGGCAAGAAGGCAAATATTTAAGTACCTATTTGGAGATCATGACCGTCTAATTCAAGTTTACTCAGGAGGTTCCTATCATCGATTCTGTTATTTTAGCGGAGGAGGAAAAGGTGACAGATGGCGCGTTGGTGTGCATCCACGAGTTGCTCCTGGTGTCATTACTACTCGCCTGGCTTGCTGTACAGATACTGCTGCTACTTGGTTGCTGTGTTCTCGTCAAAAGGTAAAATCGAACAACGTAGTTCTTTCTGTAGATTGAGGATGATAACATAAACGAATAAAAAATAGGGCGGAGATTTAATTAACAATAAAGTTATTGAAAAATGTGCAAAAAACTTTGTTTGCGCCTTTTTGAAAGCCACTTCATCTTATGTATTCCATTAAAACAATTGAAGACGGTTATCCAACCCCGAACCCTAAGCACAGATAGGTCTGTGTGTAGATATGAGAATGTGTCACGATCCGCTAACATCTATCTAACTATATTTGAAGCAATGAAAGGCTCGTCTTTCTTAATTTGTTTCTTTGACTGGAAAAGTACATACAACTTTACTGTTCACTCATATTCAAATTTATACTTGTCCTATATACGATTTCTGTTTATTTATTTACAGATATCGTAACCTAGCCGATCTGAGCATGCAGAAAGACTACCAATCATTTGACAACGTAGGCTTCGACACCGTGTCTTCGCACCGTCGAGTGCACTGGCCGGATCAGAACATTGACATACTGCACGCCACTTAATTTTTATTTCATCTTGTTGATTTGTTTCTTTCTAATTACTGATAAAGACTATTTAAACTAATAGGGAATATGCATGTATTTTTTTTATTTTTTTAAACGATTCTACTCGTTATTACATTACCAAAAATAAATATAACACATCCGAAATATAAACCGTTAAGCAAAAAAAAATTATTAATATCACTATCATTTTGGGGCAATTTGAACACATCCATTTTGGCGCGCTTTTTTTGTGACGTCAGACTACACTTTCAGACGAATTCGATGTCAACAACGGAGTGAAGTTCACAAAGTTTGTGAAAGTTAAAAAAGTGAGTGATATAAATTAACTTATTACCATGGAAAAGCTAATAAAAACTTATTATAAATATTGTGCCGTTCCTTTGTGCCAAAATAATATCAAAACTGCACCTGACAAAGTATATTCAGTCATTGTGTTGAGTCTTTCTACACGGGAATTTAATAATTTGACACTGAAAACGTATTAGTTATTAACTTAAAATGAAACAAATAATCACCAGAAACCAAATATTACAAATACACACAACTTGTTGACACTCTTGACAGTGTAGGTTGACGTCACGTTTTATTCAACCAATAGCGTTGCGTTTTAGAAATTTGCGAGGGAATCTTAAAAAAGCCAATTTTTGATGATTAAATTTCACTATTAAATTATAATAAATTTCAAAAATAATTGTATGGGTATCTTCTTTTAGCAATAACAATTACAAATAAAAATATTTTGTCCATTTTGGTGTCACGTGCATATTCCCTATTGACTTTTTTTTTACTGCACGGATGGCGCAGTGGTTTAAGCGGTCGCCACGCCGCTTTCTACTGCGCCGAGTCTTGTTCAAACCCGAAAAGCGAAATTAACTTGAAAATGAGCTATTGAAAACTACACGATGTTTCAGTACCAGTGGCAATAGCTTCCAACCCTATTCAACTGTCAAAACCTGAGGAACGTCCGTTTGACATGAAATCTGTCCTAAAAATACATGGACACATATGGGTCCATTTACTAATTTTCAATCACTATAGGTGAAAATAAAGGTTACAATGTTTATGAGCCCTGCACCGGTGTTTACTCTACGATGACTGGTAAATCGTTTTCAGGATGGAACAGAGCTAGACCTCCTTCTCATTTTAGCCTATGAACGATCATTCCTAAACGGATAGTCTCCCTGACGTTTTATACTGATGCGGTTTTGTTAAATTTATATATTTTATAGAATTAATATTAAAAATGATCTATTAAAGTCTTAAGTCTGTTGTTACGTTGAAGATGATATTTGTTACAATAATCATAATGGTTTTGAAGATCGGTTGTCTATGTACCTAGAAGCATGGTGGAGACATAGATATATCTATGCAAGCTTCTCTATGACTTCACATAACCAGAATTTTTCAACAGTTAAACAACGCCCATCGTTGATCGAGTCCTACGTCCTATTATGCTGTGGTTGATGCATATCGAGATTCGGTCTCGATATGCTATGTATTTAGCTTGAGATGTATTAATTTTCTTGAATGACTATGCTCCACACTTTTTTCTTGATGTTGAAATGTGTCTGTTAAGTCAGATGAATACAGTGGCACACGTTTTCTACCTTTTTAAATTTATACTGCTACTTGATAGCTCGTAATTATTTAAAAAGCATTCAAGTTATTAGACCAAATATGAAATTAATGTTTTAATACGTAAAGAGATGCCAGTCTACTAAAGTCAAGGATACCTTTTAGAGTAAATATACGTTTTTAAATCTATTTTGATTTTTAAATTCATCCTTCTAACATGTAAAATAAAAATGTGTACGATTATTTCCTCAAACTGTTCCACTTTATTGATATTGACAGTATTTATAACACTTTTTAGATTTTAAAATCGCTCACAATCATATCTAAAATAAGAAATTTTCAATTTATATTAAAAACCAGATATATACGTATCATAGTTATAGTCATAAGTTGTAGTCATATCATATAGATAACAGTTTCCAAGTCCATACTGGAGGCATCCTTGCTTGAAGTAGTAGTAGTGTGTAATTCTCGATAGTCATCATACTAATCAATCAATTGTCGGTTTCCTGTCGCATACTATCAATCATTGAGTGGCATTAGGTGATGCCGTATGAGGAGGTGGTGCTGACTGCGGTACTGGAGATGGGGGCTGACGCGCGGAGCCTCGTGGCGCGACTTGTCTCACACTCTGACGGTTCGATGCTGCATTGTAATGATAACCGTCGAACTTGTCACCTGTCGACGCTGAGGGGAACGTTGCGGTACCCATGTACATCACCTTAAACAATTACATTTAGACAATATTTAAAAAAGCGAACATTTTTATAAAGAGTATTAGTTATAGACTTGTAAAAATTAGCAAATACAAAACTAAATAATAATCCTGGTACGTATACCATATGTATAATATGTAGTATGTATAATATATAGTTCGACATACCTGTGGCTTGTACCCATCAGGCCCAGCTTCATACTCAACCAGCTGCATTCTGCCATCAGGCAATAAGACATGGTAGGAACCAGTCGCATGATCCTCTTTCCTCTTTTCATTGTGGCCAAAGTCAAGGCTGACTCCATTGTCTTGTACGTCATACGAGAAATCGTAGTTAGCGGCAGGCTACAAAAGTACAGAAAATATTGAAACTTAGGTATGGTTTGCTATTTTTTATTTTTGGACCAATAGACATGGTCTGGCGAAGTACTTGGCCACACACGAACGCGGCCTATTCAGTAATTGAATAAAAATTGCCCAACCGTTGGGTTCCCCATCTCTGCATTTACTTCAAGGCTTGGGATGGATATGTTTAGATGTTTGCTCAACTACCTTATAAATCTCAAATCTGTGCCTCATACATAGCTTAACATAAGTTGTAGTAAAACTTCTTGCCAGCGAAAGAGTCTGAAGTCCTGACTTGAGAGTTTTACTACTACTTAGCACTGGTAACCAAAATTCTTGGGTAACGTAGATTGATCTGGGTTTCTTGTTGTATTTTTTTAGAGAATAGAGGCAAACGTGTAAACGGATCACCTGATGGGAAAGTATCCTCAAGGCTTTTGAGGAAGGAGTAAGCTCTTTTTTTGAAGTTTTGAAAGCGGTATAAGCCGTAGCCGTAGCCGGAAATACCGCAACGGATAACTTGTTCCACAGGTTGGTAGTGCGAGGTAAAAAGTGTCTTGAAAAGCGCACAGTGGTGAAGTGCCAATTATCCAAGTTGTGGAGATGAAGACACAGAGGTTGTGCGTTCGATTCCCACCCAGGACAAATAATTGTGTGATGAGCACGATCATTTATTTAGTGTCTGGGTGTAAGTTATCTATAGTATGTAGTTATTTAGAAATATTTAAGTATGTGTATCGGCACTCTGATTACCATGGTACAGGCTTTGCTTAATTTGGGATCAGACGGCCCTGTTTGACATGTGTGAGGTTATTAATATTATTATCTACCACGAAAAAGCCTTTTAAAGATAATATTTATATAAAGATAACGTATGATAGAAAAGTAGAATATCTCATATCTCTGATGATTTACATACGGTTTATTAATGTGCTTTAATAAAGTAAGGTAAATAAATCACTTAATACATAATTGTAATAAACGTATCTTACCAATGCCTCCTGAAGAGGTTTCTTGCCCCCTCCTACCTTGGGAGGTAAATATTCCTGTGCAAATACTCTTGACCATATTGAGATTAGGACCAACAAAATAGCCTGAAAAAACATGAAATTAAAGGTATCTCTATAGTTTTATAACTATAATACAACAAAAAACAAAAGCAGTAAAACTTTCAATAGTTTATTGCCTTAATTTCACATAGATAGCATGCACATAGCACATAAAAATGGTTTAAGTGGCTGAAAAGATGGAGCATGTTGTGTAGATTGGTTTACAGTGAGACTATATTAGTTTCTGATATGTACCTACTAATAACAATCAACCATTAACGTCTTACTCCTTAACCTGTGAAATTCCCTACGTGGCGTAGGTTTTATTTTGGGGAAATATCAATAGATTAGTATATATTATTTTATTTGTAAAACATAGAGAGCAGAGTAGTCTAAACTATTTACATCTCAATTTAATAGTCCGAGTTCAATATATCTTTTCTGGTGGTGCCGGTATAAGAGTACGAAGGGTTACCACTACTATTCATATCGTGGGTGTCGTAAGAGCCGACTAAGGGAGCCAACTACGCAAAGAGAAGGAAAACAAACCCTACACCAAAACGTCTGGCCAGCGTGGTATAGTAGGCCAAAATGGCCAAAATGGCTAAGGAGAGGCCTGTGTTCTACAGAAGTTCTACAAAAAGAAGTAGTCATTTAGTTTTTATTGTTTGCGTAATTTATATATTTTAAGCGTTGTATGTGTATGTATATACTGTTAGCGTGTCTATAATAAATAAATAAGAAGTTTTTTTAGTATTTATTTAGCATGAGCTAACCTGTGCATCCAAAAATTATTTAAACTTAATATTTTCATTATTTTGTAAAGTACCCACAGTAAATACGCGTTTCAGATTTGAACTGACTAATCAATCTCGTACAAGGTGGGCAGCCAGCAGTGGCACGAATGACGATATACAGTTGTGATAACCTATTCAGCTAGGACCTAGGGTCCAAGGGAGCGCGCCCGGAGCCGGCGTGGCGCGTCCGTAGGGGCGCCAGACAAGCCATTAGAAGGAAGCATTGCCTTATTCGTTAACTTTCTTCGTCTTTAAAAAAAAACTTCCGGTGTAGATAAATAATAAACTATTTGTCTACTTTTAAAGGCAGAGAAAATAAACTTAAACAATAATGCCAGCATTGATTGTGAATTTCGCAAAGAATATCGCAAAAAAATTGAATGATTAAACAAATATAGCTGAGCCATAATTGAATAAATATGTATATTTATTAAGTCATGCTTAATAAATATAAAAAAAAAGCCGCGTGTAAAAGTTGTAGTAAACCATGAAATATGCATTAACTTCTTTAAAAATTGCATAAAAAGGATTAAAGAATTTTTAAATCTTACCGGTAGTTCCATAAAATAATATCTTGAAATTTACTGTTGGTATAGATTAAACAAAATATGTCACTTACAAAATAACCCGCGCCATAGTTGTGTTGTACTCGCGTTCTTTCGTCTGGAGGGCACTTGGTGACTTTGGAACAGCTGAGCGACAGAACGAGGTTTATAAATCCGCAGATCTGCGGTTGTGGTCGCAACACCTTCTAGTATTTTTCATTAGCAAGATGCACGAACTACAAAAATTTCGAAATAATTTTAAATGACTGAGCTATTCTTAATTTTCGCTGTAGTAATAGAGTAAACTATGTTCAGTATTGTTGCCATGAACTGAGAAAAGGAGTGAAATAACAAACAAAAAAGTAATTAAAAAAGTAATAAAAATAATTAATTAAAACATAATAAGTAATTAAAGTAATACTAATTTAACACCAACGACAGTGTTGAACCTTGATCAGTTCAGTTTGGGTCCTACCTAATTGCACTCACAAATGAATGAAATCGTAAGTCTTCCTACCTTCAACATGTGAACATTAATTGTAAGTGCTGTAAGATTGGCGAGTGGCTAACACGCAGCCAAGACCTTAAAATGATATAGCATTGTTTTGACGACCTTGGATGATGCACGAAACAACGAAATCCTTCTCCGATCAGCTCAAATTTTGTCTGGATAATAGGAAAGGCTGAGCGTGGATCCTGGTCTTAGATGACGAAGCCAGGTGTTCTCCAGCGCATGCCTCGAGCTGGGCCAGTTTTCAAAATTGTGGAAGACGGGGAAACTGGTCCTCAAGGAGGGGCGCCTGGCGGACTCGCCATTCGCCTACCGGCCCATAGTGTTGCTTGACGAGGTGTGCAAACTCTTCGGAAGAGTGATTGCAAGGATCTGGCGGACAACCAGTACGGTTTCCGACACTCCACCGTGGATGCGAACATGCGCGTGGGAGCTCTTGCGGAGGAAGCAGTTTCCCGGGGCGAAGTGATGTTGCCGGTGTCCTTGGACATCGCCAATGCGTTCAACACTTTGCGCTGGAGTTGCATCAGGGCAACGTTCGTGTATCACGAAGTACCTCTCTACCTCTGCCGCATGGTCGAGGCATATTTGTCAGAGAGAGCCGTTGTCTACCTAAGTAGGACCGGTCCCGGTAGACGTAAAATGCCGTGCGGTGTCCCACAGTCACCACGGGTGGTATTACTCTTGTGGAACATCGGCTACGACTGGGTGCTTTATGGCGCCTTACTGAATGGTGTCGCCATCGCGGACGACACACTCGTTACGGCGACTCACCGTCAGGCAACCCTGAGAGCCACGGCCGGGGTTTCACGGGCCTCGGAGGAAGCCACCTGAAGGATCCAGCCTTATAGTAGAAGGCACTCGCATCGGCATCGAGTCCTCCAGGAGGTATCTGGGGCTCGTATATGATTGCCGATGGGACTTCGGACATCATTTCCAAGGCCTGGTCCCCAAGTTGGTTGGGGCAGCGACATGAGAGGACCCGATGACTCCTGCAGACTTTACTCGGGGGTTGTGCGGTCCATGGCCCTTAATGGGTCCAGTATGGGCAGAGGCCCTGAAGGCCAGCAACGTCGCACTACTGCGACCACCGCAGCGAGTGCTGGCCATCAGGGTCACAAGGGGACTCCGATCACGCACGATCTCCTTTGAGGAGGCGAGTCTCCTGGCCGGAACTTCACCTAGAGGCGAGAGCCCTTGCGGCTCAGTATTAGTGGCGCAAGGAGGCGCGGGAGTTGGGTCGGAGTCCTTAGTCTCGAGAAATCGAGGATCAGAAATCACAACTCCGCCAGGTCCTTATGGAGGAGTGGAAGGAACGACTTGGGCACGCCGTTATAGCGGCGGTAAGACCCGTTATGGAGGATTGGCACGAGAGGTATCACGGGTCCCTCTCACACCGGTTGACGCAGGTGATCACCGGGAAAGGATGCATCGAAGATCACCTGTGTCTGAACCGCAAGGAGCCAACGCCTGAGTGCCAACTGCGATGGCCGGACCGTGGACACGGCGCTCCACACGCTGGCAGAATGCCCGCCGTGAGTGGAGCAGAGACGTTGCTTCGTGGCGGCCATCGGAGTGGCAATTCTCTCGCTCGGTAACATGATTGCCGTCTTGGTGCGTTGCAAGAGTGTGTGGAACTCCGCCGTCTCCTTCTGCAAGCAAGTTAGGCCTGCAAAGGAGATGGCAGACCACTCATGAGCATACGACTCAGGCGCCGGAGGTCGCAGACCTCCGTCCTCCATAAGCGGAGGCTTAGGCGTGGCCATCTGTCACCCTAGCAGAAACAGGAGGGGGTGGTGGCGAGATGCGCTGCGGAGCGCGAGCGCCCTTTTGGGAGCACAAAGGTGATATAGGGGTTACCATCTACACGCCGTAGATGGTCCGAGGTACGTCGGGGTATCAGGGATTTCCTTCCTAGGGTACACCTGGTTCCCCGGCAACTGGTAAGCGAGACGGCGTGCGGTTTTTGGTCGGTTCGAGTCCGACATAACCACGGTGGGTGGTATCCGAGGGGATTGCCGAACAAAAAAAAAAAGGGGAAAGAACAATGGCAGGTCCCCATACATAAGTTTATTTGAACTGAAATGTTAACGTTTAACTATCAAAAACTCCTTAATACTTGAGAATTTATTCTTGACCATTCTCATACCAAAATTACTAGCAAAAGAAGTCTAGGAAAAAAGATATTGGATTTTGAATGTTTCGAGGTTAAGTACTAACACATTGTTAATGTTTTGTTTGATACTAGATGGCGTTGTGTGTCAGGTAGCCGAAAATATTAATATCATTATTATTACTCATAAACAATCCTATTTTGCTGATGAAAGTGTTAGCCGACTCCCTAAGAGGGTGGAGGTTATTTTAGCAATACAGGGTAAAACAATAGAAGAACTCTTTGGTTACCAAGCAGGTGTAATACCAGCTATAAATAAATCATCACATATTATGAATTATAAAAAATTGCTGCAAGCAATATTCAACTTTAGGAATTAGCACCTTCTGTTTAATATCTAGGTCATTTATAGCAACCGAAAGACACGTTAATTGCCGTTGTTAGATAATTGTCTTTAAGGGCGATAATTGCTTGCAACTGTTTTTGTTATCTGTATGCGTTAAGGAAACGAAAAATTCAATACGACTAGAGTTCTGTCGTAAATCGTATCTGCCGTAAAACGCATCTGTCGTAAAGCGAATCTGTCCTAAGGCGAACAAGGCCACAAAACTTATTTTAGTGGAAATGAATAAACTCATTATGATTGCAGTGTTATTTGAAGCGTCTGGATTGAAAATTGCAGGTTTTTAATAAGTTTGAGTATTCTTATATTTTAACGATAATTCGCATACAAGAGAATTTGAAGAGTCGCAACACTAGGTACGGTAAAGGACCTAACTAAGTGACTTTGAAACGAAGTCTAAATAAAGTTCTATCAATTGAATGATATTTTGATATGTTTAAAAGATTTTACAGTTAGATTTAGTCATTAAGAATTCTACTTTTTGAGTGAGTTGAGTTGAGTGTAAGTTGAGTGTGAGTTGTTACGCCAATACAAAGTTGTTTCGTCTTGAAAAGTATAAAACCTAAAAAAAGGACCTAATGAAAACGAAATCAGCTGATCGGTAAGCTGATGAAGCGACAAGTTTATAAAACGTTATTAAAAAGTTGTTTTTTTTTTCATGCGGACTGTTTTATGTTTTGTCGTGCTCTGCCGCAGAGCCACCCTAATTAATGCCCATCAATTATATTTTGAAATGATGTACGTCCAATTATGTACATAATGTACCAGGGCCATTATCGCTGTACGTACACTTTACGAGTAAAACAAAATAATGAACTTCGATTGTGACTCTGCTGCGGAGCATACTTCCTAGCAGAGCCAACTACTGCTACGAGTACAGCTACTGTTTTTTGTAGTGTGTATTAGTAGTGTGTTGATAGACAAAAGCACTGATGTATGAATACTGTTTATTGCATACGTGTTGTAAAATATAATTTTTAAGATGTGGTTTTGAGTTTTATAGAAAATGCCATATTATTTTGTCAGAGCAAATTTTTTTAAATGATCTGCTATTGAATTTAATTCCAAACATAATATTTTTATTGTATAAAATATTCTACGTTGCTTAAGAGAAACTACGAATTTCTAATTTTTATTTTCATCTAATGACGATTGTAAAACATGAAAGTTTAATTTCGTTTTTTAGTTTATTTTATACTACGTATGTTACTGTACACATATTCTTAATTATTGTGATTAAATGAACAATTGAATGAAGGATTTTGTTACTTTAGTCACTAATGCATCAAAGAATACTTAGTTATTATTTGTAAAATAAATGTAAAATACTACAACAGTAAAATGTTGCTTAATCTTTTTTGATATGTGTAACTAATTTAAATATCAGTATCTATAAATTAGTTGCTTATTACTACACATATCATCCGCCACATTGCGCCATCTGATTAAATGGTTCGATTGTATGAAATGTGGAGGACAGCGCCATCTAGTATCGACTAAGTACATCTATTAGGTAAGATTGTGGTTAATACGAGTAGTTCTGATCTTTACAGCGCTAGATGGCGCTGCAAGTAGCGCATGACTGATTCTGGAAAATTCTTGTTGTTTGGAACGGACTGTCGAATACTAGGAATTTTCTAGTAAAATTCAAAAGCACAATAAAAACGGAGCGTGTTGGCCGTTCGACACAGATTCGTTTTACGACGAGGAGTTTCTAGTGCGGTAAAAAAAGTAAGTAACCGACAACTTTTATTATTCATATACCCAGCTCGTAACAATACTAAATAATTAGACCATTTTTTAAGTGAAAGTCAGTTTCATTTTAAAATAGCCTTTTTCATCTTTGAATTTGCGATTGCGATTTTCTTTTATGTATAAACATGTAGTAAATAGTTTTAAATTTTGTGCTGCGATATACATTCATCATTGTAGTCAAAAATCAGTAAAGTTTATTTGATTAACGCTAGTTTACTTAACAAGAGCAACACCAGCCTCAAAATATTTGATCTCGAATTCTCGATTTTGTTGGTAACAATTACTGTTTACTGTTTACTAAAAAGACAATGAAGCTCAGTTTTTACTTTGTGACGAACAGCTATCCTATCTAGCCTGTGAATTTCTACCTGATACACTTTCATTCTACACGACTGCAATGGAAGAGTTTAAAGAAGACTTAGCGGGTAGAACAAAACTCTTATTAAGAGCTATTACTCTTGATTAAACAACATCAGTAGATACAAATCCGACGTCCTGTTCTGCCCCCATTGTCATACAATTATCGAAAATACCAAATTAGAATAATGACATTATACAGTGACTTTACTTTAAATATGCTAGAGAATGTTATGAACTCGAAATAAAATATAATTTTAAAACGGTAAGTCTACTTACTATCCTTGTTTTGCCGAACAGATAAAACTGTATAACACTTAATGTAATTGAGCTTACACGAACTTTAGTTAAAAATAGTGGCATGTAGGTCTTGATTTCAAGATCACGATACTGTAAAAAAGTTAAACCGCCAGTAACACGACTTACTGTATGTATGACAACAGCAGGGGCAGGCTGGGAAGCACAACGTATTAAATAATTTGCCTCTGCTGTCAGCACTGTGCACGCTTTTTCTTTATTTTAGTCTTAAAAACAAATAAAGACAGGGTTGCTTCCACTGGCAGCACTGAGCAGCCAAATGTCATGCAAAATGCAAAGTTCCCGATTAATCGGGCGATCTACTGATATTGGTTTTTCCTTCCCGATATCCCGCTTTAGCGACCCTGTCTACCGAATGTTTACATTTTACTCTTTCTTCAGATTTTAGATTTGGTTTCACAGATTTTCATTAAATTAAATTGAGAAATGCATTCTGGATCAGCAAGAATACATGGTCTGGTTTGCAGAAGTTTGAGAACATTGCTTGATTTTTGAAAAAATACTATTTAGAAAAATACAATCTTAAGAACATCGACTTTAAATTTCCAATTGACTGAAAATATTAGAGGTGTTTATTACGGAGCAAATGCCATCAACATTTTGCTTACAGATAAGAGCTTAACTATTGAACAAATTCACCTATTTTAAACGAGACGCATGCAATTCTTTATTGAAGCTTGTGATCAAATCATACAAATATTTTCGATTAAAAATAATCCTTTAATTTTGGGATTTGTAGGCTTTTCCTCCGGAAAATGCTAAGAATGATGAACTGTCGTCAATAGTACCAATATGAGGACAATTTCCAAATTTATTAGACAGCAAAAATTATTAAACTATTGACACAAAATGGCGTTTGCTTCGTAATATAAAAGAAATTGCTTCGTTTAGTGAAACCATTGAAGAGTTTTGGGCAAGCGTCAGCAGCATAAGATGCAGTAATGGTTCACGAATGTTTGAAAATATTTGCAAACGTGGCACGAATATTTTCGTCAATCAATCTAATGAAAACTAAACAGCGCAGTAATCTATCCACTAAATGAATTATTGGTCTTCTCCACACAAAAAAAGAAAACAACCAACCTTGTTGTGATTTTAATATTGACCAAAAAATGTTTTTGAAAAAAAATAGCAAGTCAGAAGTGGTAGGAAAGTGACTAATTAGTAATCACTGTACCCTTAATGTTTTAATAAATTTAATTTATAGCTAAAATACTGTAGTTTTATGCTGACATAAAAAAATCTCCCGATTTTTTAATTTTCACTTTTGCAACACTGGTGCCATGCTAGAAAGTGACAGTGTCAGTCAGTGTCGCAAACCTAGTAGATTTTCCACTAAAACTGGTGGTTGTGATCCCCGTTTAATGGCGAAATTTTTCTTTTAATGGTTAGTGGATTATTTTTAGTGGTTTTGTAGTAATAGTAAGATTGTAGCTCAGAAAATGCTGTTGAAGGATGAACTGTGAGAACTGTTTGTGCACCTTTTTTATTTTATTTTTTCGCGTGTGTAACCTCAAACCCCCCCCCCCCTCCCCCCTGGGCAATCACCCCACCTCGATAAGTGGGGGCCTATGTATCGGACCGACACCGACTACAACCATATGGTGAGTAAACTGTGCCTGAAACACCTGGCCCGTTAGCCGGCCTGACGCACCGAGAGAGTTCTAAGCTCTAACCAATAAAACTCGGTACGTCGTTGTCTACCAATACCCAGCGTGTTAAGTAGCTTCCACATAATAGAGGTATTACTCTTCAAAGAGGAGCCAAGGGACTTCAACATTTGAAGAATTAGCGACCTATGGTATTACTCTCTTAATACTGCCTCATTACCATGCCAATGTTGAGTTGAGAGACTATAGGTATTAAACAGAGAAATAGAATGAAGTTTAATCTTTTATATGCTATGTTAAGGATACGCTGTGGTTTGAAGTTGAAAAAAGAATGCTGCAACAAATATGAATTACAATAAATATTGTAAAACAAATCAGTAGGTACCAAATAATCGTATTAATCTGGCACCGACTATGATGTTGCTGACAAACTATTTTTTGCTTTCTCATTCACAAAAAAAAATGTTTTGTGAAAAATTTAGTGTCTATTAGAGTAGGGTCGTTTTTCGTTAGTGGATTTCTGGTGGTTTTAGATGTTGAATCTGGTGGAGAGTTCATATAACTGTTGGCAACACTGGCTCAGTCTGTCAGTCAATTCAAGTCAGTTGATAATTCGACTAAGTATTAGCATATCTATATAATTGTTTAAAACTTTCCAATTACTTGCTAAACTACTGATCAATAATGTTAGAACCCTGGAATGATTCGTCTATATTGCCACCCCCCCATCAATATGTTTTATTGTGTCAAGAAAGTGGGTATGTGATATAACACAGATTCTATTCCTTTGACTTAGAATAGAATGCCATCATGTTTTGGTATAATTCAATGTATTGTTGTTGACTAAATCGAGAGAGTAATTTAGTTTTAATTATTGTTATGTTGCAGATATATCATCGTTGAAGCATGTGTGTAATAATATTATCAAAGTACTCAGAAAACAGGCACCTTTGCATAAAGAAAGCGCATTGTGCTCCAGATTTCTATATAAGTATGATAGAAAGTTCAGCAATGATATTGGTTATAGAAATTTCAGAAAAGTTCACACTGCCCTGAAGAAATATTTAGCTCTGAACTTTCTAAAAGATATTGAAAACTTTCTTTTAGCTCTTCCATCAGAAGATGATGATGAGAAGTACTTACCAACTAGACAAATGTTGGAGTACCTAATGTTGAGAATTATAACATTTTCTAAAATTATGTTGAGGATTTGTATTTGCTCTAAACAATCAGCAATTTTTTACTTAAATAGGTTAAAAAGAGGTGAAAGCCATTGGATGAGCTTGTTGCCATATGCGCTGCTTAGCCGGTTGTGGTCTATGACAATGGTGTTAGTTCAGCATTCCACTAGTTGGTATTCAAACCTGTATCCTTATCTAAACATTTTAGAATTTAAAGGAGTAAATCTGCTTCCTGACAATTATGAACTTCCACAAGATCTAGAACAATGGCTGGACCTAAAAAATGTTGATAATTTTGGTAGATTTAATTGGGATCAAAAGAAATTGATTGAAGATAATATTTTACTAGATGATGATGAAAATGACCTCTTTGATAGCATTCTTAACTTTGTAAACCAACTGAATAAAAATGAAGCAGAGGAAGAGGTTGGTGAAGAACTCAAACCATTAATAAATAAATGTAAAGATGAATTAAATAACATGGGGACTGCCACAGCAATAGATTATAGCAAACTATCCGACAATAGTGTTGGAATTAATGAAGGTGAAGTGATAAATAGAAAAAATTACAAATCTGAACTTGGAGAATGTTTATCTAGAGAAACATTTAAAATGGAGCAAGGTGAAGTACTTTCTAGAGAAAACTTCAACGTTCTTGTAAATGCTCCTAATGAAATAGAGAACAATAAATTCTCACATAACGGTCCTGACAGAATTGTGAAACAAGAGAAACAAGAGCTTACAAAATTATTGAAACAAAAAATGGAAGTCACCAAGGCAACAAATATACACAATAGACATACTCATATGAAAGTTACAAATTCTGAATCATTGAAGGAGTTTTTGAAAATAGAAGAGAAATACAGAAATGAATCTAACATACAATCACTTACTTGTCACTTGAGTCTTATGCAATGGCATGCGCTCAAGAAAGCATTACTAAAATTATGTGATAATCTTACTAACCGAAAAATAGATAAAAAGTTTCAAAGAATTTGGAAAGAAAAATGTTTGGAGTATAAATAATAAATCATGTTTACTATATTTTTTGAGTTTTATTTTATTTAAATAAAAATATTTACAGACCCAATAAAATAATGTTACAGCACTGTATTTAAGCGAATAACAATGTCAGGTAAAATCAGTAGCTATTACGGGTACAATTAAGTACTGAGTTTTATTTAATATTCTGGTTAAAAAGTGAGGAATTGACATGTACCTATAAATAAATTCTTTATTGATAGGTAATTAATTATAGGTTCTTGTTCCAGATATGATTACACAGTAAGTAAGGATATGTATGTTTTAGAAATATTATAGTAACCAATTCATTGTGCCTAACTATCGTAACTGAGTTGTGAGTCGCGAATTTACGTCAGTTTCATATGAAACTCCTTTTTGTGTCATGTGATATGAGTTCATCCAACCAAATTGCGCTCAGGGTAAGGGAGGGGAGCTAGTACAAACGTTGGATTACAGATGAACTGAAGTTACATCCGTCCATCTGGTAGCCTTACACGTCTCAAAATTACGCTCGCAAAAAATGTACTACTTTTCTTTTTATTTTATTGGAATTGATTGATTCCTTGTGCTGTGTCAAAAAAGTAAAGTTGGATGGATTCACTTTTTTGATTAGCGTAATTAACCATTCAATTCTCACTCTTTTTTCGAAAACTCTGAATTCGTGGATAATTCCGGCGTGCCACTGTTTTGTTTTCTAAGAGGCACGCTTAAAGATTGCTGCCATTATTTGTTACAGGAAACATTAGAAGATAGTACATTAGAAGATAGTAAGTCTAGACAGTGTTCCAAAGCATAGACAACATGAAGAATACAAGGCATGTGGCAAATACAAATACTTGCCACGCTTAATACATACTATGAACATTGAGCATTTATTATCCTCTTGTAATGGGAGAATCTACGATTAAATACATCCACGTCTTCAATCCGATTCAGTTTGTTATATGTGCGACACATTCTTACGATAGGGTTTTAAAAAGAGGTGTTATTTCTCTAAGTTTGTATCAAAGATCGCGTGAGCTGTATCTGGTGTTAGTAGAGATCGCAGACAGCAGACCTGAAGCATCGATGGTGGAATGAATAATTTTGTGAAGACAAAGGATATTCACAAGGACGAAGGACATACTTCTACGGCGGGTTTGCTGCGAAATCATATTGAACTCAACTAACCTGTCACTTTAGTCTTGCAGTGATCTACCATAATTGAATTTGTGTTGCTTGTACTGGCAGCACTGATCATCCTGGTGTCAATTGTCTTTGTCAAATTGACTGACCATAAATATTTTGGCATGTGATTGTCGAGTTACCGTGTGTTTGGATAGCACGTGTGTCTTGAAAATTTACGGATTTACTATCCCTACATTCTCCCTCCCTAACTTTCCAACTATGTCACTTACTTACAACCTACCACAATTTGCTGACATGGTTTGCATCATTCCTGATGCTCAAACCCGAAAATGTATAGTTGAACAAGAGGTCGTCCATCAAAGCAAGTCAAGAGTCACGTTGCCCGGGAGTATTATACAGCTGATGATTATGGTCCATTAATCAATCATACATGTGTCTAAAATAGAACTGCAACATAATTCAGGCACTATCCACCTATAGTCCATCTAATCTAAGAGGTACCCTTTGACAGTTCTGACAGATTGAAGTATAGCGTTGGGGGTCAAAGAAATCGATTACTACAAATTCCGATTCTTAAGTGATTTTGATATAATTTTTAGTATGTACTAATCGATTACAGTTTTACAGATTTATGTATCTTACAATAAAATCCCGTGTTATGGCACATCATAGGTTTTACAAGTAAATCTTAGTATACATTAGACTTGGACACAAGCGATTTTTGCCTACAAAGATTTATTTAAAATTACATTCACTTCATACTTTTAATTTTCAATTATGCGTTGTCATTGACAGTTGGGTGTCAGATTAATTTTAAGTATTATTAACCACTTTAAGATGCCTGGATTGAAAATGACTCGTTATTGATAATCTCGAATTTTCGTACATTTTAACTATTGTTCGTATTCAAGTGAATCGAAGAGCCCCAACACTACGGTAAAAGACATAACTACGTGAATTTGAAACAAAGTTTGAAAAAAAAAAATCTATTGTGTATTAATTGGTTATTTTGCTTTATTTCAAAGACTAAAATTAAAATTTAGTCTAAGACTTGTATATCATACAACAAAATAAAAATAGTTTCATAATTACATGGTTTTATAGAAAAGGTGATTGAAATTGTGTGAGTTACGCCTATACAAAGTTGTTTCGTCTTGAAAAGTATGAAACGTTAAACGGTACCTCTTAGATGCACTATAGTCTCACTGGGTATAGTCTTGCATAAGATCAATATTGGTATTATTGTTAGGAACGTGATTAAGAGAGTTGGTCAAAATTGCATGTCTATTGACTTTTAGTCCCCCCAAGATGCAAACATCTTCATAAATAATTCTATCCTACGCAGCATTCAATTCATCACTTCTATTCCATTCTTGGCTAATGCTGGTGTAAAGATTCGAACGAGTCATCGCTATTTCGTAAGCTCTCGCCGGCGTTTGGTGGGGAGCCTTATAAGCCTCATTTGAAGTGCATTATTATTTCAACTATTAAGCAGTATTGCGTAGTTTAATGAGCCCTCTCTTTCTCAAATGTTCGTGAACTTTAGTGACATTATTATTATTTTTATTATAGAAAAACGTTTATTGTATTTGTTTCAGTGTACCTACCTACTAACTTCAAAATAATATTCACAACGAGTCTACACTTCACCGCAAATTCGACATTAGCAAAATTGTCGATATCGGCATCGCTTGCCATAAAGAAAGAATAGAATAGCGCCATCATTTTGAACTATTTTTACAAAATACGGCTTAATTTTTGTTTGTAAAATGATGGAATAACAATTGATTACGATCTATGTTTTTTGTGACTTTAGATGTAAAGCCAGTTTAAAACCAATTATTTACATTATTATGATTACTATCTTTTTCTTAATCATCATCATCATCATAGCGCACCTTTAATAATAAACTGAATTAATTCAAAATTTACGTTTTTCGAGTTTTTAACAAATACCAAATCAACTTCATCAGTAGAACACGAACAATCCAACAGCCGACTCGATACCATGAAAATGGCAGAGATAAGAGATCGTCGTTCTCTTTTTGACGAACTCGCACGTACATGAATGTCAAACTTTAAATGCGATTTCCCACAATATTGAAATTCTAAGTTAATTCAGTTTATGAATAAAGGTGCGATAGATTAGCCTTAGCCTTTAATAGTCCACTGCTGGACATAGGCCTCTCCTTAGTAAGGAGGTTTTGGCCCACTATTTCTTAATAATAACTACATTTTCTTGATTTTACCGAGGTAGGGTTATGACGGAGTACCTATAAACTGTGTAAAGATTTCTATACGTGTGATATAGGTATATATAGGTACTGATATTGATATAGTGAGCGGGTTTAGTTCTAGTTGGTCCGTCCGACCAAGCGTAGGTTTTACCTACCTAAGTTATAAAAATTCTATTGATAACTGTGTTAGTAAATAACCATTTTTTATTGTTTTAAAGCGATATAAAAAATCAATTTGAATTCGTTAAGAACCAAACTCAAACTCTCGCACTCTCATTGACTCCGTCGGCGGCGCGACGTCCTTGAAGACATAACGTTCTCTTTCATGTACAATTAAAACGGCCGGCATTGTGTAAATGATGTCTAGTGTGTGTAATATAATATAATAAATAAGTATAGGTAGGTATTCCTACATACTTAAGTTTTCGTGTAGTAGGTAATGTAGGTAGGTACTTTCTATTGAATTTCTATAAACTAAATAAAACGAAACATGACGTCGGGTGACCAAAAGTTTTCCACAATGAAGTGTAAAACACAGTTTTTGTAGGCGAGTTTTCAACCGTTTTAAATGATTTATTTGAGGTTTAAAACGCCTAAATTTTGTTTGAAATATGTGATAGATGCCTCTCACTTCAGGGCAAAAATAAAAAAGAAGGAAGTAAAAATTAAGTATTAAAATTTAAAACGGAGTTTTACTGAACTTATGAAAAATTATTAATTTTTCAACAGAGTACTGACTGTTTTCTTATTGTAGACATGCCTTTAGAAACTCTTATATTACTTTTAAGTTACCCGGTAACTTATACCTAAACGTAAGTCAAAAAAGCTAAAAATTCATATCTACCCATGGACGTATGAAAAAAAGTCGGACAGTCTCGCTAACAAAAAACTGTGTCACTCAAATCGGCGGTACGCACACTTACACACATTAGTCGGCCATTGCGCTCGCAAACATCACGACAGCGAGACGCCTTTGTCATTTTAACACTATTGTTGGCTAGTTTACTAAAATAGATCCAAGCTCTAGGTCTGATTTACTTTTATTTACAATCGACCTGATAATTCGAAATTTAAGGGACCTATAAAATAATATTTCGAAAAAGAAAGAGGTTTAAAGTAATAAGGGGTTCGTAATATCCAGAATCACCTTTTTATTTAATGAAGTTTCGATTTTAAAAATGTGTCAAATACATGTATTATATGGATTGACAGCTCATATACTTATTTATAATGTTGCTAGCTAATGTCAATACTTTAGTTCCTAAATATTTAATTTATTTTATTTAATGTCGTACTGAACCTGTAATTAATTAAGTAATTAAAAATATGCATATAAATCTTTATATATATAATTCTACTGTACGTGTGTATGGCACTGAACTCCTCCTAAACGGCTGGACCGGTATGAATTTTTTTTTATGCGTTTGGATGGCGCCTTGAATGGCTTACGTTCTCAAATCAGCACTGCAGATCGCGCTGTAGTCGGTAGCTAGGTTATTTACAGCACAACGTCTGTTGGGTCCGCTAGTATCACATAATCACATCAACAGCCTTTACTAGTCCACTGCTGGACATAGGCCTCTCCTTAGAAAGGAGGTTTCCGCTAGTATACAAATATATTTTTATAAATTTCATATTTTAATTTTAACTTTAATATTTTAATTTTACTTTAGTATCTGCACATTATTTTAGGATAATTAATTAGAAAAACGATACTAGTTCCGATTTATTGACGTCACTTACCGATAGTGGCACATTACTATTTGCAAATTACAAAAACTAGCAACCCACGTTACGTCAGTTTTGTCACAGAGATAAAAAACAAACGTATTCCTAGGTCATTGATTGATTTTACTGCAGAAAATTGACGGAAACACGCCGAAAGTCAATAACAAAATTGTGTAGATAATCTGTAAGATAATATCTATAAATTAATAATTCATAATATTCAAAATGCACTGTATCTTAAGAAATAGATGTGTCAGCTTTTACCGTGCATTTAGTGCTACGGCTGTACGGAATTGTTCAGGTTCTACTGCTCCACCTTCCAAAAAGCTGAAGAAAGTTTTCTCAATTATAACATGGAAATCTATGACAGCGACAGCGCTCATAGCCGGCGGACTAACAGGATTCATGATGTACGTTAGAAAAGAAAAACAAGATGCTTTAGAGCGCGAGAGGAAACGACAACTTGGAAAGGCTAAAATAGGTGGTGATTTTGAGTTAGTGAACACCGAGGTAATTAAAAGAGTATTAGTATTTTATTAATGTACCTAAAAAAACAGCTAAATGTGCTTGTTTTATAGATACATAACTAAAACATCAGTTGGTTTAAATCTTCTAACCACAAAATGTTTTTACTCTGTTGGTGCCTTGAACAGTGTTGTATTTTAACTGATATAGTACCTTAAAGCTTGTGAGTTAATTGGAATGAATTTAGTGGAATTTTTATAGTTGTTACTTTATTTATAAATCATTCAAATAACTTACTTTGATATTACAATAAAATAATAGTCAAAAAAAGGTAGGTCAACATTTTTAACTAGACATATTATTATGAATATAAATTTCATTTCTTAATACAATTAGTATAACTATAATTGAATACAGTTTATTTTTCATAGAAGTTTTTGTATATAAGATATTTTGTAAATAGAAGTTTGTGTTGGAAATCAAAATATCTGAACCTCTGCTGATAAAAAAAGTAATAGTTCACTCACAATTTTTAAGTATCTTTTCTTCTTTGATACAAATTATAGACTGTATCAGACTATGCCATTTTTGTGGCTAAACAGACTAAGTATTTAAAAATATTCTATATTATTATTATAATAATATATATTAAAGTTCCATAACAAAACAATTAAACATATTTGTAAATTGGACCCTAATAGTATCATGAACTTCTGGTTTCAGGGTAAATTAGTCAAAAGCTCAGATTTCTTAGGAAAGTGGTTATTAATTTATTTTGGATTCACCCATTGCCCCGATATCTGCCCTGATGAGTTGGAAAAGTTGGCAGAAGTTGTCAACATGCATGGTTTGTATATTGTCTCTTTAGAAGTATTGACGTGTCTCCTATAAACTGGTTCAATTTAAATTCATTGATATGTTCAACAATAAATAAATGAAATTGACCAGTAATTTTAATACTTTGGCTGTTTATTGGCAAATAATAAAGTGCTGTTCAAGTTATCATGACATCTTGAACAAATCAATACTAATATCATAAATGCAAAAGTGTGTCTGTCTGTCTGTTACCTCTTCATGCTTAAATTGATTTAGATGAAATTTGCCACAGAGATAGTCCGAGTCCGGGGAAAGGACAAAGGGTAGTTTTTATCCCAGAAACCATCCTTTAAGGGGTAAAAGTTTGTATGGGGAATCTATAACTGCTGAATCGATTTAGATGAAATTTGGTAAGAAGATATTCTGATTCTAGCTAGCTTTTTCGTATACAATAAATATAATTTTTACAATTTGAATAAATCAGGCAATTTTTTTTTCAGATAGTGATAATTCACTGCCACCAGTACAACCTATTTTCATTTCTGTGGACCCTCAAAGAGACACACCTGAAGTAGTAGGAAAGTGAGTGATTTTTTGTTAAAAACTATATTAAAACATATGTTTTAATTTCGTTAATATAATTATTAATGTAGTTGATAAATTGTTTTATAATTTCAATGCCTGAAATTGTAGTTAACAAACAGCCGAAGTTGATGGTAATGATAGGAAAAAGTAATACATTTTTTTTTCTTCTTTGACAATGTTATAATAAAAATCTATGAAAGTTAAACTGCAGATTTCTTAAAACACATGTATGTATTCTCATCTATCTAACAAGGTATAATAGTTTAGGATAGTATCAGAATTCATAGAAAAAAACTTGGTGAAAGATGAAAACTTGGCTTCGGTTTTAGACTGTTTCGTTTTCTATTCATGACTAATGATTGCTAAGTGGACTTTGATTTGTGCTTCGGGTACTGTTGGGGATGATAGCCTATACGAACGAGGAATATGTTCATATTTTAATCAAATCAAAGTCCACTTAGCAATAGAAAACGAAACAGTCCAAAAATACAAGCCAAGTTTTCAAATAGGTACTGTTGGGTTGTAAGCTAATTCGTAACATTCCCGATCCCTCTTTACGTACATGTTTTTTAAACAAATCTGCAGTAACTTTCATAGATTGTTTATAATATTCGTCAAATATTATTTTTTTGCAATTTTTATAAAAAATCTTAAAAGACTAATACCTTGAAAAAAGTTGGTTTGGGATATGGTAATTCATAGTGAAATCTATCAGAAATGATGGCAACTTTGCTCTTAAAGTATTTAGGTGGACTTAGTCTGTAACCCTGTATGTCATATACAGTAAATTTAATATATATACTCGCGGACCCGACAGACGTTGCCCTGTAAATAACCTAGACACCGACTGCAGCGCCATCTGCCGGGCTGATTTGTGAATCTAAACCATCCAGGGCGCCTCCCAAACGTATACAAGAAAATTCATTCAAATCGGTCCAGCCAGGAGCTCTGACATACACACGTACAGTAGAATTATATATATAAAGATATATAGGTATATCAACAATCTCAGTCTGTAAGATATGTCCAGTTTAATAGTATATCTTTTTTTTTGTGTATCTATATAATATATAAAAAGTTTGTTTCAAAAACTCATAAAGCTCTACACCAATTGAGCTCAAACTGACACAATGTACAAACTGCTTCAAAGATTATTTTTATCTATTTTTTGCGTCAGTTTTATGCCCCATTTCTCATCAATGGCAGGGTACTATTATATCAATAAAAAGGCATTAATATTCCAATTTGTCACAGGTACTGCAAAGAGTTTTCACCACGCTTCTTGGGCTTAACTGGAACTAAGGAACAAATACAAAAAGCCTGCAAGTCATATAGAGTATACTTCAGTGCTGGCCCTCAGGATCAAGACGATGATTACATTGTAAGAAATATTGAAATGATGTAGCTAAAATAAAATTAGTGAAATCAAATGTAGAATAATGGTGCTCTAAATGAGTCTAAACGTTATGGTAGACCTAATTTAAAAATACCATTCATTCTATAAAATATCCTATGGAATCCTAATTCCAATTTAATAAAATATAAATATTGAAACTTGCTTTTAGGAAATTTGTTATTTGTTTGGTAAGGCCTCTCCTCATACACAATAATAATATATGTATATTAATATTATAAAATAAATGTGAAGCTTTGGATAGCTGTTTGTTACTCAATTAAGCTAGAATGCTGAATATTATGAAATTTGGTACAGAGATTAGTCTGAAATAGGTCATTTACTGTTTATCAAAGAAAAAAAATTATTGTCAAAATCGATATTAATACAAGCGAAGGCTGTGGATAAAAGCTAGTGCTTGATACTCGTACATTGCATTTTAATTTTTTGTTGAAGGACAATACTTTATCCTAAAATCGCCTATGTTATTGTTATATGCCTTTTCAGGTGGATCACACAATTATTATCTACCTTGTAAATCCAGACGGCGAATTCGTTGATTACTTTGGGCAGAACAGGAACGCAAAAGATATTCACAATTCAATGTTGGTGAACATCAAGAAGTATCAAGACGCAAAGAGTTCGTGGTTTTAGATACAGCACAAGCATTTAAGTAGTGATAGAGTATTTTTATTTATGTAAAATAAAATTTAGTTTACCAAGTTCTTGTTTAATTGTTCCCTTGGTACAAACGTCTCACACATACATATGTGTGAGACGTTTAGATAAACTGAGTTAGATAAAGAGTTGAAGACAGTAACCATTATTAAATTCTAGACACATGTCATTTATGAGTGGCATGAGTGCATCATCAAGGCATAAATGAAGAGTCGAAACGTCTTTAAGTCGAGAAATGGTTTTGGTCAAGTCTCCATGAAATAGGTATTTAAAAGTTGATGCTTGTTTCCTACATCAAATGAAGTTTATGCATCAGCTAGAATACTGCATAAATGTCAGTGTGTTCAGTGTGGGGTCACTTCAACAAAATAATGTGGCAAATAGTCATTTAAATCGTTGTAATTAGTTGCACGGCTTCTGTTGTTATTGCGCACATTTTTAAATTCGTTGCACTTATAGTCTTTTTGTTATTTACAAAACCATTTTCTGCTGGGATAACGTTACCACAGCCAAACGTTTTCTTTTTAATTAAGAATATTGAAATAAGTACCTATCTATACTAATATTATAAAGCTGACGAGTTTGTTTGTTTGTTTGTTTGAACGCGCTAATCTCAGGAAGTACTGGTCCGATTTGAAAAATTCTTTCAGTGTTAGATAGCCCATTTATCGAGGAAGGCTATAGGCTATATATCATCACGCTAAGGTCAATAGGAGCGGAGCACCAATGAAGAATGTTTCAAAAACGGAGAAAATTTATTACTATTGAGAGACGCAGACGAAGTTGCGCGGGTCAGCTAGTTAGCTATAAAATTAGTTGTCCAGACGAGGTGAATTTATTCTGCATTTGTTTTTTATTCGGCTGCGAAGTTTTTTGAGATCCTGCTCGAGTAACGTTTGTAGGTTTACTGTATTTCTGAAACGGGTTTACGGATTCTAATCATCTTTTGTAAATGACTTCTTAAAAATCAGTTTTAATTTGTTGTGCAATAAAAGAAAACAAAAATTGTGCACCGTTTAAAGATGATGTAATCTATACTAATATTATAAAGAGGAAAGATAGGAAACTACTGGACCAATTTTAACCATTTTGTCACTAATAGAAAGCTACAATATCAGGAAGTAACATAGGTTATAATTTATTTCTAAAAAAATTAGTGTAAAAAATCGTCTTAAGTCTTAGCGTGCGCTGCTTAAATGGTTAAAGTTAAAATGTTTAAAATTATTAAATACCCACAACATACTTTAGATACATTTTTTTCGTGTAATTATATGAATCCTTATGAAATTAAAGTATTTCATCATCAAGATAATTACAAATAGATTATTTTTTGTCTTTACAATCTTTAAAATTGGTCAATTCGTTAAGCAGATATCATTTAATTATGAACATTTATTTTGAAGTTATCAAGAGTATAAAAATGCTATACACGAACCGTTTGCGTGCGCTGCGGAAAGGTTATATTTTATTTAGTAACGGACTAATCACACTAATATTGTAAATTCGAAATATTGCGCGTGCGTGTATGTGTGTGTGTATGTATGTTTGTTACTTCTTCACGCTAAAACTCCTGGACAGATTTGAACGAGATTTAGTACACAAATAAAATATGACCTAGAATAACACATAGGCTCCTTTTACAGCGACAAAATACTTTATCTCCAAAGTCAATATTTGGTAAATAGGTGGAGCCATCTATACTGTTAGGTTTTGCACAAAGTTTACGCAGGCGAAGCCGCGCGCATGTGCTAGTTAAGTATAGAAACACTTCTTAGGTCTTATTCAAAGTGTTATGACTAATTGAAGTGTGTATACTTAATTAAACGGTGTTTTATATTTGTTTTTTTTATTGCACAACAACCGAAGAAAAAACAAATTCAAAATGAGTTGCAATTTACATTATCTAGGCTAATTATATAGCTAATATTTATTTCACTATTCCATTTAAAAAAGAAAATGTCTGGCTGCGTTAACGTTATCCCAGAAGAAAATGATTTTGTAAAATAACAAAAAAATCTATAAATGTAACAAACTTAAAATTGTGTCCAACAAGTACAGAAGCTGAGCAACTAATTATCATTTTTGACATTTTGGTGGGGAAACTCACACTTGTATTCATTCCCGACCAAACCGCGCCACATCTTTAACAACGTTTTAAGATCAAGTGATTGAAAAAGGATTCAAGTTTTACTTTATGCTACCATGCATAGATCAAAAGATATTCTGAACGATCAAAAATTATCTTCTGAGGTATTTTATCTATCTTTTCTTAAATATTTGTTATACTTATTTCTCCCAGTCATAACTTTAATATTCATAAGTAATCGTATGCAAAAATGTTAATGAGTATTTGAGCAATAGCTCAAATAATAATAAAATCAGAAATGAGGTCACTTTTTATTAACATAGTTACTGTTAAAAATTCGCAGTCATTTTACTAGTAATTTTACTAATAGTAAGTTGACCGCCAGAACTGTGTATTTGTAGTAAACTTTGGTCGAGCTGGTACAATTTCACCGTGGTCCCTTCGAGGGCAGACGCAGAGATACTGACGCCGTCTTCGTTCACTGTCACTAGATTCATATCACTCCCATAATTCACTTCACCATTTATTATATTTATATTACCAGGATTCAAACAAATGTCATTGTTACTTATTGGGTAATTATTTCCGCTATTATTTACAACCAACAATTCAGCTTTAATGTCGCTATCATCTTGAAGAATTAACTCGCCAGTCACTTCTAATGGGACTTCAACATCTAAAGTTATTTTCTTAGCAATATTGCTTTGGTCAACCATTGCGGTGTCCTCAGTAACAGTGAACAATTCTCCGTTTTCCTTGACAACGTTGTCAGCTTTAGCCGAGGGAACTTGTTGCGTTACGACTAGTTCACGTTTAGAGTTATTTTTCTTCTTTGGTGGGTTATGTGATTTCATATGTTTGACTAATTGCGATTTTGTGGCAAATGTGGAGGTGCAATATTCACATTCGTATGGTTTTTCACCTGAAAATAAATGTACAGATTTAATAAATTAGAAATTAAGCTTTGATACATTTGACTGCACGGATGGCGTAGTGGTTTAAGCGGTCGCCACGCCGCTTCCTACTGCGCCGAGTGTTGTGGGTTCAAACCCCACATGGGACGACACTTTGTGTGATCCACAAATTGTTGTTCTGAGTCTGGGTGTTCTTTGTGTCCGTTTCATGTATGTTTGTAAAGTCCCCCGCGACACAGGATTTATTCCTAATGCGGGAGTTGTCTTTTTAAAAAAGAAAAAAAAAAAACAAAAAATTTAGTTATTCCAAGTAACTTAGTGAAAAATAAAACAAAAAAAACTTAAACCCTATTGGGCAATTTCGAAGGGGCGTTAACTTACGGGTCTAACCGATGTTTCAGAAACATCTTTTCATTTTATTGAGTAGTTACCAAGGTAATGGTTGTGAAGTTAATTAAAACTGATTTTTACCTGTGTGTATTCGACAATGGTCTCGCAGTCGCGAAGCGTTTACAAACTTCTTAGGACATGCGCTACATGCAAAAGGACGTTCACCGGTGTGCTGGCGCATGTGCGCTCCCAAGTTCATTCTTGCGAATCTGTCACAATTTATAAAAATATCAAAATGGAAGGGTGAAAAGATGCACTTTTTACCGTTAGCGAGTCTAGGTATTCTCTATTGCTTATTCTAGCGGAATCCTACCAGTGTTGTTCCACAAGCCCATTATAATGTAATTAAACATTTGTTTCTAGGAACACCAAACACCTAATATTGCATAGAGACATATATTATGTCTTACATTGCGTTTAAATATATATTTTGTTGTAAGACTCAGTGTTGCTAGTCAGTAATTTTTTCCTTGGAGTTGGTAACATATAGGTATGTAATCATACAACTAGATTGTTATTTCCTCTTTTAAAAATACAGAAGTACTTAATTGTTAGCATTAACTGCCTCGGTGGTGAAGCGGTAGCGTATGCGATTGCTGTACTGAGGTGTCGGGTTCGATTCCCGGGTCGGACCAAATGTTTGTATGATCTGCAAATATTTGTTTCGTAGTGTGGGTGTTTTCTATGTATACCATATGTGTATTTCCAAAAAAAGTATGTAAGTATTCTATCAGACAAACTAGGTCTCATAGTACAGATCTGCGTAGTTGAAACTATATGAAGTTGTGATAGATGTTCGAAAAATATTATTAGTTTACCTTTTCCCACAAATCTTACAGCTGTAAGGTCGCTCCCCAGTGTGGATTCGTTGATGGCTCTTGAGCGATGAGCCCGATGTGAACTTGCGCTCGCACATGTTACACGCATATGGACGTTCACCTTTAATACACGCAATCAGTGTTAATCAACTGTACCATAAACTGAAGTAGAAATTAAAAATTCTACAGGTTTACTCCTAGTTCGGGAGTACGAGTATCTGTCGTGCCGTTGACTGCAGGTGAACATAAAATTGTATGAGCTTAAGTAATAATATGTGTTTTTTTGTTACACTTTAATGAATAAAGATTAATTATTATTATTATAAATGAAGACCTATCTTCACGAAAGGAGTGTTTTGCAGACAAACCGTCACTGATATAAGAATTGTACAAGATCGGTTCGTGTACTTTACGCTATGTCACGCTTACGCTACAACTAAGTAAAATTTTCTCGTGCGTAATAATAAAAATATTTGGTGAGTAAAATGGGGTAGATGACTGTTAAGTCAAATCAGTATCTTTTTATTAATCATCAAATCGATAGACGCTGTACATTTTTAAATGAAATACCATTGTATTTCATTTAAAAATGTATAGCGTAGCTATTGTCAAAAAATTTATATTTAATGTTGATTTGAAGATATCAAAACAATAAAAACATTTAATTGATAATGGAGGATAATTCAGGCTGTACTTTGAGATGTTACTTTTAATTATTCAGGTGAATTATTTTAAAGCTAGCAATCACTCAGTGCCAAAATTCACAACATGAAGGTTGTTGTTTTAGTTTATGTTTAGAGTATATTTTCTTTGTCATGTTCTATATTTTATGAAGGTATTGTAATAACTAAATAAAGTTTAGCCTTGCAGTACCTTTCAAAAGTCGGCTTTTCACTAAAATGGTAATTTTCCGCGGGAAATTGTATTTAACATTTGGCTTTTTGGCGCCCTTTAGCACCTTGAGCCCAATCCCCAATCCTCCAAAAAGCCAATTCCACTCGCTCAACCATGGGCCCAGCTTCATGACACATTTAACAATAAGTTATATTAGAGCTTACCTCAAAAATTGTAAATTTAAAAAAAAAACGTAAAATTAATGGCGGTTTTTATATTAAATTACCTGTATGAGTTCGCATGTGTAAAGTTAGGTTAGAGTTCTGTATGAAGTTCTTTCCGCAGACGGAACAGACGTATGGTTTCTCGCCAGTGTGTGTGCGATGATGGATGTTTCGAGTCGATTCGTGCCGGAACCTATAATATAAATAAATGCACAACATTAATATATTTTCCATGCGATGTCTCTTTCTGAATAAGGGACGCCACTGTACTTAAAAAATTAAAGAAGATCTTAATTACTTTGTAATTCAGAATAATGCATTTTAGGCTTAATAGACATTTTCGAATATGAAACTCATTCATGTTATTTTATTCATTTGATCATATTTTACCATCGCAATTGACTGATGTAACGTGACTGAAGTTATTCCAAGTTATTAAAATATACAAACAATTGTAAACAGTATCGTTAGGCGCAAAAAAACAATTCTCGTCATTTTTTTTTTAACTTTTATACGGTATATAAAAGGTGTTTACCTATGTAGTCGGAGATTTTTACCAGCATCTTCAGATTTAATTATCTGTGGACTGGCGCGTAGTTCGATTTTTATTTTATTTTTAAATTCCGTCATTTATTTAAGATAGTGTTTTGTTTTTGTGAAATTGTGGAAGTTTTTCGATAGATATAGTTACCAGCCGATCGCGAAGCTAGTGGCCCGTTACAATAGTCGACAACGGCAAATTGAAGGCGATAGTGAAAGCGGATCTAACTCAATCTACGGCTGAGCTTCCTGCGGGCTTTGGAGTTAGTGTCAAAACAACATTCAGCGGGACTTACGCGTCGACTACTGAATCGGCAGAGAACCGAGTTAATTCTGAATCGAATTGCTACTTTTGAGGACAAGTGGATCCTGTACGACAACCGACGAACACAATGACGAGTCGACGACCGAATACGACAACAAAGTGGGTGGATCCGGGTATAGCATCTAATTATGGCGCTAAAAAAATTCGTTGGCATTCAAACGAAGTATCATTTGATCGAGCTAGAGGCGATAAAACACTGATCAGTGCTGACGTAGGTTTCCGTATCCGGTATCTAGGCGGCGTGTAAGGAGGCGGTTACCGTTTGTCGCAGTAGTCGCAGGCGTAGGGCTTGGCGTCGGTGTGCACGAGCATGTGCGAGGCCAGCAGGCGCGGCGAGGGGAAGCGCTTGTGGCACGCGGCGCACTCGCACGGGCGCGCGCCCGCGTGACGCGCCACGTGCGCCGCCAGCAGGCCGCTCTCCGCGTACCTGCACACGCAACACGTTGGTATTGCTTGTGAGAGTGGTCCTCTATGCAACCGAGCTCCTTCCAGAAGCGCAGAAGCCTACTGGGACGTTCACAGGCTTCTAGTGAGTACTAGGTACAAGAGAAAACTGCTCCCCAGACACGTGCAATGGGAAGGGTTTTATTATCTATAATGCAAAAAGTACATAACGTAATTTTCCGCACTTCTCAAATTCAACAACACACTACAGTGTGTTGTTGAATTTGAGAAGAAGTGTTACTGTACACAGTAAAACATAATTTAAATAACTAATCTTAATAAATACGTACATTTTATGATTTGCTACAACCCAAAAAGAGGCTACAGTATAAAAAAAACTAAAGCTTGTTAGATTTGCGAGCGAGTGATTACGGGGTTAAAGCACACATATAAACAATGTTTGTGGAAATATATACAGCTAAGCCTTAATAAAAATAGTTTAATTTTCATAATGTAAGTGGCGACCATTTCTTTTTTTTATATGGCGACCATTTTCTCGTTACCGGCGGCTTATCGCTAAATATCAGTTGATAGATCTATAATAAAATATTCAATTATTCTACTTCACGTTTTATTGAATAGTTCGAAATGCCGGTAAATTACGTTTTGATGACGAACACTGTAGCTTTTTTTGTACACTGTAGCTATGGTAATTGATTAGCAATGCTTTCTCGCTACCTTTGGACCTATAGTAATCTCATCCGAAGAACAGGTTGTGTATGGTTATAAAAACCTTGTTAAGGAGGTGCCACATTAGTGCGTTGCGTTACGTCGTCGGAACGGATCAACGCATAGTATGCCACACCTGAGCTGCGACGACGCACATGTCGCATCGCAAGACGTTTAGTTTGCTCCTTTGTCCTGTCTGTCGTCGCACCGGAACTTCAACAGCGCAGTGCATCAACATTCTCGTCAGTCGATTCGCTGAAACGTAGACGTGCGACGACGCAACGCATGCAACGACGATGCTATGACGACGCAACTCACTTAGAAGGCACCTCCCTTACTGTATCATAACTAACATTGATCTCGCAGTCAGACAGATGTATTTGAAAGTTCGTTTACCTCTTGTCACAGATATGACACGCATGCTTTTTCTCGACACGCTCGCCCGTGTGCACGCGCACGTGTCGCCGCAGCGCGTATAGCTCCGTGAACGTTTTGTGGCACGTCGCACACGAATGTGGCTTGAATAGCATGTGACGCTGCAGGTGGCGACGTAACGTCGTCTTGGCTGTAATGTCAAGAAGAAAACTAAATATGAAGTGAATTTGGAAATAATTTATATTTTAAAGTATGCATGATAAAAGTAAAAGCATTAATAAATAAATATACAAAATTATACAATTTTAATGCTCGTTTAAAATAATTCTAACTAGTGACGCAATCTTAATTAATCGCATTATTATTTGTTCAAATGAACGGGAGGTCGCTCAGAAGTCGAAATAATAATAATGTCTTCACAGTATTTGATACCAACTTAAGCAGAGCCTGTTTATGTTAATCAGACTGCTGATAAACATATTTCTATATACATACATATTATACTACATATATTATAGATAAATTACACCCAGACACAAAACAACTGATTATGCATAATCCGTTATTTGTTCTGGGTGGGAATTGAACCTTTGGCTTTTGGCTTAGGAGACTGGATCACTTACAGCTAGACCAATCAATATCTAACTGATTTTCTTCAATTTTTTTGTAAATATTATTTTAGAAACTCCTACAAGAATTTGTTGCAGCATATGAATGAATACAAAAAAAATTGAAATAAATTTTCATCTTGATCACCTGGATACTTGGCACTCCACCACTCCCACAACTAATCTATGGAACAAGTTATCGTCTGTGGTATTTCTGGGGTTCATGGGTGGCGGTAGTCAATTTCCATTAGGTGACCCGTCTGCTCGTCTGCCTCCACTTCCATAAAAAAAATACACATGCAAAAGAAAAATTACATACACTTATATTGCTTCTGACATTGATTGCATTTCCACAAAGAACCCTTAGTATGTAAAGCTGAGTGCACAAACAGGTCATGTTCAGATTCAAATGACTCTTTACATTGAGTACAGGGGTGTGGCCGCTTTTCCTTTCTAATATTATGCTTATTCTTCATGTGAATGTGAAATGTTTTTGCTTTAACAAATACCTGAAATTTTCAAAAATTAATCCTTTGAATAAAATCGATTTTAAATAATAAAATGAAAAGTTTGTTTTGTGTGATTTACCTTAGAACAATGAATACATGTATATGACTTTGGGTTTTTCTCCAATCTTTTCTTTACAGACAAAACTTTTTTCAGGGACCCTGCACAAATAAAAACAAAGGAAATAATATTCCATTTCAACAAATCCACATTATAAGTAGTCAGAACTTTATTTTGTGCCACTTACCCTTTAAAGCCTTTTTTAATGATCGTCTGAAATAAAAAATTAATATTAAATAAAACTACTGGTCACCATACAACCATAATACTAAATCTTAGTTACCTTTTTATGTTTTCACCTTCTTGTATTATACAAAGTTTGCTATCAGCGGGATCCTCCTTGAACTCCTCTAAATATTGGACATCTATAATGATAAAAAAAAGTTAAGAACTTTTAGCAGAATTTTTAAAATTGAAGAATGTGCAAAGTAACTCTTTGGTGTCCATTGAGGCAAAACTTGACAAACAAATTAAAAACATTATATTAACTAGCTGAGACCCGCGGTGTTACCCGCGTTTGGTGTTATAACCGCGGACAACGCCGCGGGGCGAAGCTAGTCTAAAAAAAGTAGCCTAAGTTACTCCTTATGCCATCAGCTATCTGCCAGTGAAAGTCCCGTCGAAATCGGTCCAGCCGTTCCAGAGATTACCCGGAACAAACAGACAGACAGACAGACAAAAATTGTAAAAAATGTTATTTTGGCATATGTACTGTGTAAACATACATATGCATTTAGTAAAAAGTGGTTATTTAAATATTACAAACAGACACCAATTTTATTTATTTGTATAGACAATTCAGTTACATTTTTAGTTTTATATTTTTATTTAGAAAGTATTTTGTAAAAACTTTACCTTCTACAAGCTCCACTTCTTTTTTGATATCATTTGTAGCATCTATATTTGCATCTACTTCTTCTACAGGCCTAGAAATGAAAAATTGTTAATCACTAATTATTTATGAAGATAATGTCCCAAAATATGACCCATTGCTTAGTGTGTAAGTACTGCAAAGTACTCACTTTAAATTGATGCCCATACTAAACAAAAGATTGTTATGGTAATTAATAAAACATCATTTTATGGCCTGTTAATGTTTTGGCTAGTGGTCCTGACTGCTGAGCTAAAGGTCATCCAGAATTGTGGAGCAAGCCCCCCATCTGTTCTGTCTATGTGTAATTTATCTATAATATGTAGACATATTATAGGTACATATTTACAAACATATCTTTATTAGCAATCTGGTAATTATTATTCATTGCCAATGTTTTAGTGATAAAGGAACTACATATTTGTTAATAATGTAAAGAATAAGTTTTTGAAGCTATAAAACCTGAACCTTCACATTATCTAATAATTTAATGACATTGCCTATTTAAACCTACATGTTGCTCTGGTCAGCTGTCTCCTCCTTACAGATAAATTCTCCTTTCAAGATTGACCGAAGCATACATTCTGACCTCTGGCACTTGATCTTGAAATCATAATACTGCACCACAAGCATCTGACATTGTTCACATATGCTTGATGGTAGGCCATCTTCTGGTGTTGGCTGAAAAAATTGCAGTATAAAGCATAATAGCCCAATACTTAAAAATATTGTATTTCTCTCTTTCTTTCTCCTAATACATCTTGTGTAATTATACATTAACTTACTCGTACGGTGACCAAAGCCATGAACATGTCGATCAAACAACTGTTTTCCTTTGAAGTCACTAACGGATATAACACATCATTATTTGTTGATAGGCATATCCTACACACACTTTGCACATTACAGTTCTCTGAGCTAAGAAACTGAAAGAGAGTATAAGGTATTTCTATTTCTATATAGGCCTGTTCTTCTTTCGTTTCATTATTTTCCTTTGTAGGAATACTTTCCATGGCGGGCTGAGACTCCATTATACAACGCCTAGATGAGACATTAAGCAATATTTATCTTAGAGCAAAGTAATAATAATAGGATTGTCCTCAATTGATATAATATTTCTTGGCTCTTGCTATGAATTTATTTCATGGCAAACATGGACGTATTAAAACAGAAATCAGCAGGATTTGATATGACAGTTTTGACATATTAATAATTTTTAAAAACTTCAACTCCACTGTTTGGATCGAGACTGGTAACGTTTTATCACATTTTTATTTTATATTGCAATTACGGTGTACTAAACAGACCAAATATTTTCCCATCTGAATACTTACTTTCTAGAATCACAGTTTTCATCATGCATTTATGTCTTGTTCTATCGGGCAATTAATTGATATACGAGAGGCATTTGAAGGCGTTTGAAAAGTAATTTGATTAACAATTGATTTTTTTCCTGAAAACAAAATCTCATCCTATTATAATATACTTTACCAGCCCGCACAAATTTTTGACTTCGTAAGTGGTTTTTACGATTTGGAAATAGATAAAGGTCTAGGCGTGAGGGAAACAATTCGAAGACACACTGACGGATTTCTGATTTGCTTTCAAGTGACGAGTGAACTCGCGCATTATCCGGGACAATGACGTTTTATACCGTTACTATTGAATACTGTAGCTTTAAAATGAGGGTAGTTTAAAAAATATATGATGTGCCGATCTAGGCTACAAAGTTTTCAAACGCCCCTCATATGTACAAACGGGATGGCGTAGTGGTTTAAGCAGTCGCCACACCGCTTCCTACTACGCCGAGTGTTGTGGGTTCAAACCCCACATGGGACAACACTTTGTGTAATCCACAAATTTGTTGTTCTGAGTCTGGGTGTTCTTTGTGTCCTTCTCATGTATGTTTTGTTTGTTTGTTTTTTTTTTTTTTTTTTTTTTTGTTTTTTTTTTTCTATTCTGTATTGTCTTATGCACTGTAACTTATCTCTGATTTATATAAGTGAGGATTTGTTATTGGCTATCTGTTTTCTTGACTGTTTTTATTGTAATCATCATAGCTGTAAATCCTCCATAGTTGTAATAAATAAATAAATAAATAAATAAATAAATAAAGTCCCCCACGACACAGGATACATTCCTAATGCGGGAGTTGTCTTTTAAAAAAGAAAGAAGAAAAAAAAGAATGTATTATTCAGGTAAATATATTATTATTCGTTTACATATGTATGTAAACGAATAATAACATCGTTATTTACGATTCACACATGTGAATTGTAAATAACTCATTTCTTCACTATTACATTATATGCGTACTACTGACCGGGTATTTCCTTTGGCGTGTGTACATAAGAAATAAAGAGAGAATGATCCTTACTAGTGTCACATAAAAACAACATTTAAACAATATTATGTCTCCAACTAATCGTCGCATCGTCGCGGATTGGTCAGAGGAAGAGGAAGAACGGGTTTCGTCCGATCCGGAAGCGCAGTCGGCCTGGTTTCGTGGCATCATGACTGATGTCTGTGACGCGTCAATGCCACGGGTCATTCCGGGGGGCAGGAGGGGTTCTGTGTACTGGTGGATATCGGAACTCGAGCAGCTTCGCACAGCGTGCTCGAGAGCCCGTCGCCGGTTTCAGAGAACCCGAAGAAGACGGCGAGCCACAGCCGAGGAGATCGCCGAAGTGAGGCGGGAGTACGGCGCCGCTGCGAAGGCTATCAGCCTCGCGATCGCGGACGCTAAGGCTCGAGCTCGTAGAGGGACTGGACAGGGACCCATGGGGGCGCCCGTACAAAATTGTATTGGGCAAGCTCAGACCGTGGGTCCCACCACTGACGCAGACCTTGGACCCGGAGTTTGTAGGAAGAGTGGTAGATACCCTCTTCCCCAGAACCAGGGGAGTCCCTCATGCCCTCCGTCACCGTCGGAACAAGTTACGTGGTCCGACGACTTCGACGTGATGGAGGAAGAGCTGGACCGAGCCGTGAAACGACTCGCTGCCCGCAACACCGCCCCGGGCCCTGATAGGATTCCGGGTCGAGCATGGGTGTGCGCTTTGGCGGTCCTAGGGAATAGGCTGAGGCGGCTGTTTACCAGCTGCCTCCGTAATAGCATATTCCCTTCCGGCTGGAAGGAAGCCAGGCTGGTTCTTATCCAGAAACCTGGCAGGGCTGCAGATTCTCCCTCGGCGTTCCGACCGATATGCCTGCTGGACGAGGCGGCGAAACTCTTCGAAAGAGTTATTGCCGCCCGTATCAACCAGCACCTGTCGCGAGTGGGCCCTGACTTATCAGACAACCAATTTGGCTTCCGACAGGGACGATCGACGCTAGACGCGATCGAACGCGTCCGCTCCTTGTCGGAAGAGGTTGTCTGTCGGGAGGGAGTGGCGTTGGCCGTCAGTCTTGACATAGTCAACGCCTTTAACTCCCTCCCGTGGTGGGCGATTAGGGAGGCACTGGTGTATCACCAGTTGCCCCCGTACCTGCGAGACATCATCGGGGTTTATCTCCGCGACAGGTCCATATCGTATATGGGTCGGGACGGCGAAGATTGCCGAAGGGAGGTCACATGCGGGGTTCCCCAGGGGTCAGTCTTAGGACCACTTCTGTGGAACCTCGCGTATGATGCCGTTCTGAGGACCAGCCTTCCCCCAGGATTGAGTGTCGTCTGCTATGCGGAAGACACTCTGGTACTGGCTCGGGGGCATACCTTCCAGGAGGTCTTAGAGCTCGCCGAGTCAGGGGTGGCTTGTGTCGTCCAAAAGATCAGCGGTGTGGGTCTAAGGGTTGCACCTCATAAGACGGAAGCCCTGTGGTTCCATAGGAAACGCAGAGGTGCAGTGCCCACCCGCTCGATTATCATAGTTAGGGGAACAGAGGTCGAGGTCGGTCGGTACATCAAATACCTCGGCCTCACCCTGGACAGCCGTTGGAGCTTCGAGGAGTATTTCCAGCGGTTGATCCCCCGAGTTCGCGGGGTGGCGGGCTCCCTACAGAGGCTATTGCCTAATCTGGGGGGTCCGCAGGAGGAAGTTCGCCGCCTCTACTGTGCGGTGATACGATCAATGGCCCTCTACGGAGCGCCGATATGGGCAAAGCGCTTATCGGCCTCCTCCCGCTGCCGAGCTAAGCTCAATCAAGCGCAGCAGGTAGCGGCCACTCGAATCGTACGGGGATACCGCACCATATCGTCGGAGGCGCGACAGTCCTGGCACGTTTCCCGCCTTTTGATATCCTGGCGGATATGGACGCTAGGGTCTACGACCAGACTCGCGCGATCCGCCTGGGTGAGAGCGGGAACGAACAGGACGAGCTCGAAATGCGGCGGAACGCTAACGTTTTGCCTAACCTCGAAGCTTGTGTAGGTAGGGAGTGAGGTCGCGTCACCTATAGACTGACGCAGTTGCTCACTGGGCATGGCTGCTTCGGTGAGTACCTGAATCGGATTAGACGCCAGGAGACGGCACAATGCCAGCACTGCGCGGCCGACTAGGACTCCGCCCAGCACACGCTGGAAGACTGCCCTGCGTGGGCAGTCTTCCAGCGTCATCTGAACGCGAAGTCCTGGTCGATGATATCGGACGAGACTTGTCCCCGCCAGCAATCATTACTGCCATGCTGGCGGGTGAGGAGGGCTGGGGCGCAGTGGTCTCTTTCTGTGAAGCTGTAATGCTCCAGAAAGAGACCGCATAACGGGATCGGGAGAGGGCCGATCCCGAGCGAAGAAGACGTCGACGACGTAATGAGCAGTCGACGGGACCGCGGGCCGCCAGAGAGTGAGGACCTCTGGTGGCAGATTAATTGCTGCGGTAGGGGAAAGGATGGCAGCCTGATCGCACTGAAAATGTGATCGGGCTGCAACATCTGGATAGGCTGAGAGGCAGGGAGAAGCCACTGGCTTTCCCTGAGATGGGACCTAGTTAGGTGCGGCGTCGATCTGGGGGACCTGAAATCACATGGCCCTGGTTCTCCCCAGAGCAGGGCGCCTAAGGCTGGCCGTCGGAGTGGTTTTTAGTGGAATCACCACATACTCCTGGCTCCTATATCCCCAAGGAGCCGGAGATCCGAAGGGATTTCCCACTCCGTCAACAAAAAAAAAAAAACCCCCGCCCCACGTCCCGCAAACCATCAGGAGAGTCAAGTTTACGGTGGTTTGACTATAGCACTCAAACACTCACTCATACAAGACACCAAAACTAGTGATGGTCAACTCGAGTTAACTCGAGTTGGGCGTAACTCGAACCCACTTTGTTGTGAAGTTGAATTCTCTCTGACTCGAGTTCGAAAACCGAATGGAACCGACATGGAACAAAGTTTGCAGATCATTTGAGTGAGAGTATGTTCATTCATTCATTTTTTTTAATTAATTGCTTTTTCTTAGATTGGCGTTCCAAAATGCATTCAAGTGCCAAATTTGACATGAATATTTATTTAATTTTATTAAATAATTATAATAATTTATTATTTGTATTATTTGTTCTCTCTCACTAATATTTAGTATACTTAACTATGGGTGAATCTCATAACACTCTTCTTCTCTGTAGTAGGGTGACAATAGGATAAAAAGATAATCCGTTCACATAAATACAGATAAAATAAGAATAAATAAGAGAACAAATAATCGTCATTCGTCATTTGCCACAACAATTTTTATTCTCACACTAGCAAAGCAATACCCAACGCCTATGAGTTAATCCAGGCCATAATCTATCTGTATACCAAATTGTATCTAAATACGTCCAGCCATTTCAGCGTGAAAAATAACACATACACACAGTTGCCTACAAACTGTTAGAACAGTTTGGCGAATCGAGAACTTGTAAACAAATGTAAATCAAGTGTGATTAAAGTTTATAATAAAAATAAAAAAAATACTTGAGCCATTTGTTTAAAATAATTTGCATCAAAATGTCTAAGTGCTAATGATTATTAATATATAGTCTATAATGTTTTTCTTTATTGATAGTCTAGTAGTTTAAGTGCAAAAGCGCAACAAGGCGCTTTTGCACCTAAACTACTTGATCGAAAATCGTGCAATTTTACAACTACTTACATTGTCATGTTACACTACAAACAATAGTACGTAGCGTGAGATAAGTCAACGAGAACGAAAGAACACATAAAATTATGCTTTTGTAATATTAAGGAAGTTAATACGTTTGAAATATGAATGGTTCAGAAAATAATTATTAATAAAGTCACTGATGTTGATGGAAAAAAGTGAAGTGGGTGGAGCTTAACACCTCCTCACCCCGCAAATTGTCACGCGTTGTTTCATAGGGAAATCTAATTACAACACCTCCTCTTTGTATTTTCTCCATGATTATCACCAACATAAATATTGTGTCCCACTAAGATTTAAAATTATTTATTAGAATAAAATTGGCTAGCGTCAGATATCGTGCCTTCTACGTAGAGCAAGCTTATATTACCAAATGCTTAAAAAAAATACTGTTGTCAACTAGACCTATCCAGTGGCCGATTCAGGATTTTGGTTTGGGAGGGGCTTGACCATGACCATTTTATTTTGCTTAACACATAACCAGTCTCCTCGGATAACTTTTCGTGAATTCTTCAATGACTCCGTTAGGTTGTAGACTGCCAGATATATATCGGTGAATATACATAGCAGCCAAACCGTTCAACCTGTCTTTCGACATTGTCGTACGAAGGTACGATTTTATTAGTTTAAGCGGCAAGAAGCTGCCCTCCACACTACAATTAGTTATTTGTAATTTAGCGAGAATTTGTTGGAGAATTTTTATGTTTTAGACGACCGGATAGCGTAGTGGTTTGTAAAGCGGACTGCTATTGTAAAGGTCGCGAGTTCGATTCCCGCTGAAGTCAAACATTTGTGTGCATGAACTTTAATATTTGATTTGGTCTGGGTGTTTCTATATATATTATAATATGTATGTATTTACAAAAAAAAAATGTATTTATATCAGTTTTCTAGTACCCATAGTACAAGCTCTGCTTAGTTTGGGACTAGATGGCGTTGTGTGCATGTGGTAGAATATTATTATTATTATTTTTTAGTTTTATTTTCTCAGCTTTTTATGTTTGATACATGGCTGGTTCCACCATATTTACGGGCCTAAACCAAGTAAATACAGCATGTGGTGTGTACATTATGTTGGTGTGGTGTCATCTAACTGCATTAATTTTCTGACGATTCTACATGTGTTTAATATCGAGGCTTTCTGTAAACTTATATAAACGAATTCTGATAAACCTAATTGTTTTAAGCTATGGAGAAGATGGTTTGAATGACACCAGTCGTGGAGAGGACTATGGGAACTATGAGGACGTTATGTTGTTTCCATATTCTGAGCACTTCTTTCAGGTCAGCATACTTGCTTATTTTTTCGGATATTGTTTTTTGTAAATTATGTGTGTTTGGGACTGCAATATCTATAAGGTATGTGATTTTCCTAATCTCGTCTTGTAGGGTTATGTCTGGTCTATTGAAATGTAGTTTTAACTGTAAGTATAGCGCGGACGTAGTATATTTTGTGCGTGTCATATTCTAAGATAGTTTGTGGTTATATTTATAACTAGCTGAGACCCGCGGTGTTACCCGCGTTTTTTGTTATAACCGCGGGCAACGCCTTATGTCATCAGCGATCTGCCAGTGAAAGTCCTGTCGAAATCGGTCCAGTCTGTTTCTTCCGGGTAATCTCTGTTCCAGAGATTACCCGGAAGAAACAGACAGACAGACAAAAATGGTAAAAAATGTTATTTTGGCATATGTACCGTGTAAACATACATATTCATTTAGTAAAAAGCGGTTATTTTAATATTACAAACAGACACTCCAATTTTATTTATTGGTATAGATAAGGAGTTTTGGTTAGTGATGTGCCAACTCGAAAAAAACAAAACTCGATTTAACCCGAGTAAAAATCTACACAACTCGGGTTGAACTCGAATTACGTAACTCGAGTTCACGGTATGGACAAGTGAATGCTTTTTTGAATTTTTACCAGTTTATTCCCTCAGTTTCGCATTAATAGTTTAAAAAATTGGAACAGACAAATGATATTTTTATCTGTTTTAATTCTTTAATTTTTTATATTATTTATTTATAATATATTTTTTTTTTTTTATTTTCTAAAAAGACAACTCCCGCATTAGGAATAAATCCTGTGTCGCGGGGGACTTTACAAACATACATGAAACGGACACAAAGAACACCCAGACTCAGAACAACAATTTGTGGATCACACAAAGTGTCGTCCCATGTGGGGTTTGAACCCACAACACTCGGCGTAGTAGGAAGCGGCGTGGCGACCGCTTAAACCACTACGCCATCCGTGCAGTCAATTGGGCGAGTTATACTAACTAAGTAAGAAAGAAAATTATTGTTTGAAATCGAATCATTTATTTATGTATTTTTGGCTTGAATTTTAATTTAAAAAAATATTTATTATTAATAAAACTATGAAATTATATAGCATTCTCTTTAAAATAAAAACAGACTAACATTATGATGCAGGTATGAACATTAAGCAAGTATACTGACCTGAAAGAAGTGCTCAGAATATGGAAACAACATAACGTCCACATAGTTCCCATAGTCCTCTCCACGACTGGTGTCATTCCAAACCATCTTCTCCATAGCTTAAAACAATTAGGTTTATCAGAATTCGTTTATATAAGTTTACAGAAAGCCTCGATATTAAACACATGTAGAATCGTCAGAAAATTAATGCAGTTAGATGACACTACACCAACATAATGTACACACCACATGCTGTATTTACTTGGTTTAGGCCCGTAAATATGGTGGAACCAGCCATGTATCAAACATAAAAAGCTGAGAAAATAAAACTAAAAATTAATAATAATAATATTCTACCAGTAATAATAATATTCTACCATTTTATAAGAAGAAAGTATAATTTTGTTTAACCGCCTTTTTGGAGATTGAAAACTTAAATATTCTATGTCCTCACAAAACTAAATGATAAACAAAAAAAATATTTTGAGACTTATGTTTTACTGTCTTTTTGTTACCACTTTCCATTGCCAAAACAAACCCGGGACTATCCCGGGATCCCGAGATTAACTGTAGATAATCCCGAAATCCCGGGATTATAAATATCGACCGGGATCGAATCCTCTATGCATGGCTAAAGTACAAACCGGAAAAATACAGTTGTGGTTTTAGTATCGATTATAGAGTGTAAAGAGTTTCGGCTAGTTTCATTTACAATCGATTGTCTCCTCAGGTGTATACACGTTTAGGATGGGACAAAGGAAGGACGTAAGTTAGGGGGAAAGAAAACGGATAGGGTGAGGGAGCTATGGAGAAATGGTCCTGAAACTTTTGCAGTATCATCCGCTTATGTCCACCCTTTGATTGGAATCTCCATTAGGACAGGGATCACTTTTATCCTGCATAGAATCCTGCTTTTTTTTCGTATATCGTAAAGTAAAACATGAAAAATAAATGTATATCTTTCTCATGACTCCGGTAGCAAAAACTGAGAACCTTCACATAAAAATCGGAAAAAGTATGTACACTAACGAACAATTTCGAGCTTCAAGGCCCTCTTCAAGAGTCCTCTCACGATAGTATATATTACACCGAATTTAAAAACGCTAATTTAAGAAAAAATTACGTCTGAAAATTATATTTTTTGTCATGACTGACTGATAGATCATCAAAACTTTATTTAAATATACCTACACCAAAACACATGCTACTGCTGCTGCGTCTGGAATTGGTGCCAGAAGTGTGAACTTCTTAACGATGTACAGTTTAGGCACGAAACTTTATATGAGCATTGAATCACGATAGTCTGTTCTAAGTTTACCATGACCTGGTTGTGACACTCCTAGATTTCAATTTGAGCGAAGGTGGTACAAAAAGGACTTTCATACAAACTTACCAAGGCCCCTGAAATTCGACCCTGCCTCAAATTTGTTCTTATCAGACGTCGCCTTCTTATAAAGTACGTCCCTGCCTTATTGCATCTCCATGGGTCGAGTAGTTTTCCAAATCAAGTCATTAGTCAGGAGATGAGTGAGTATCTATTCGCCTTCATATGCGAGTATATAGATAGATTGTTCGCATTATTAAATATATGTTTACGATATTTCTTCAAGCAAGGTGAAGTTATCACTGAGGTTCTTTGTGCTTTTAAATACATAAAGTAATAATCTTAAAAACAGCTTTGAATGGATAAATTGCAGTATAGGTAATTTTATTAATGTAGGCAATTATGTTGTTCTAAAGGCATCGATAAACCGGTGACCTGACATAATGACGTGTAGTAGCATCGCGATAGTTTCGCAGCGTGTCGGGAGCGATGCGCGGTCACATAATCAAGCTGTATACCCAAGAGGCTGGACCGCCGTCGGACTCTTTGCAGACGGTCTTTATCCTACCAATATGTTCATTGGAGTTACCTCGAGTGGAGACAACGTGAATTCTCATTACGACTACCTGATTTGAACGCTAGAGGTAAGAGAAAAAGTTTAAGTTTCTTGTGAACCTAAGGTCAAGTCTCCATATCAACTTTTGCAAAGTTAAACGTAAATAACTGATTACAGTTATTTTAGTTACTTAAATATTAAATAAATGGAAATTCGCTGTATACTCGTAGACTTGTCTGATGTAACTCTCTTCTGTTTCTTGCCGTGACTATAATTAAATGTATATATATAACCATATCGAAATAGATTACTGGTGCTTAAGTTCTAATGTTCTCAGAATAAACACATACATAGGTATGGTATTAAAATAATGTTTTCTTTCAGGTACGTTCTTGTGAAAAACTTTTTTCGCTGTGGATAATGGCGTTGGACTTCGTAGCAGGGTGTATAGGAGGTAGGTGGCGAAATTTTTATTAGATTGACACTTAATTTTGTGACTAAAAACTTGTGTATCGGGCAGACTTCATACATATACAAATAACTTACTGTGTTTCAGGTTGCGCTGGTATCATAGCAGGTCATCCATTAGATACTTTGAAAGTACACATACAGTCTGGGAGAGGTGGTGCATTAGAATGTGCAAAATCTATGTTGAAAGGAGGAACATTAGCTAGTGCTTATAGGGGGGTGGGAGCTCCTTTGGGAGGAATAGCAGCTGTAAATGCGATTGTGTTTGGAGCATACGGGAACACTAGGCGGGCTTTACCCAATCCGGATTCCATATACACACATGCAACGGCCGGTGCGGCCGCTGGCATGCTTCAAAGCTTCGCATGTGCCCCAGTGGAATTAGTGAAGACACGACAGCAACTTGCTAAATCTGGAGACGGCATGCCAACCAGAGCTTTATCAGGAGCACGATATATTTACAGGACTGGAGGTTTCAGAGCTTTGTTTCGTGGACAAGGAGTGACAATAGCCCGTGATTGCCCGGCTTTTGCAATTTATTTTGGCTCATATGAAGCAATGACACGTGGCGATTTAAGTGTAACGAAAGTTTTTATTTCGGGAGGTGTTGCAGGTGCATTGTCGTGGGTGTGTTTATATCCTATCGATGTAGTAAAATCAAGACTGCAAGGTGACGTGATAGGCCGGTACGCAGGGGCTTGGGACTGTTTCGTACAGTCAGTGCGAACAGATGGTTGGAAGTGCATGTCACGCGGCATTAGTGCGGTTGCTATAAGAGCTTTTATTAGTAACGGTGCGTGTTTCACTGCAGTGGCGTGGACGGAGCGTGTATGGCAAAGCATGGCTAGCGAAGCTAGTGTAAAGACATTTGGACCGGCAAGAATTAGCGAAGCAGTTTGTCAGGATAACAAAGATCGACAATACGACACGTAATGAAGTTTTGAAAGAACTTTTCTTTTGTGTATTGAAGATGAATATATTGTTACGAGGTAGTGTAACTACAGATGTTGTTACGAGATTAGAAGGGCGAGATAAAATGTTGTTTGGTTTTATTAAATTTATTGTTTTTTTCTTAATTGTGCCTACTTCATCTCTTATCGCATTTGACTATACAGAATTTATAGACATTAGATAATGACGACATGTTTGTGTAGGCAAGGGTTATATTATGTAAGTAGGTAAATGATGATAAAAAAATGGATTGAGTTTAATAAATTTATAAGTGGTTAGCACTTAATTATACACTTGATAGGTATGTTCTCTAAATGCCCCGGTTTGTCCCTCCCCCTCGATCCGGGACTGACGCCCCGTAAGACAAATTCCTTTTAAATATAAAATCTATTATTTTTGTTGTTTGCAGCTATCAATAAAACACAGAATTCTTTCTTATTAAGTATCATATACTTGTCTGAAAAATTTCATACAATTTTCAAAAATATTCCAGAAATACAGGAATGATTCACATTATGAAAATATCACAACATTATAAATGTGCCAAAATTGCTAAAATAAACGTAAATAGTTTTAAAAATAAAGACGGCTACATAATAATTTTACATAATATTAACTTCACTATACTTTTTCCTAAGATCATTATTTTTTCAACAACTTATTGATTAGGGAACTTAACTGTCGGAATGGGCTTTTCGAATTATTGAAAAGTTTGATGGCAAGAGAACCTGAAACCCAAAAAGGAAGGTTGGTTAACACTTGCGGTTTCGTGAAGAGGGCATTTCTGTAGAGTTTACTAAAAAAAGTTCGATTTCTGTCGGTAATCCTTCTCCGGTGAAAAAAGATTGACGTGTAGTTTAATATATGACGTCATAAGTATTACTCGTCAACCTTACTACCAAAAGAGACATAGATCCGAAAAGGATACTTTGTTTATTCAAACATATGGATAAAACTTAATGGAACCATCTCACCTATGACACTGTGAAGCAGCTAATCTTGCTCCATGGGCTGCGGGGGCAGTGGCGGCGGTGGGGGCGGTGGCGGTGGCGGTGCGTCGTTATTGTTCACCTGGTTTTCCATGAGGCCCAGCTGCTCCAGCATGTCGTCATTGTCCTCCATCAGGTGCACCTGCATCAACCACGGCCGGTTACTCTGCAAACAAATTTTTCAATATCCGACACCGAAAATATCTCCTCCCCTGTTTTAAGGCATATTCTAGAACAAAGGTTGAGTTTATTGTGATCTCACTATTGCAAAAGGCATTTCCTTTATTAAATGTGTTACCTCTTGTCTTGCCTGAATTCAACATTAACCGATAAAATATATATATATATACATAAATAACGAGCGCCTATATGTGTTTAGAACTATATACATAAGTACGAGTAGGTATAAATTTCTAAATACAAGGCTTGCCTAGTTTGGGATGAAATGTGTCAAGTTATTATCAGTAGGTTATTTTTTTGTATAAATTATATCCATTAATAAAAAAGGCATTAATATTCCAATTTGTCACCAACTTCATAGGTTAAGACCTATTATTATTTTTTAAGTACGTAAAAAAAGACAGTCGATTCTTTATTTTCATTAACTATTCCACGTTTCGTAATATATATAAAATTATAAAACATACCTTGCGATACCTTGTGATCATACCTTTGATTTACGTGAAATGTCAGATTTTGCCGCCCATGCCTTAGCGAGCTGTATTCATAATGTTGATGGTATCGTGTTATTTGAGTTTAAATATGTCAATCATTTAATTACTCTTTTGGCAGTCCACTGCTGGTCGTAGGCCAATCTTTGTTCAGGTCGTCAGTTCATCTGTTTGAGCGGCGTTCTACCTTACGTTGCCCGATTCTCAGTCCCCACACTAGGACCGTTAGCTATCGGCCCTTCGTTAGATGTGACCAGGCCATTGCCACTTCAATATGCTTGTTTTTCCAGCTATATCAGTAAGTAACTTTAGTTGTTTGTCATATGACCTCATTACGAATTTAATCCATGAAACGCCAAACATAGCTCGTACCATAGCACGCTGAGTGACTTTAAGTTAGTGGACTAAACCGTTAGTGTCCACTAGGTTCCTCTGATAGCTTGTAAATCGAAGTTTATTCTACAGAGCTGGATAACTTGTCAAAGGTATATATATTCTTGAATAATTTCTTTCGTCGATCCTTTGACAACAATCTAGGTCTAGGTATGATATGTTCATTTAACTATACAGGTTTTTTTTTACTTGAAACACATGCCTACCTCCTGTTTCTACTAGGGCGACAGTTTCTACAGTTTCCCCGCCTACCGCCTATTTTAAATAACAATATAGTCTTATTACAAATGTGTTGTGAATGTATATATGTTTATGGTCTTAACCATGACACAACACTTCCCTCCATGCCCTAGGTGTTAAGCTCTGCTCGAAGATGGACTTAAAGATACTCAGTAACTCTTGCAGGACTAGGATCCCCTCTGCCTTTAGGAGCTCGTTTGTAATTCCGTCATCTCTAGGAGACTTGTTGTTTTCAGTTGCTTGAGAGTGGCCCCTATCTCATCTTCGTTAATATCTGGAATCTCCTCAATGGCACGTTCACACTCTGTGGTTATTATCACCCCGTCGAGTTGGTTTTATCGTCGAGATGGATGTAACTTTTCATAGAACTCCTCGATCTCTTCGAGAAATGAATGAACAAGTTAGTTCAATTGCATTCTCTTGAGGAAGCGTCATCGGTTAAGGCTCAATTCGGTTCCCGTCTTCTCTCCATGTCAAGTCCGAGTCGAGTTCGAGAGGCTCGGGAGACATTGGCAGTTTGCGTTTTCCGGGAAAAAACATTCGAGATACACCTTAAAGCGTTTTGACCATTATGACGCGTCTTTCTCGTCAATGTTGCTAGTGGTTTCCATCGTCACTAAACGATTTTGAACTTCTAGTTGAAACTGTTCTCCTACTCCCCTGTTAGACCTGCATGGGGCGTCGTTGGTCAGTGAGCAGACATCATTTGAAGTCATTCAGATTTTAGGTTAATATTTAGTCTACTAGTCTTAAGTCACTAGTGGGTGATTACTACCGCGATTAAACCTGATGAGCATTCAGATATTTCTAAATATGAGCCTCGAGTCCATATCTCTATCGTTTATCTCGTTCCTGGTTCACGTTATCGAGTCTTCGCCAAGTCCATTTTATGCGGGATTTTTTTTGTTTTAGAAAGAATTGATTTGAATTGATTGAAGGTCCTTGTGATTTTAGAAAGTTAAGTCCCTCGTAACAACGTTATATACAGCTTTGGTGGTGCCGAATATAACCTTTTTCGTACTTTCGTACACGGTTTAAATATGTAGCAAAACAGATTTTGGCTCACTGTCATACACACAAGACTAGCAAACAAAAGAGCAGGTTACCTAAAATACTCAGATATATTTAATTTAAGAATAGACCCCCAATTGCATACATTCACAATTAATTTGTTTTAAACTAATATTTATAGTTTTATCCTCACGTGGCTATCATAACTGACCGTTGCCCTCTCTATCGACGATTACATATTACGTTAAATATTTCTTTAGTAACAGTTTTATTTCTCAATTCTTAATAAACTATCCGTATGGTGACTGATTAAGAATATGGAGTATCACCACCCCTGTTCATCCCGTAGGTGTAAGTAAGAGACGACTAAGGGAGTAACTACGCAGGAGAACAGCACTACACAGAGAAGGAAAACTTGAAACAAACTTTATACCAACCCGTCTGACCAGCGAGGTATAGTAGGCCAATACCTCCTTTCTAAGAGAGGCCTATGTCCAGCAGTAGACTATTAAAAGCTGTTGTGATTCTTATCCTCCGTCGTAGTCGTTAAGGTGGCGAAACTATAAGGGTTCCTAGTCCTACTACGGAACCCTTAACGACAGGAATTACTGTTGTTAACATAACTATTCCTACAAATCATACAGCGAGGCAGGTAAAGTAGTGCAAGTAAAGTCGATGACGGATCACTATTAATATCTATCATACCATAAACCCAAACATCGACATCTATTTCTTTAAAATATTTAATAGTGTTTGTTATTATTGTAGTATTTACATTAGCTTAGAAAACTGATGAAAAGGTCGGAGATAAGAGAAGTTTCAATAACAACAAATAATCTGACTCAATGTTGCTATTAGTGTAGTAAACAGAGCGCTAGTTGAATGCAGTCGGGGTCTAAGGTGAAGAGGGTCACCACCTTCAATCCTAATCCACTGATTCGCCCGCTAACTGTGGCTCGCATGTTCGCAAACCTTCCGACATCCCCCACAAACCTTGATTCGCACACCCGGAGTCTACAGATAGTGCTGGAGTATTGCTTTGTTCCGCATTCAATGAGCATTACTACAATACTTTCAAATAAACCTGCTATGTCACACAATCTCTACATAAGTTAATTTTTTCGCTAACTTTGTTTTGCTTCATTTTATTATCTTTTTAGCAGCAGGTTAATTCTGTAAAATTTTGTCGTCTGTTTACGTCTCAAACCCGATTCCTGATTGCCGTGCGCTTTCGCGGTAAAGGATAATGAGTGAAGCCAATAGTCAAGTGAAATATTGTTAATTACTTGCTGCGGCTTTAAACACGCACGGACGCATCCTTGTAATAAGCACGTACGCATGGAGGTACCTCCACCTCCATGCGTCCGTGCTTATTACAAGAAAGAACTTTGCATGACTATTGCAGAAAGTATGGGTTAATTGAAACAAGACGTTGGATAATATTATTCACCTTGAAGTGTGCTTTTATATTATATTCAAAAGGTATCACATGATCTGATTTGTAATTCAAATTCAAATTATTTATTTATTAATTATTTAATTATTTATATTTTTTGTAATAAGTTGTTCGTTGTATTTTTAACTCATGCTTTTCTTTTGTTTCAACCGGTTCATGATGCTGAATAGAAGTCGTTCACACGCACATGTAAAATTTTATGATTTCGTTTTTACCATTTGTTTCATACAATGACGGTTTATCAAGTTTTACTATTAAACGAAAATAATTTAGGATATGGTACGAATATACTTATTCGTACCACATCCTAAATTATTTTTTATAGCTCGTAGCTATCAAAATAGTCCAACTATTAGACTAAACTAAAATTCTAGTACATAGTACAAATTAATACATACACTAACATCCGGGAGCGCGGTGCGGTGTTGTCCGTGGCGAGCAGTCTCCGAGAGCAGGATCTTCTGACGCTTCTCTTCCATTAGGCGTTCACGGTGCTTGTGGATGTAGTCGTACACGTTGGGCAGGCCCATGATAACGCACGCGGACAATGCTGACCTGTAGATGTTCATGTCTGTGGCTTCGTACCTGAATGTTTAAAAAATGTTCTATGTAGTTATTTTTTTACAGTAATATTTACGAAGAGTTTTACGCCTTTAAACCGATTTTATAAACACTATTCCAATCTGACATAAGTCACTGTCGTAAGACACTTTTTCCACAGCTTGCTCGAATGGCTGTTTTATCTCCCGGTAATATAAACTCAGGTCGTGTTTTTAATTTCTAGGACTATGTATATTACCGGATTAAACGACTAATGACGATCTGCAGAAACTCTCAACTATTTATATATAACTATAGGCATTTAGGTATCTTTTGAAACCAGTATTTCGAATTTAAAAGGTGCATGTCGACTACATAAAAATTTAGCCTTCCTACCTACGAAAACTTCATAAAAATGTAAGTAATTGTGTAATAATGTTGCACGAAAATATTCAAAACCTTTAATTAAATTTAGTCAGAAAATTGCCGATCAAATACATTGATCGATACAGAAAAAGGTTAGTTAGTAGGTAGGGAGGTACGGACCCTTCAGTACCTACCTACCTACAGTACAGTAGTAGTATTTTTTAAGGATCATGGCATACCTATACCCGTTAGTAGAGATACTTCAACAGCAGATAGGGTTATTAACATGTCTCCGGTTTAAAATTTACGAATGTACAAAATAGTTAGAAATTGATCGCTAATCGATTAAAAATAGGTATACTGTTGAATAAAATAAATTAACATCTTAAATGTTTTATACAATCTGCTGAAGTAGAAAGCAAAAGACTTTTTTAAGTAAATCTCAGACTTTATCGTATAAAGAGTTCGACCCCGACCTCTTAAGAAGTATTTAAAATACTTACTTATCTCAGTACAATACACGCTCCTTCTAAAGGTCATAAGAACTCAATAAGATTAGATAAACAATGCATATTAGAAACCTCACGAAAGGATACTTGAAATCTCTTTCTTAAACAACTTTAAGTTCATATTATTATCTATATCTGTGAAAGAAGAAATTGACAGACTGATGCACTGACTGATCGATCAACGCAAATTTTGCACAAATGTTCCTTGGGCGAGAGGTTCTCTAACCGTCCGCCGCGCCCGACCGGCGACCACCGGCGGACGGTGAAAGAACCCCGCGCCTTATGGCACGTAGGTGTACAATAAGAAGCAGAGGGGGGTCGTCTACCTGTTGTTGTAGATGGCCCGAGGTATGTCGGGGGCACCAGAGACTTCCTTTCTAGGGTATACCTGGTTAACCGGCTATTAGTACCCGAGACGGCGTGCGGTTTTAGTCGGTTCGAGTCCGACATGCCGCACGGGAAAAAAAAAAGGTACAACAAGAAATTATTTAAAAAAATAATCTCTAATGGTGCAAAATGGGGGTGGAAATATAAAACTTCGTTATTTTTGGTAGTAGAGTTTTTAAACTCACAGTAAATAGTCTTTATCATTACTTATATTATAAAGAGGTAATGTTTGTGAGTTCGGGGTGATCTCAGGCACTACTTCAGTAGGTTCGATTTGTAAAATTATTTTAATATTGGATAGCCCATTTATCGAGGCAGGATAAAGGTTGTATAACATCATGCTACGACGAAGAGGGGAAAAAAATATTCCTTTTGGGAGAAGCAAATGAAGTTGCGTCAACTGTCAGCTATAAATCAAAGTATCAAGAGCAATAACCTCCATTAACCTATGACGATAACATGAAGGGTCTACCTATATATTTTTTTACCTTATAAAGCACTTGGTGTGTATACTTACCGAAAACATTGCTTGGAAAGTTACTTGTAAAACTTAGCTTTTCAACCTAGGAAAACTTACAGAAAAGTACAATTCGAATAAAATTTGTCACTTATTTTAGCGTAACAGTATTAACACACGACAATTCATTCACAAAGGTCCGTTATCATCAATGGCGAGAAGAGGGCAGGGAACTGTCAGCTAATATGTACAGTCGCGAATGCTGTAAATCTGCCGTAACGCGTATCTTTGGGACCTAAAAGAAGTAATCTCGAAGTCAACTGACTGTCAATATTGACTTAGCCTTTTACCCGGGGGGGGGGGGGGGGGGTACAAAATAAGAACTAACTTAATTGGGAAACCACCCTTTACGCGATACGCGAATGAGTAATTATTAATGAATTTTACCAAGAACTTGCTATTTTTAGGGTTCCGTACCTCAAAAGGTAAAAAAGGAACCCTTATAAGACCACTTTCTTGTGCGTCTGTCCGTGTGTCACCACCGATTTTCTCAGGAATGGGTAGAAATTTATACCAAATACTGAGGTCTATGGTCCCTATTAAGTGTATAAAAATCAAGGTCCTGATTCACCACGTTAAAAAATATGGGCAAATTTCGATTTTCGCGAAAACGTGTGCTGAAAGACCTTCCTTTAACCAAAATTCACAATTCTAGGTCAACCGGAAGTACCCTATAGGTTTTGGGTCGAAAACCTAGATGGTTGACCCGTTGACCTAGAATCACGAAATTTGGCAAAAAGAAACGTCTTACAGCACAAGTAAAGGAATAATTCCAAAAAAAAAAAAGTTGAAAATTAAGATAAATTATGGTATTATACTCATACTTACAAATTTTCGCGAAAGTCTACGTAAAATCTGGGTAGGTACGGAAACCTCGGCGCACTGGTTCGACTCGTACCTGACCGGTTTTTTTCTTGTCAATTGAGTCTACTCGCAAAGTGTCATTTAAATATAATTTGTTACAAGGCCTAATACCAGTTCTTCATATATAAGCCCTTGAATGTATTTTTTAGGTAAGTATTTAAAATATTTTGTTGAATTCCTTAATTTGTGCAGTTGTAAAACAATAGATGTGATAAAATAAAAATTATAAGTTAATTAACTGCATTTGGTTTAGCTGTAAGTCAGAGTGTTGAAACAATTAAATCAATAAATGTTCAAGATACATATTGCATATACATTGGATGCACCTTCTCGTCGTTAATTATTCCATTTCGCATTCACATTCGCACTGTATATGAAAAATATACTTGTTCTGGGATCCATATATACATAGGGCATCAAGTAGCAAAGACGATTGGAATTTATTGTTCATGCGAAACGATAAGTAACAAGGACTTTGTAATAATATCTCTCTTTACAATAACAGTCAGAAACACCTAGAAAGTAAAGAAAGATGTTTACGTATATTGTTTTTTTTAAATTATTCCTAACTTGTTTAACGGTGTGGAAGATCTTCATACATGTTCTTTCTCTACCCTTGGGAGATACAAGAGTATGTCAGACTCTTCACAACGATTGCATTCTTCCACTACCCCGACAGGCATTGACCTGTCTCACAAAAACCCAAGACCCGATGTAACCGTTACCTGTCGGTTGCGCTCTTTTAAGAAGTGAGCTAATTGCCTCTGCGAAATGTCTGGTGTTATGATATAGGCTCTATCTACATTCTTATACTGAGAATTTTTCTTGCTATGCGGTTGATACTGATACAAAAAGAAAACAAAACTATAAATGTAATAAAAGTAATGACGGTCAAAATGTTTTGCGTCACTCACATAGGCAGAACGTAATTTGATAACGACTGTTATTAACAAAATAATAAAAAAACATTTGGAAGAATATAAGAATAATATACAAAAAAACAGAACTATTATGTTAATTGCTTGATAAAGTTCGCTTATTCACAATAGCAAATATTTATGACGTTTTTGTACTATGCGATACGCAAATTAATTTGGCGTGTGTTACGTTTTTTTATTTGTAGGATTAGAGGCAAAAGGGTATACATATGTATATATGTATATATATAATGTAATACAAACATACATATGTACCGTAACTTATACATGTGAAGTAGTAGCCCTCGAGGTGATGACTAATTTTAGATGTTGGACCCACCACCCTTAGATATTATTATTCGTATATTTTTAATTTACGTAAACATTCTTTCACTATCTTAATAGGTTTACCCCAACACAATAATGGACTTACTATGAACAGTAAAATTTGTTTACTGTGCTCGTAAGGAATGAATCATCTGGCAGACCAAATGGGCACAATGTGTGCCAATAACTTAATATTCCTTGAATAGAAATTAATCTTTCCTCCGAGCTTTTTCCCAAAATTGGTTGGGGTCTACTACGATAAATATGAACTTCCATTTTTTACGTCGAGCGACTGCCATCAGACCTCTACAACCCAAGTACTAGGCGATATCGAAGTTCTGTAAGACTTTTAGGGTTCTAATTACCTATAACGATTGTCAAAGATGTTCGCATGGCTAATGACACCGATGGCTTAACGTGCTCTCCGAGGCACAGAGGGGTCTCAATGCGTTAACAATGTTCAGCCATCCATAGACTGACCAGGCTAGGGTTGCTTAACTTTGCAATGTGTTTTAACTTACTCGGTTACCACTTAGCCACGAGCTCCTCCAAAAATATTATATGGTATGTTTATCAGCAGTCTGGTTACCTTATTATAGGCTATGCCTAGTTTGGTATCGGATGGCCGTGTGTGAAATGTGTGAGGTTATTATTATTATTATAATATTAGTGCAAGGTATAATAGTTATTACTTTGGTTCTTTGAAAATAGATATCCATTTAAAGCATCGTAAAATAACACCTTAATGAAGTATACTGGATAAGTAAAAGTAAAATGCCTATTGTAGCGAAAGCAACCAACTCAATGATGAAGAAGAAAAAAACCGGTCAGGTACGAGTCGAACTCGTGCGCCAAGGGTTCTGTACCCACCCAGATTTTATGTAGATTTTCGCGAAAATTTGTAAGTACCAAAATTTATATTCATTTTCACCTATTTTTATTTTTTGGAATTATTCCTTTATTTGTGCTGTAAGACGTTTCTTTTTGCCAAATTTCGTGATTCTAGGTCAACGGGAACTACCATATAGATTTTCGACCCAAAACCTATCGGGTACTTCCGGTTGACCCAGAATTATCAATTTTGGTTAAAAGCAAGGTCTTACAGCACAAGTAAAGAGAAAATTCTGAAAAATAAAAAAAGTTGAAGATTAAGGTAAATTTGGTACTCACAAGTTTTCGCGAAGATCGAAATTTGACACGGACAGACGGACAAGAAAGTGATCTTATTAGGGTTCCTTTTTTACTTTTTGAGGTACGGAACCCTAAAAAAAGCGTGCAGTTACAAGTTGTGTGTCTTGATATAAATGTATTGAATAAGTCGAGTTCTATCGGTCACCATTTTTAATACAGGAAATAGTTGTAGTCTGTTAAAAACCTTTTCTTATACATATAATGTTTAGTACCAAAAGTTTCTTATCGGTTTCATATCCACCTATATCATAAAAATTTAAATTGCGGACCATCCCGGCATAAAGTGGAAGGTAATGCTCAACAAACTCCTATCGTTATTCTTGGCTCTGGACTGGTGGCCGGCCCTGTGGTGGAATACTTGGCGAGGGACAAGAATATTGCTATCACAATAGGTATGTACATATTTTTTTACTGAAATACTTCACATCGCTGTATTATGTCAAGTTTAGGAATTCTGTGGACGAGTCACCCTTTGCAATGTGTTAATTTACTCGGTTATCACTTAGCCACGAGATTTTATTAGAAATTAATCTGATCAGAAAAATTAAATATTTTGCAGTTTTGTAAGTGTGTTAAATAATTTCTCTATTTTATAATTATTAAACTCTACTTCAGACTAAAATGGCTTCCTCACGGTTAATCGCAACATGTGAAGTACCTATGAGTTCATGTATGATAATGAAACGTTTGTTCTACTATTTACGTGAATGGTATTCAAGTCCCACTGTTCTCCTCGCAATTCCAAGTGACGTCTAACTATATTGGTATATTATATGGAAAAGTTTCGCATTTACGGAGAATTCCTCTATAATTTAGTTACATAAAAATAAGTGATTATGTGGTTCTGAGCATTCAAAACACAGAACACGAACCCAAAGTCAATTTCCCCTAACATCAAAAAGAAGGCCCACGGATAAGTTTAACTTATTTGGTAAGCTTTTAAAGCGGTCCACTTAAATAAGCTAGAACAGTCTCTTGATTAAATGTTATTTGGCATGTCTCCGCAGATTGTTTTCTTTCATTTGACTAGCTCTCATAATTAGATGTGATAAAATAAATCCATTCTGTTCAATAGAAAACATGTTCACGCATCCATCACGAGTTGGAACTACTGTCGTCTGTAGATAACCCGGAAAATTACATGTTTACAATTTCATCATGGTAGACTAAATAGATTATATTTCAGTAGTTGATCAATCTATCGTATCTAATGCGCGTTAATATTTAATATTAAAGTGTATAAAGTAAGTAAGTATAGTATAGTATAAAGTAAGTAAAATTATTTAGTTATTATAATAGCAAGATTCGCAAAGTTGTAAGATATGAACTACTTACATACATTGCTTATAAAAAGGGTCCATATCTTTCAAACTTCAATTAATTCAATGTGATTCAATCTCTATGGAAAATTTACTTCTTAGCCCATGTGTAATGGGTGTGTAACGCGTAGGGACGTCTGAACGCGAAGTCCTGGTCGACCAAATCAGACAAGACATGTCTCCGCCAATAAACATTACTGCCATACTGGTATGTGAAGGGGCTGGGGTGCAGAGTCTCTTTGAAGCTGTAATGCTCCAGAAAGATATCGCTGAACGGGATCGGGAGAGGGCCAGCCCGACTAAAGAAGAGAGTAGGGACCTCCGGTGGCAGATTAATTGCTCCGGTAGGGGATAGACAAGACAAGATTTACTTGGTATAATAATAATTAAAAAATAAAGGACAGTAGTTCCTGAAGATTATAAAGTATGTTTTTCTTGAGATTGCACATATGTTATAGTGTAATTGTTGCTAATACTTTTGCTACAATATTAGATCTATCGATTCTCGTTAGTTTCCTCTTTGTCTTTCTGCTAAAGCCAAGTTACCGAGTCGTCGAAATGTTACATATAAACTGACACTAAGATAAAAAATCGGGTTCTAACTGTTAGAAAAATGCGTTGTGGTTGAATCAAAATCATGATTCTGATGATTGATGATAAGAGTTTGAAGAGATTTACCACTCATTAGTCCTCTCATCGTAACATTCGACGTGGTAGATAGTAGTCACTCCATTGAATCCTCCGATGGCGAAAATCATGTCGTCGATGACCTCTATGGCGAAGTTGCTGCGGGGATTGTACATATCAGGCACCGGGGCCCAAGTGTTCGCAGCAGGATCGTATACCTCACCGCTGCACATTCTCGAAATACCATTGAAACCGCCGATCACGTATATCTATAAAAAAGTTGAAGAGTAAGATTTCCATTAAATAAAATAAAGGGGCTGACGATTGCAGTCATTCTTAGAAAATTTATTTCTGAACAATTGTCCGTTAAGCTCAAACTATAGCTCACAATAAATATTAAAAAACCAAAGTTGCTTTTGAAAGTAAGTAGATCTCAGATAAAAGCTTGAAGTCTACAAATTTTTATATAAACCATTATGCCATCCGTGTAGTGCAAATATTGAGAGCCATAGTTTACAAATATTCGATTGGCTAGCGTGGCTCGATGATTTTTGAAATTACACGATAAAATTATTTATTATTAAGTCTCATATGATTGGAATTATAAAACATAATTTTTGTTTGTTAAAATTTCGTACATTTGTAGCATTCACAGAGTTATTATTTATTTATTTATTTGATCTTGGAAGTTCAACAGCTTTACAAATTGATTTAATATTGTATAGGTTACATACAATTGAATAACAGATACTGCGTAGAATCTAACAATATACTCGTAGGTACCAACATAACCGATTTGACATACACGATGATAAAAATAAAAAGATCTAATTTGTTGTTGTTGTGTGAGTAGGTATCGTTCTCATTTTTAACCGACTTCAAAAAAAGGAGGAGGTTCTCAATTTGACTGTATTTTTTAAACCGTGTTATTTAACGGATGATCTTTGAACATTGTACTCGACAATCTAATTGGTCTATGACCCATGGCAGAATGGAAGGTATAGGTAATAATTTACTAGTATAGTAACATCTATCGGTGGTTGTAATCTTCAGCGATAACACCTCGTTGTATGTCACATATATAGGTGGAATAATTATAACACCAGGTTAGAGATTCTCGAATTAGTCACGATATACTGATTGTAGACATTTCTTAGTTAGGAAGGGTTAGGATAGAAATGTCAAAGCTGACCCGTGTGGAATGGTACCCTGGCCTGATTAATAACTTTGAAGCAGGCTCGTATCGCCGCGTTTACGACCTTCTGACAGGTGACGAATCCTGGATCAATCAATACGATCCAAAAACAAAGCGTCAGTCGACACTCTGACGAACCAAAGTGAAGCGATACAGAAGCACGGGTAAAATTTTGATCGCTGGTTTCTTTATTTTGACGAGGTATCTGGCTCCGATACCAATACAAAATCAAATCAGCATTAACGCCGAACTGTATACTACGAAATGCTTGCCAGAAGTTTCCATTGCAATGAGCAACAAGCGACCAAATACCGGGCTTCTCGGGCTATTACTTCACCATGACAATGCGCCCGCGCATTCAGCTCTCATAACAAGGGACTTCCTAGACACCACATCGGTTAAAGTCTTGGGTCACCCTCCTTACAGTCCTGATCCGGCAGCGTGTGACTTCTTTTCATTTCCTAAAATAAGAAATCAACTAAAAGGCATAGTTTTCGTCGCCAGAAGATGTGCTAATAGATTCGAGAAGACCGTAGAAGAGGTGTCTGCGACGGACTGGAAAAAGTGTTACGAAAACTGGTTCACAGCATGCAACTTTGTATAGAGGCTGGTGAAGAGTAAAATAAAATAAATACTTGCAAATACTTTGTTGATTTATTATTGTAGTCTAAATTAGATAGTTGATGATGAATGTATTTCGAATTCTACCTGTAATTTGAAACGTTAACTCTTATATGTTAAATCATACTTTCAAAAATTTCAATGGATCGGAGATACAAAATGCAAAGCGATTCGAAGGTTCGATTTAAAAATAATAATTAACTCAACATTTGAATAGTCCAAATTCTAATAAAATAACTAATAATATACCTAAATACCTTGTTGTGGTAAGCGATACAGGAGACTCCGGAACGACGGGATCGCATTGGCGCCAGGTTCGTCCACTGATTTGTGTCCGGGTCGTACACCTCCACGCTGTTCATGCACTCCTGGCCGTTGAAACCGCCAGTTATGTATATCTTGTCTAAAGAAAGATTACTGCGCTTTCATATAATATATGCATAAAAGACCTGTATCTATTAATTTCTTGCTTACACTAAATAAACTAGATATACACTAGATAAACTAAATATATAGATATTAGATGCAGAAATACTTGGGTGGGTTGCGTGTCATAACTGAGTGATTCAAAGATGTATGGGTTTTAATCAGTCAGTAGTAAATGTTAAAAGAAAGTGAGTACGAGATTCAAAGATGAAGAATACTTTCAAATAACTAACTCCCAGTCGATCTTTTTCCTGCTATATTTTTGATTTTACATAGGAACACAAGGTGGATTAGCCTGATCCTGATAACCTGTTTTCCAAAATTCGTGGTGCTAATGGAACAAATATAAGTAACATTCAAGTAACATGACATATCCAAAAACGTCGTCCTAAAAATCAATACTTCGTTGTATGATGTTGACGACTACTATTATATGAGCTACTACTAATATATATTATATGACGATAATGAAATCTTGCCATTTTCTTACTGTCAAGGGCAGCAGCGCTAGCGTCAGATCTTTGAGCGTTCATTGGTGCTACGAGAGACCACTGGTTGGTGCGGTGGTTGAATCGTTCAGCGGTGTTCTGGCGGTGGTGTCCATCGTAGCCACCCATTGCATACACAGTCTCGCCCAGTACCGCTACGGAGACGTAGCAGCGGCGAGCGTTCATTGGTGCCACCTAATGGAAGTTTTTTTAAAATTCTGTTAGATAAACACTCATTCACAGACTTCAAAAGAGGAGTAGGCTTTCAATTCGACTGTATTTTTTTTTACATTTATAAACTCAGAACTCAGTCATTAACAAATCGATTTGGAAAATATATTTTTATTTAAAAGGGTATAAAAATATAATACATCTATACTAATACTATAAATCTGAAGAGTTTGTTTGTTTGTTTGAACGCGCTAATCTCAGGAACTACTGGTCCGATTTGAAAAATTCTTTCAGTGTTAAATAGCCCATTTATCGAGGAAGGCTATAGGCTATATATCATCACGCTAAGACTAATAGGAGCGGAGCACCAATGAAGAATGTTTCAAAAACGGAGAAAATTTATTACTATTGAGAGACGCAGACGAAGTTGCGCGGGTCAGCTAGTATAATATACTGGTCAAAGACTTTTGTGTTCAGACACTATTTGGGACGAGAATATGTCACGTAGCTTTCCGAACGCTGCTCAGTCAAGTTATATACTAATTTATATTCCGTTTGGTACCATTCAAATTTAAAGAAAAAATCCACCCATTTGAATTACCTCACGCCAAGTTTTGGAGACTGCATCGAAGCAACGACACGAATTGAAATAGTCCATTCCGTCAAAACCGCCGATCACATAGATACAGTAACCTAGAACTGCTGTGCCGTGATATGCTCGAGGTCCAGCCGGGTCTACTTCTTCTACCTGCCAATAAGAGAAAATATTATTTTTAACCGATTTCAAAAAAGGAGGAGGTTCTCAATGCATCGGAATCTTTTTTAATTACATGCAATGGGTAGGTACTCAAACTTGAAATGTTTTTTATCGTCATTTAGTGGTTATTTTATTTAAAAATACTTGATTTTCTAAGTAAGCCAAAAAATCATCATTTCTAGGTTAAAAATAATATATTTTGTTAATAAACGGAAACTGCCCAGATTGCTTGAACCTTTGATAATGCTCTATTAGAAGTTTGCAATCAAAATGTATCTCCGAGTAGATAATATAGATAGATTTTGACGCTAGGCCTTACCGCTTGTAGCATAATAAAAATATTTGTATGACTTTGATCACACTGGCAACACCGCATGGGCATTGAAACAAAGTGAACTACCCGATAACACTTCCAGAGGGGGATAAAAATACCATTATTTACCTTGATCCAGCGATCAGCTCTTGTATCGTAAGTTTCAATAAATGCCGTTGGCGATCCTCCGCTCCAACCTCCAATAGCGAATAGGACCTAAAAGTAAGTAATGACTTACTAATTCTCAAGTATATTGCAGCATCTCTTAATGTACAGGATTTTTTCCTTTATTTTATTTTGTCTTTTATTCCAAATTTATGTAGAGAAAACTATTTGTGACTGGGATTCCAGATCTGTTTGAGACAGAACCGTTGAAGGGTCATAATACGCCGATAACTAACTAGATCAACTTACTTCATGAGGAACACGAGGTCGGGCAATCTCTGGCGTTGCGACTTCACCATCTCGCTGAGCAATCATCTCCAGATCGTACAGAAACTTTAAAGTTTCTATAATGATAGGCCTTGAACCTTCGTTGCCGGTGACATACGGATGGTCTTTAACATTTTCTAAGAAAAACTGTACCAAACAAGAAAAAGTTAGACTATAAATAATTATCAGTTTGAACAAAACAATTTGTCAAGCGTTGCAAAACGTTAATCGGCATCTTAAACTTTTCTAAAATAAATTTTATTTTAGAAAAGTTAAGATGCCGTTTTCTCTGCTTCCAAGAGCAGTAACAATGAAAAGTTTTGTCATTATTTCTTAAAAAAACTAATTAAATTACTCCTTCGTGTATTTAAATAGTAGTAATTAAAAGTAAAACAATTTATAGTGACTACTTAAACTTGAAAGTCTGTAGTCTAATAAGTCTACGTAGTTGGACATGCACAATTAGCGCAGAAATAATCCTATCTACAAAACTGGTCAAAATTTAAGTTTCGATGTTAAAATCCAAAGTGAGTAGTATTCAATCGTTACCTGTATTCATAATCTTTTGGAAAAACGTATTTTTATTATAATAATTTAAAATTATTTAAATTTTGTTTTAATCACAAGTATCTATGTACTATGTACGTAGGTAGGTACAATTTTGAAAATTTTGTGGGCATTTTTGATTCAACTAGTTTGTGGATAGCATTTTCTACATAACACAATCATTTCAATTAAGATTATTCATTTCCACAGTCGTGTGAGAAAAAACAATTCAAATGCAATCTGTAATATATGTATATTATATATTAAATAAGAATCGGAATGGTACCTACTTGTGTATCCAGGAGTCCGAGACGTATGCTACCCATCAGTTTCACAGTGTGCTGCCAGCGGCTATCTGGATCATAGTTAACCCATCGCAGCACGGCCTCCCACACTACTTCTTCGCTCTTAACATTGAGTTCGTCCTCTAATATGATGGAATTCAGCTCTTCAAGAGGCAGGTGTAGAAATTCATCACTTTGAGTTGCAACAGTGACGAAATAACGCAACAGATACCTTCGAGCGTCGGCCTCAAGTTTATAACAAAATACGCGTCTGAAATCAAAGTAGAAACTATACTCGGTAAGGTAGAACATGTTCGAAAACAGACTGGAATGGCATTACTTTAACGAAAACATTAGTCAAATAAAACAGCAATACCTTCACTACAAAAGTAAATAATCTTGACCAAATGAAATACCAACCAAAATTTTTATAAGAGTATAGATCTGAGATAAGAGTCTGTACTTTCAAATGAATGGAACGGTCACATTACTAACTGGCGACCGATGCCTGCAAAGTTTTTTTTTTTTTTAATTTATATGTAAAAAATAAACTTATCGATGTAATGTTATGTCTTTATTAGTTGATTTACACGTCCCTGATGCATTTTCACAACCTATTATGCTCACCATTTTAACAATATAAATTCACGTACGAAGCTTCGCGCAACTAAATCACGAATGGTGTGAATTTCTGTAAGTGGTGTTCGTCTATACATCACTGCGGCGACAAGGTCAAGCGTTTACGCGACTTCTAGTGTCATATTATTATGATATCTGTTGTTACTACTTAGCCACGAGGCCCTACCTATACATTTCATCTCAGGGTAGTGTTCATTTACAGCCAACTAACAAAAGTGAATGAAAAAAATAGTATTATTAAACACTCAACTTCACCAATACATAAAAGTGTTGAAAATCATCCTCTTCAAGAGATGTATAACTAACCTAGCAAACATCATAATACCAAGACAGTTTTTAGGGTTCAGCGAGGCTCTGAGATGATCACAGCATAGTTGTAGCACGCCAAGAAAAGCGAGGTAGTCAGCGGTCATAAGTAGCTCGTGTACGTTGGTGTCGGTGACCTCGATTCGCCGCAAGTACGCGTACTCGATAAGCAGTAGCAGAATCTCAGAGCGCACGCCAGATATCAACACGTCGCTTTGTTCTCGTGAGTGTAGTGTTGTAGTAAATAGTGCCCTGTTGACAACCGTTAAACATGCACTCCCATGAATTGTATCTACGACTACTTGGGAAATTAATTAATTGTGGATTGCTATGTCCAGGGAAAAACAAAAGAGGTCTTCCTTCTTCCAAAAAGAGTTCCTCCGAATAATAATTAGTAGAAAAGCAGAACAGCAACAGAATACATTATAGTTCTGTAAGTCACCGAGGTTTTCCCTCTAATTGACTTGTATGTTTACTAATACAGGAGTTATTTTTAAAAGTATAAATTAGGCGGTTTTCTCATCAAGTATTAATGCTTAGCAAGTTGTGGACTTATTATGATTAGCAAGTTAACAACAAGAATGTAGCATTGGGATATGTACAGGAAGTATGGGCTGCAGGCAGAGAGTATGGCGCGGTGCACTGGGAAGGCGGCGCCGTCGTCCGCGCGCACTATCGCGTCGCAGAGAAGGCGGCACTCGCGCAGCCGGTGCAGCGCCTGCATCGCCGCCACCGACATGCACCGACCCGTCTCGCGACCCGCCGTCTGAACCAATAATAACGAATACGCCATATGAAATGAAGCCTTATTACCGGAAGGTCAATTCTCTTAAAAAAAATCGATCACAATTCACAACTGTCATTTAAAGTTATTTCGTAGTAAAATATTAAAGTATTACTAAGACTAGCAAATTATTGATTAAATTTTCTATTACAATACGATGTAATCATATGATGTTTAATAATTTACTACGAAAACAACTTTTATGACAGTTGTAAGATCGAAAGTTGATCGGAACTGAATTGAGACCGAACTTTTTTTACGAGAATGGGCCTTCTGATTGCACAACGAGTAATATGACTATACCATCATAGGTACTCTCAGTACAGAATGTTCTTAAGAGATAGTTTTGTAAGTGGGCGCTCCACTGGCACCCCAGCGGATCGCAACTTTGCGAAAGCTCTTTTAACTCCAAAAGCTTGTCCAAAATTTATATATACATATAAAATAAACATATTATTATGATTTATTTGGATACCACGACTCCATACTTTAATTTTTAAATAGAACTTCAATAAACTTTTGCCATAAAAATTCACTAAAATGCAAAAATATAAGTTAATTGTTTCTTATAAACGAGCATAAATGAGTTATTTAAATAATTAAATATAGTCAAGTGAGATATTCAACCGATGATGACCGACTGATGTAGATTTGAAAACAGTTACTTCCCTTGGCTTGTTTGCCGACACTAATAAAATGAAATTTGTAGAGGCATGTTAGCTTTATCTAAAAATTTAGAAAAAAAAGCGTACTTGGCCAACTTCAGCTAAAAGCAAACTTCAACTTAAAACATAAACAAAGGTAATAACACTCAGCGCATAATAGAGGTGGGAAGACAGACAGACACAAAATCATTAAGTGGAGAGCCTTGTGCTATCTCACTTCATATCACTTTAGCCGAATGTTACTTTTGCAAACAGTGGACCTGTGGCATACCCTATACATCAGTACTTACTGTGCTGTTCGGGTCGTTTTCCATTTTAGTGAGACTTTAACGCAAATTCATCATTTTAAATTGTCACACATTAAAAATCGTAAGTGCAAAATAGACGCGTCACCACACAATCGAGATTTAGCTCAATAAATTTATAAAAATAACAGTAAAAAATAACTCAAAATAGCAAAATCAAGTCATTTGATAAAACATTTTAGGTTAGCAAAAAAATGATATAAGAATGACAATCATGTCACACCTTTTTTTTCCAGATGACATTACTGGATAACAATATTTTCATTTTCAGCAGTTGTCTTGCTGAAATCGAAAATGTTTGTAACATACTTTTTTTTAACATAAAGGCGTTTGTGTTCTTTGTGAGACTCGAAAAGTTTGAGGTTAACAATACAAGTGAAATTATTAAATACGATCAGAAAATATTTGTTGGCGATTAATTTTACATTCTTTCATTTACTAAAGATTTTTAAATACATCTATGTTCCTAAATAAATTGACAAGGTACAGAAAAAGCCGAAAACTTCATCTATAACATATATACAGCTTAGCGACACTGACATCTTAGGATACTAGTGTGTCATTCCACGAATGCATGTCTCCTAAAATACAGGCATCAGCCTATTATGGAAACAGTTTCAAAACTCTTTGTGCAATCCTTGGGTATACCATCATATATCTGTTGTTCTGTCAAGTAATCATTATTTAATTATTATTTTTTCAGAAGTACTTTCAGACCCAAGAGACTTTCAGGGTTCAGGGCGACAATGTTGTACGATGCATTCGAGTATGACCATAAGCAGTCCGCTAACTCGTAACTTTTTTTTGCGTCTACATAATCTCCAGAGAAAATAAGGTCAAGTTTCAGGTGAAAAGAAAACACAGGAACCTATATTTAGTTTTTATTAAGAACTTAATACAATACTGCATCTATACAGTTCGTAACAATTAACACAAAACATATTATATATAATATGTCAATATATTATTAAAAAATAAAATTAAAGTAATAGAAATCTTAAAAAATAGTTAGGTACATCACATAATGTTATACGAGTACAAATTGTAATTTGCATTTCTTCAAATTTGCATCATCAGAGTAGTCGAGTCTAAAAGTTTTTTTTTCAATATGACTTGAAACTTGGTTCAGTTATTATTCATTTTCTTCTTAACATCCTAAATGCTTGTTAGTACCCAGTTAGTACTGTCTGACAATTAAGGCATAGTGCTTCTGTGCTAACTCGTTATCTATTTTTAATTATAATTATGATTGAGGATCAATTTAGTGGGGTGGTGGTTTCTTTGGCTGTGATGCCGTCAGATCTTAGCCGTGATAATATCGACTTGTAGACCACAGGGGCGAAAGGCAGAACTACACCGCGTTGTTGAATTTCACCTGGAATACGACAATCATATAAGTATACAAAGGTTGTATACCTAATGGTGGACAATAAGTGCATCATTTGAAATGTTTGTGTACTTAACACACGTATACACACTGGCACGCACGCACGCACTCACTATAAGTTACAGTGATGAGTTAAGAGCTAGTTACCATCTAGGACCATCTTAGCGGCAATAGCGGTGGGTAAGCCAACGGTCCAGGCCATGGCGGTGTGCGTGGCGGGGTCGCCACGAACCGTCATGGTCACCTCGCGCCGCTCCCTCGCGCCATCGGTCCACGTCACCCCCAGCTCGTGTCGGAGGACTACAAGGTCAGATTCATCTTTACCTGTCGAAATGTAATGATTTACATGACAACTTTTAATTAGTTACATTTTAAAGTTAGAAATTTGGCATTGATTTTGTAAGTAATAATAATTAAATAAAAATACGGGTTTAGCCTACGTGGTGGTCCCATGTGGTCTTTCCATCCGTAAGATCACAATATTGGGAATTAATGAATGATGATTTATCAACATCATTTATTTTAATGATTTTGATGAACAAAAAATTTAGTATATTTTAAGGTTACTCTAAATAAATATATTTAAAATAATGGAGCGATATGTGTACAATTAAAATCAATGAAAAATACGATCTCAAATACTTCGCAAATATCATACTGTCACTAAATACCACTCTAATACTAAATGGTACTATTATACTAATATGTAATAAGTAGCAAGCAGTGGCGTCTAACTTCTAACTTTTGCTTTATAATACTACTATTATACTTAAGTAAAGTGAATGATAAGTAAAGGTGTCATATTATATACCTAATTGCAATCTCTTGCTTAGATAATGGCTAATGGTATCCAACGGTGTGCCGCACTTAATGATCTCTACGTCTGACAATAGGCCGAGAGACTCTATGACTTGTGCTCCCGCGACACCGATGCGCTCCGCTACCCGCGTCCTCAGGTTCTCGAAGAAGATTGTTGAATCTAGGAATCCGCATAGTTCGCAGGCGAATTGGCGCTGAAAATGAACAGATAAAGCAAAAAGACAATTTAGAATTCTTAAATTAAAGAACATTTTTATTAATATCTCCTATTGAAAGTTGGATTTGATTGCAAGAAACTATTTTGGAAGATTATATTAACAAGATTATATTATTATATTGTATGTACTAAATAATTTTGGATAAACAGTATAATCTTTTTAAAATACTGTATCTTAAATATAATAAAAATAAATGGTCTCATTTGAATCTCTTGCGAAATGATTCATTTGATTTAAAAAGATTATACTGTGTATCCAAAATTATTTAGTTAGATTCAAATGAGACCATTCATATGAATAAACAGAAAAATGTTTTATTTAATAATCGACAGGTGCGCAGCACACTCAACATATAGGGCAAGATCCCAGGGCCCCAGCCAGTACTTATTTTCTTAGAAATAAAATGTATGGGATAAAGTAGTGTTAGTATGTACTTTGAGTGTATGCATACCTGCTAGCTTGACCCGGCGGCTCTGGGTGTAATTTACCTGGAGGCTCTGGGTTCTTCAACTAGTAATATGTAACCCACCAACCACCAATCACACATGCACGCACACACACATATATACAACCACACACACACATCACAAAACACCTACATATTACCTCTTAGTCTCATCCTATTTTTAAAATGGTCATCCCTTTAAGTTCTAAAATTATTTTATATAACTATAGCAAGGATATTACTTTTAATTATAGCATATTTTATTTTATACTTAATAAATATACAAATTGGGGCACAATACCATACAACAACGCTCTATTGCCGGCTCTACTGCCGGCCTGAAGCAACTCCTCCCAGAATTAAGATTGGTTTTCCAGTAATCACACTTACTCGATGAAATGTATATTCTTCCAAACTATTGAACTTTAAGAACTTTATCTTTTGAAAAATGTAACATACAAAAGTTATGAGTTTAAGTCATACTTAGCAGCTTATTTTTCATAATATTGATAAAATTAAGTTTTTAGTCAGTTTGATTTTGACGAACCGCCTCACCAAAAACTCTGGTGGGATGACGGCTCCATGGGCCTAAAAAATTCTCTAGTTCTCACAATTTACACTTGCAAAAGTAGGTTCTAAAGGAGTACAGAGTTTTATAAACTTACATATTAAAACACACAAGCAAGTATAAACATATTATACTTTGTTAGCTCTGAACTGGAAGCATATACAAGTATATATATCTTACCCATGTTATGTTAGGTCCATCAGGATGCAAGGCTGGATGAGGGTTGGGATCCACTAAACCAAACGATTGCATTGCAATCATAGCTTCCGCAAAACCTACAAAAAAGTGAAGATTAAACTTTTCTCCCTATTTGTTCTGCATATAAATATATTACGCTTATGTAACATATAACGTAATTTTAATATTAAAACAAGACACAATAATATTCTTCAACTGATAACCACTTGTCCGTGAGGTGACGGATTATGAATACGGAGGGTCACCACCCCTATTCATCCAGTGGGTGCCGTAAGAGTCAACTAAGGGAGCAAACTACGCAGGACAACAGCACTGCAAAGAGAAGGCGGTATAGTAGGCCCAAACCTCTTTTCTAAGGTGAGGCCTATATTTACCGTGTGAGAGCCATGGAGGCCGGCTCCACCGAAGAGTAACTACGGCCTCACTAAAAATCAGCGTTAAGCTATTCATGTGCTGCTTTTCACGGTATGAGTGAGGTTACCAGAGCCCTAACCTCCGCTCCTACTTATTTTGTGGTAGAGGACTCAAAAGGCGACAACGCACTAGGGACTTTTAAGTTCCAGTTGTCCATTGGCGGCGGGAAACGAGCACACTGGTAGTTAGTCACCTGATGGGAAGTGACTACGATTACTATCAGGTGACCCGTATGCCATAAAAAAGGACGACAAATTCTTAACTGAAGTGTGTGCAAAACTTTACTGACATACCGCTGCTAAACAGGTAGTAGAAATAATATATTTAGATTTATTTGAACTAATGTTCTGACAGAAGCTGGTAAATTGGAGTAGAAATAACAAAAAAGGCACCCAAAAGTATTGTTTTTAATTTTTTAGAAAGTTGGATTCAATAAAGTCTCTTTACGACACTTTGCACGTCCCAAACTATCACAAAATTCTTATGTAATGTAAACTTCAAAGAATACCTTTATATCTAATAGTTCCTCTGAACATAGTCTGTGCATCTTCAATCCCATACAGCGAAGCATACTTGGTGCTGTCCCTGTTAGGGAACCCTTCGAACGCAAATCCGGGGAGGAAATTCAGCTCTCGAGCCACAGACATCAGCTCTCCCCCACTCAAAACCTCCACGATCTAGAAAAGTTAAAAAAACAATGTCTTTGTGTGTATGTGAAATGTATAAAAGAATGTCACAAATTGTGACGCGCGTTAATATCATATTATTATTTATTTAGACTAAAATAAACATAATTTACCTGTCCTTTACTTAAATATTTAGCACCAGATATAGTATTGAGTAGTACACCACGAGGGCTCCATGAGAATTTGTACCTCAGCGCATTGTCACTAAACTCAGGCGCCGGTATCCCTGAAATAATGTCCATAGACTTAACAAATAACGTACTCGTACAGTTTTTATAGAGAATCCCTTATAATAAAACACCACCAAAATCTCGGATGCACTACTGAAATAATAAAAAGGGGCGACGTAATAACTAAAATAATTATTTCTAGTAAAATTATTTCACTAACGATCAGGTGATCCGTCTGCTCATTTGCCCCCTTTATTATAAAAATATGTGTCTTAACTTCATTATCATCATCATCTTTTGGCAGTTCATTGACTTAGGACATAGGTCTCTCCCATTGCACACCACTTAGATCGATTCTGCGGCTTTTCGCATCCAGCTCCTGCCAGCTATCTTGCGCAGATCGTCACTTCACCTGGCCTGTAGGCGTCATACACTACGTTTTCCTAGACGCGGTCTCCACTCAAGAACTCGTTTACCCCAAGTTTTCGGCTCTGCGGCTAATATTGACAGCCCACTGCCACTTCAGATTGCAAACTTAATTATTATTAATCTTTCAATAAACAAAATAAAAACATTACATTCATACACAAATCAATAATTTTATTGCAATATTCGGCAAATTTACTTACCTCCACAATAAGAGACGAACGAGTTGATTCTGCCCCCTTGGTTCTGTATATTGTGAATGCACTCCAGAGCCAGTAGATGGTCGATACCAGGGTCTAAGCCTACCTCATTCAGTAACGTAACGTTGGCGTCTTTTGCACTAAAATAAAGTGAGGGACATAGTTTAACCTGACACATGATTAAATTAGGACCTATTCATATAAAAATTGGTTTATAAACTCTATGCCATTGTTAATAATTACAATATTTTATTTTATTTTATTTTATTTTATTTTATTTTATTTTATTTTATTTTATTTTATTTTATTTTATTTTATTTTATTTATTTATTTATTTTATTTTATATACTAGCTGAGACCCGCGGTGTTACCCGCGTTTGTTGTTATAACCGCGGGCAACGCCGCGGGGCGAAGCTAGTCTAAAAAAGTAGCCTAAGTTACTCCTTATGTCATCAGCTATCTGCCAGTGATAGTCCCGTCGAAATCGGTCCAGCCGTTCCAGAGATTACCCGGAACAAATAGACAGACAGACAGACAAACAGACAAAAATTGTAAAAAATGTTATTTTGGCATATGTACCGTGTAAACATACATTTGCATTTAGTAAAAAGCGGTTATTTTAATATTACAAACAGGCACTCCAATTTTATTTATTTATATAGATATGCTATAGTTTCTTTAGTAACCAGGCAAACCTCAATTCGACAAGGTTTAACATTAGCACATCTATGAAACAACTGTCCGTTTTAGGTTATTTGCTTTCCCCGTCCATAATACTCCTAAAATTATTTGATTGAATGCTATTGTTAATCGATATCTACCTATTTATCGATTAATAAATTGGTAGCTTCAAATTGTTCGTTAAATGGCAGCTCTACGGTTTGATGCAGGTGCTTATGTCATGCATGCATGACTGTTTTATGATATTTGGGACAGGGGTCATAAACATACTTATTTATATTTGCCCTTCGTCTTTTATTGTCAATTTAACCTAGTAAATTAAAATTTACTTTTATGTATTTTATATCATTAGTATCAACTACTAATAAGACTATTTGATTTATAGGCGCAGAAGATTATTGTGAAAGTGTTTGTGAAAATCAAAAACTGTTTTGATTAAAACCTTAAAAAAAATATATAATTAATCTATTAACTAAGGGGTAGCAAAATATACTGCACACCGGAATGCATACACTTTCGGCCGAAGTTAATAATATAATAATATTTATTTAGATAAAGAGTACAATAATTTATAGTAAATGGTTATGTCAGTTAGATGGTCACCCCCTTTATAATTTATGTACATACAAAAATAATTTAACAAGTTAAGGCAATGAAATAATATTAAAGATAGAGGAAAGCTTAAACTTACGCTTTATGCAGCTCTTGGATTTCAGGCCTAACATATGAAGCGGTGACCATATGAGCGCCGGTACTTATACATGCCTTTGCTACAGATCCGTGTAATTCGTACGGCAGTAAAGACACAACTACCCTCGCCTTGGCTGCGAGCGATCTTAGAGCGGACTCGTCCTTAGCATCGATATATTCTGAGGAAACACCGTAGCGCAACGCTAAAGCTTCAGCTTCTTCCTTTACTGCTGACGCTGAAATCATTTTTATGGTCAGCATTCACTTCAAACACACAAAAACATGACAGTAATGGATTGAAGAATAAGAATAAAAGTAATAAGTATTACTTTCACTAATTCATTATTATGTACTAATTACTATTTTTATTTTTCAATCATATTCTTCAAAAACTGGTGAAAACATACATGTCAACTGATTTTTGACTTTAACGCATTAATGTTATGACGCGGCGCCGACTTATAATATATTAGGTCCTTAGGTTAAGAATTCCAAATTCAAATTTATAAATTCATTTAGTTGGTACATTTGAGTTTTGAAAACAGTAATTCATTTGTTTTTTCCTCATTATTTTTTTCTTTGCCGTCGCTTGTTACCGCACAATGGAAAACATGAAATATCAGTATATTTACGAGTACGAGTTCTACCGTGGCACCAGTGCTTCGGAAACAGCTCGAAGGATTAATGATGTGTACGGCGCTGGTGTCGCAAAAGAAAGCACGGTACGTTTTTGGTTTCAACGCTTTCGTTCTGGAAATTTCGACCTTCAGAACAATACCCCCGTGGACGGCCGGAGACCAAAGTGGAAAATGAAGAATTAAAGGCTAATGTGGAAGCGGATCCATCACAAAGCACTAGAGATAGCTGCAGGCTTTGAGGTAAGTGATATAACTGTATTAATCCACTTGAAGCAAATCGGGAAAGTAAAAAAAAACTTGAACGATGGGTACCTCCTGAATTGAGTGAATCGAACTTGCAAACACGCCTTGACTGCTGTTTTACTTTGCTCAACCGACACAATAATGAAGGGATTTTAAATCGAATCATTACTTGTAATGAAAAGTGGATACTGCACGATAATCGGAAGCGCTCGTCGCAATGGCTGAGCCCTGGAGACCCACCCAAATCCTGCCCTCAACGAAAATTAACTCAGAAAAAGTTGCTTGGAGTGTTTGGTGGACTAACGCCGGTGTCGTTCACTACAGCTTTCTAAAATCTGGCCAAACGATTACGGCAGATATCTATTGTCAGCAACTGCAAACCATGAAGGAAGAACTAGCTGCTAAACAACCGAAATTGGTCAATCGCTCTAGGCCACTGCTGATTCACAACAACGCAAGACCACACACTGCACACCAAACAACCACTAAGTTACATGAGCTACAATTGGAATGTCTGCGACATCCACCGTACTCCCCGGATCTTGCTCCAACAGATTACCATTATTGCCGGAATTTGGACGACTTCTTACAAAGAAAAAAATTCAACTCCGATGCGGCAGTCCAAACAGCCTTCAAAGAGTTTATTGATTCTCGCCCCCGTGGTTTTTTTTAGTAAAGGGATCAATGAACTACCAATGAGATGCCAAAAGTGCATAGATAACAACACGGTGCATATTTTGATTAATTAAATATATTTTCCAAAAAAAATTTGACTTTATATTCCACCCGTACAAAACGCCAATTTCATATGTAAGGACCTAATAGATGACAGCACCAAAAGCCAACCGCGCCGAGGCTGTGCCATGTTCTATATCAATTAGTACGTTAGAAACCGCACGCCCCACGTTCCACCTGCTGTTTGACTCGGCCACAAAAATCCTAGTTCTAAATTTGACATACTACAGCGAAATTAAGTATTTCAGTGAAAATATGTACATACCTATTGTGACAGCAATATTCTTATCCCTCGCTAAGTATTCCACCACAGGACCGGCCACCAGTCCAGAGCCAAGAATAACGATAGGAGTTTGTTGAGCATTACCTTCCACTTTATGCCGGGATCGTCTGTAATTGTTTGAAGTTGTTGTAAAAGTTTGAAGTTCGGTGGTGTACCAATAACGGTACTGTTGGTCAGCAATTAAATAAAGTAAACTGGACAGCAAATAAACCGAGCCACCCGTTTACCTAGGCACTCTAATTCGATTTTCTCAAAAACTAAAAAACCTACAATTAACAAAGTTGTACCTACAGAAAGTGCGTTTCATGGTGATTAAAATGAAAGGAAACTCACTGGGTTTAATCAATATTTCAGTTTTTATTAAGAATTTTACAAAGAAGAGTCTTTTTCCAGTCGTGACAATCGTTAGTAATGATAAAGTGAAAAAAAAAATTAAATTCAAAAACAAAGATAAAATCAAAAAAAAGTTTTTGATCAATATTCCGTATTCCCTCCCCTTGCTCGGATAACTGCCAGCATCCTTGTATTCATCGACCTTACGAGCCTGACGATAAAATCTTGAGGAATTGTATTCCACTCCTCTTCAATTGCGATTCGCAGCTCTGGAAGCCTTGTTGGAGCAGGTACCCGGGCTCGAACCCGACGTTTCAGCTCATCCCATAGGTGTTCTATCGGATTCAAGTCCGGGCTTCGAGCTGGCCAGTCCATCGTACGAATGCTGACGTCGCGTAGATACTGGGTCACCACATGAGCAACATGAGGCCGTGCATTATCATGCATCAATTGCATATCCTGTCCGATATATCCTGCGTAAGGTACCACATGGTCTGCGAGGATTTCAGTAATGTAGCGATGAGAAGTCAGTCCACGTGTACGGCCCGTCGGTTCGATGAAAACTAACGCTGTATGTGCTGTTAACGAGATGCCGCCCCAGACCATTACAGATCCTCCTCCATAAGCAACAGTTTCCTCGATGCAGCACTGAGAATAACGTTCTCCAGGGCGACGATATACTCTCTGACGTCGATCACTTCCATGTAGACTCACCCTGGTCTCATCAGTGAAGAGTACATTACTCCACTGCTCTAATGTCCAATCCCTATGCTCTCGAGCAAATTCAAGTCGTGCTCGACGGTGTGCTACCGTTAATGCTGGGCCTGTTGCAGCTCTTTTTGGGGTCAGGTTCCGTTCAGCAAGTCTCCTTCTGACGGTATCTGAACTTATGACCACTTGGCGTTCGTCACGCAGACTTTGTTGGACTTGAACTGCGTTGAGGTGGCGATTTCGCAGAACAGTAAGGTGGATATAACGATCATCTGCTGCTGATGTAGCCCTAGGTCTGCCCGTACCTGGACGGCGATCGAATGCTCCAGTCTCTAGGTATCGTCTGTAAACTCGTTGCACCGAAGATCTGCTGATTCGAAGCCTTCGAGCGACTTCACGTTGCGCAATGCCTGCTTGAAGTAATGCTACAGCTTGAGCTGCTTCCTGAGGTGTTGTATCCATTATTAATCGAAAAAAGTAGCAAAAACACACGCGTCTGAGAAAACGATGGACAAAAACTAAAGAAATGATAAGAAATATCCGACTACCCTCATTGTAGAGAAAAAGAACGCTAATTTCAAACTCTGGTGAAAACAGAGCAAATCGTTAGCATTGTGTTTGTTGCTTGATTACAATGTGAGTTGACGGTACTTTCGAATTAATTTTTAGTCATTTTAATCACCATGAAACGCACTTTTTGTAGGTATAACTTTGATAGTTGTAAGTTTTATACTTTTTGAGAAAATCGAATCAGAGTTCCTAGGTAGCGGGTGGCTCGGTTTATTTGCTGACCAGTGTATTAACTTGTCTTCACTAACATCCATGCACATAGAGGATATCACATTTATTTCTTGCTTAGAATAGCACATGCACTTGAGCGCATTTACATATTTAAAGAAATACGAGTATTAAATGTATTATTTCAAAGTAACTTACGTGTTGGCCATTCTGAGTTCGTTTATGTATTCAAAAGCAGGAGTCAGCTTGCCGTTGCTAGTGATAATAGCCTGTAAGATAACATAATGATTTATATAAATAAGCGTTTATGTATTATGTAAGTATGAAACATACGTAGTGCGCAACACAATAGCATACAAACAAATAAAGACTAAAGCTACTAGCTAAGACTACTAGCGGTGAAATTCCGATGGTTTTGTCTTCTTTTATTTTATTAACCAGCATAACTCAAACTGTCTTTGTTAAGACTTTTGTATCGTGACGGTTAAAATATTTACTGGACACCTAAGTATAGCGTTATGCAACGGTCTCTACATAATTTTTAACTTTATTAACTTTACTAATTGAGTAAAATTAGTTTTCTGCACTCTACTACTGTTTTCTACATTAAAACATGAAGTATTACAAATAAAGTATTAGTAGGAACATAATATTAGTTAACAATAATACAATAATTAAATTTCGATTTAATGAAACAACTATATCAGCCTTTATTGGAGCATAGCTTTTAGCAACTACTGCTTAAAAAAATAGTCTGTCAACATCTTATATAACACAATTGTGTATAAACATAATATGTATAAGTAATTATGGTTTAAAAATAACTTTAAATAAGTGCGCTCACCGATATCACTAATAGTAGTATAGTAATAATAAAAGTGTGGAGCTGACGTCAAACCGCTTCTAGTCTTGGGTACATCTTAGAAAAAATAAAGTAAAAGTGTCTTACCCCTTGAACTACTGGTGAAAAGTCATGATCCTCCAGTGGCTTAGTTGCGTCAGATTTTATAATATCCTCAGCATACGGTAAAAGCAAATCCCCAAAGAAATCAGTCGACTCTCTCGGTAATTGTGTAGGCATATTATCAATAGAACATACTAACACACCTGGCCCTTTGAAACTAAAACAAAAACGCGATAAACGTGATACCCATCATGACTTATAGTTCAGTGGTTAAACCTTTTCTATTGGTACTAACTTAAACATACTAAACATTTGCAGCTGCAAATTTCAATTTATCACAAATTATCTATCAACCATGACCTCCTTTTAACTTTGTTTTACAGAATAATATAATTATTATATTCCAGTGGGTAAATGTTACATATTATAATTCCAGCTTTTTTTTCCACGGACAGTCATATGTATACGCTTATGTTATTGTGAATTTTTGATAGCAATTATTTGATATTTTAATGTAATAGTCTACTTTTGTAAGTCGACAAACCCTTAATTTCGTAAATAATCTTATATATAAAATTCTCGTGTCACAATGTGATTTTTATGAAATTTTGTGTGCACATCGGGTAGGTCTGAGAACCGGCCAACACCTATTTCTCACACCCCTAAATGACAAGGGTAACCCATCTCTAATTTTTTTTTTCAATATTTCCTAGACATAATGTATATGGCAAAACAACGTTTGCCGGGTCAGCTAGTCATCACATAGCATCAAATCTAATGAATGAACTATAAAAATATTACACTATACTCCTTTCATTTTAGTGGAATATTATTGTACAAACCTTTTAGTGTCCTTGTTCCTATCAGCATCGTATAAACAGAAGGGTGTGTCGATGGTGGTACACTCGTTCATGAACTCGATCGAACCGCCCGGATCCGCCGAAATATCACAGATAGCTAACATTCTGAAAGATTTTGTTAGTTGTAATACATACATATAATATTGTACATATATGATAATAAATATTATGAAACAAATAATCTATATATATAAATGTTAAAATGCTTTGTGTACGCTTCAAATACTCAAAAAGTTCTGCACCGATTGAGCTCAAATTTTAAAACGATAAAAAAAAACCGCTTCAAGGATGGTTTTTATCTATTTTTTGCATAAATTTTGTCCCTTATTTCTCAATAAATGCTATTTCAATGTCACGGCACGGCATTACGCGTATACGGCTGGTTTGAATTGAAAAAGTCTTTTAAAACAATTTAGTGTTGGATAGTCCTTTAATCGAACAAGGATATAGGCTGTATAACATCATCCTACGACCAATAGGAGCCGAGTATCGTTGGGAAATGTTGTAAAAACGAACTTTTAAGGGAAGCAGACGAAGTTGCACGGGTCAGTAGTTTATCAATTATTCTTGACTAGCTGTAGTATAAAAATCTACATGTTTTAGAGATTTAGAATAATGATAAAATGTGTTTCTAAGCTACTCTTTGGTTGTAATATAGTTATGTATATTAGCAACAACTGGAAATTAACTAAATATAACCGGCTGCCACAGTTTTGTTGTAGAAGACAACTGGTACATTGGCATGTGGTTTAAGAAAGACCTATGTAGAGGAGTGTCAAGATGATTTCGGACAATTTTCGGATAATATGATGATAATTTTGTCGACTTTAATTAATTTCTTGAAGTGTTTCCCTTTAATACCTTTTTATTATTAATTACAATGTGAAACTACTGACTTTAATAGAAATAAACAAAATAAATAATAATTATTTTTATTATATTATTTAATTTTAATACTTTATTTCTATAAGTACTTATTTATTATTAATTTATATTTTTAGATTATATAAATTTATGCAAATAAGCAATACAATTTATTCATATACTTTATCCAAATATTGAAATTAAGAATTGTTTTAATAATATAAATTTATTAAAATAGTAAATACATAAATCTATATTCTATATGAATACTTTTCTATTGGAGCTGCGCTGGGAGACATACTACCTCAACCTATTATAAGAAAGAAAAAAAAAAATATAGTGGACTGATTAATTCTACACATTTACTTTTATATATTTTTTCTTTATACAATTTTGTAAGAAACAAGACAAAACAACAGAAGGAGATATATTGTTAGTACGCGTGTTCCTCACAGTGCTTCTTAAAACGCTTCTAGTTCAGCATATTGTTGGACCGGAGTCCAGCGCTGATTTTCAACTGGGTCCTGTAGACAGAACCCAGGATGCTGAAATCGGTGCTTTTTGAGAAATATTATTAGGCACACATGTACTAACAATATATCTCCTTCTGTTTTTTTTATTTATTTTCTCTTCATTAAAGGTATACGAAATAGGTTTTCCTGATTAATGTATTCTTTGAAATTAAAAATACCTGTGCGGCAAAGCTGGTGCCCCTACACTCTTCGGCAGCCATGGCGTGTGTGAAGGTAGCAACAAATGTTTTGCATTAGGAATCGTCAGTAACTTCGGACTACCGACGGCCCAGTAGATGCAGTTTACAAGAACTGATGTGTACGGTGCAATCTGTTAAGAAAAATGTAAAGTTTATTAGTTTAATGTGGCCTATATTAATTAGGAATAAGGATTAAGTTTAAGTTTAAAAAATACTGTTTTGGTCAGCATTCTTCATACGTAAAAATAACTATACCTGACCTTTATTCGTATATTCAATCAAACAACTAACCAAGTGTTTTTTTTTTATAATGGTTGCTTAAAATACGAGTATTGGCGTTGTAAATACAGTACGGAAAACTAAAGATTAACTAATAATTAATATTTAAAAACAATAATTAATAATTAACCTTTGAAGAAGTATTGACCGATTTTATTGCTCCTAAATCATCGTGTATTCTACTTAGTAAACAGTATTCTACATTCCTGCATTTCACCATCGGAGTGGTATTATTTTTCAAATTTGAATGGGACCCAACGACAGGCAAAGCTTTCAAAAAAGAAGGATTGAATGAAGGATTTCTGAGATACGAAGCATAAAAACAATTACGGCACAAACATAACATTTTAAGTCGTAAGAGCTGAGTAAGGGGGCAAACTTAGCAGGACAACAGCACCTCAATGAAAAGGAAAACTTGAAACAACCCTACAGGTACCAACCCGCCAGGCCAACGTGGTTTAGTAGGCTAAAACCTTATTTCTAAGGAGAGGCCTACTGTCCAGTGGTGCACTTTTAAAGGCTGTTCATTACTTTCAAAAGACTATTGCCGTAAAAAATGTACAAAAAGTGACTTTAAATAGAAAAAATCAAATTAAACACTGGTAAAACAGCTAACTATTTGCTGATTGCTTAGTGTGTCTTCGATGTAATATTTATCTTGATACCGGAATATCAAAGTATTAAAAAAATATAAGTTATCTACATGACCTACAACAATAAAGATTGTTGAACGCGTTTTTATTAGCGTAGCTATGGATTGTACTCTACCTACCTACCACACATAAATGATATTTATTTCTTCAAGTAAATCTTTTTAGATATTTTTACAACTTGGAATATACAGCTAGAAGGCGTGGGTATTGCCGATTTCAATACTGACTCTGGGAAGAAACACCGAAACATACACAGCGTTCTCTTTTTTAATTCCTTGAACAATGTTAAAGAAAATTATGTGAGTACAGTATAGGATCTGGGATGACCTTGTGAAGAAAGGACCATAGTTTTGAGTCGGCCTGTCTATACAGACGGCATACGGGCCAGACCCAGCAATCGTGTAGCTTAATCAATATTGGTCAAGATCAACGACCCGAAGCACCACACTACCACCAGCTGGAAACATTCAAAACCACCAGAAAGTTACTGAATAATATATGAACTAACATTACAAAGCTACACTATAATCACATTTACATACTAAGATAAAAAATATACTATACAATTCAAGTTCAACGAAAAGATAAACAAATTGAAAACAAACAAAACACAACAATAAATGGAATGTTTATTAATTTCAAACATACCAACAATGATAGGAATGTAAATGCGGGAGTAAGCAGCAACAATCCCAAGCAAATTAAAATTTGTCATCTAAGTAATCTGTAACCTTTTTTTTTATTTTTTTTAACGTGTGGAAACCCCCTCGAGCCGTCACCCCACCGGGGTTTAAGGCGGGGTGGTGTGTCGGAATCGGACCGACTAAAACCACACGGTGTGCCACTCTGCGCCTGTAATAGGAGGGATCCGGGAACTGCTGTTATTAGGACCTCCGGATCCCTCCTAGCGCCTGCCCGCAACGGTGCGGGCACCTTCAGGTACAGTCTCTATTTAGGCGATGTCCGGCACACGCGGACGTCGCCTCCTCGCGGCTGGCCGTTATGGCAGGTGGCGGGGAAAACCTGTCCCGTCCACCCGCGGCCACACTCAGGGCGGCATGAGGCGGTGATAAGCGCGCCTCCGCCGCCCGGTTCGCCGGCGACAGATTGGGTCCGAGTGGACGCTGTCCTCCCGGGCCCTCTCCGCCGCCTCCTTCTGCGAGATGACGTCTTCGCAGAAGGATGCGACCGCGGTAAAACATCTGTCGCTACCGGCCATGGAGCGTATGACGGCCAGTAGCGAGAGATCCCCCCGATGACTGCTATGAAGACCCGGCGCTGCGGCGCCCAAGTCGGGCAAATTGCCAGCGTGTGCTGAGCCGAGTCCTCACTGCAATCGCAGTGGTGACAGGCGGGACTCAATTCCCTCCTAGCGACCGAGTGCAGGTACTTCCCGAAGCAGCCATGCCCGGAAAGGACCTGCGTCAGCCGGAAGGAAAGGGTCCCGTGCTGCCGCCCTGCCCACTCGACGATGACCGGCTGGAGCGCCTCCACGGCGGCAAAGCCGATAAAGACATGGTGGCTCGGTGAGTGGTCTCGTGTACCTCTTCGGGCGGGGGCCGACTGCCACTACCCACCCGTAACACAGCCGTCTGCCGATATACTTCGGCGAGAACTTCCGTCTTTAAATCCCACAGGGGAGTTCCAGCACGATGCCACCGTCGACAACAGGGAGGTAACCGCGTATGACTCTAAGCCTCCAGCCTCCAGCCGGGACGACCAACGAGCCATCGTTGCTCGGCGAGTGGCCTCACGCCACTCGCTTTTCTTTTCGGGCGGGGGCCGACTGCCACGATCCGCCCGGAAACCAGCCGTCCGCCAATATACTTCGGCGAGCACTTCCGCCGCTTCCGTCGAAACGGTGCAGTAACCGCGTATGGCTCTAAGCGCCAATATCCTCTGAAGCCGCCAGAGGCGTGCCCTATTCTGAGCGGTCAGAGCCGCCGCCCACACCGGTGCACCATACAGTGCCATTGACCGGACAACCCCCGTGTACAGCCGTCTCGTTGCGACGCTGGGTCCACCCAGATTGGGTAGAAGTCGCCCAAGGGCAGACGCAGCGTCGACCAGCTTTGGAGCAAGCTGTCGGAAGTGCTCGTCGAAAAGCCACCTCCCGTCGAGGATCAGTCCCAGATATTTCATCTGGGCCCGAACCGGTACGAGGACCGAGTTGACCACGATTGAGGCGCCGGGGGGTGGACCACGACGGGGCCCGTGGAATAAGAGGGCCTCCGTCTTATCCAGGGCCACCCGTAAGCCCAGCCAATTCGCCCGCCCACCAGAGAGACTCCCCTGGTGGGCGTCCGACAGGTCGGGGCCCACTTCGTAGAGGTGGCGGACGATGCGGGCAGAGAGCACCCTCTCAAACAATTTACCCGCATCGTCCAGCAACACAATGGGCCTGTATGCCGCGACCGAATCGGCAAGCCGTCCCGGCTTCCTCAATAGGACCAGCTGCCCGCTCTTCCAGCACTCAGGAAAACGTCCGGACACCAAGCTAGCGTCGAACACCTCCCTGAGGCGGTCTGCCATGTGGTGAAGGGCTAGGGCCAGTACTCGACCCGGTATCCCGTCTGGCCCAGGGGCGGTGTTCTTGGAACGGATCCGTAGAACAGCCGCCCCTACCTCCGAATCCCGGACGGGCGGAACATCATCCTCCTCGTGCTCCCCGTCGTTTCCGGCCAAGGAGGCCATCGCCGGGGGCGTGTGTTGATACAAAACCCTGTACCAACCCGTCTGGCGTTTTGGTGACGGCTCGACGGGCAGTGTTAGCGTATGCAACTGCTGTGCTGATGTCTCGGGTTCGATTCCAGGGTCAGAGCAATGTTTTTATGATCTGCATGTATTTGTATCGGAGTTTGGGTGTTTTCTATATATAATATGTTTGTATTTACAAAGTATATAAGTATTCTATCAGTCAATCTAGCTTTCATAGTACAAGCTCTGCTTAGTTTGAAACGAGATGGCGTTGTGTGTCAGATATCCGAAAATATTTTTATATCTTGGAACGGATCCGTAGAACAGCCGCCCCTACCTCCGAATCCCGGACGGAAATAATCTGTAACCCTGTTGTAAGCTTTTTCACATAGTTTTTGTTTTACTAAGGACTTAAATTTGTTAATACTAGTACCTTTTTCATGAAATCTGATTGGAATTTTATTGTAGAATCACATACTCTGACATCGCAAAGACTTGCTTATTTTTTGTTGTCTAGTGGTCGGTAATACGAGTTTATCTTTATTTCTAGTGTTTATTTGATGAATATAGCTAAACTTTGTGAATAAATAGTTGAGTTTTCAGGATCATTTTCCCACAACCAGATACCATATGATAATACACTTCTAGTCTGTTTGAAGTTGATGCCAAGCCTAATAAGTACTAAGTGGCGGAGCGGCTGTGAGGGTCTTCATGCTGCGCAAAACGAGCCAAAGTGGGTTTTGCATGCATCATTAAGTAGGTAGTTGATAAGTTTGCGTAATTAATAAAATCTGCGATGTTTCATTAGAATTATATTGAATTCTTAATTCTTTATTGAGCTGATATAAAACTGACAGTATTACTTGGGCAATACATCATCATATTAATTAAACAGTTATCCTCAAACTCCTAAAGATCAAGGATCCTTTAATCATCAGCTCAGCAACATGAGATAACGACTACCAAATGCAAATACCTGTGCAGCTAGAGAAAAAAGCTAAAACACGTTGTTGGAGCAAATAAAAGTGAAGTGTCATCCGCAAATAGTACTATCTCCTGATTATCTTTTATCACATTAGGTAGGTCATTTATGTAAACAAGAAATAAAAATGGGCCGAGAATTGAGCCCTGCGGAACCCTCATAGTGACCAAAGACCCCAGAGATCTCTGTTATTAACTTCCACTCTCTGGATCCTATTACCAGTGTTCCTAATTCCATAGTAACCACTTATCCAGCAACCTCTTCTGGAGCCAAACTATTTCCCATGTAGAATTTTGTTTACACTAAAGTGACTTTGCAGCTAATCGGGTATGATGTTCTAAAGAAATTACTGAAGGCAGGTAATACTGAAGTAGGTGTTTAATTTGTAGGATCAGACGTACTACCCGCCTTAAATAAAGGAATGATCCTACTATGTTTCATTAGGTCAGGAAATACACAACCTTCAATGCGTTTATTGAAAATTAAGGGCAACTATGATACAACTACGCTACTAATTGACTTTGTTATTTATACAGGATTACCCCAACGACACTTTGTGTGATCCACAAATTGTCGTTCTGAATCTGGGTGTTCTTTCCTTGTGTCCGTTTCATGTATGTTTGTAAATTCCCCCGCTATACGGGATATATTTCTAGTGCGGAAGTAGTATTTAAAAAGTAAAACAAAAAAAAACTGTTGTCAAACTGTTTTCCAAAGCTGTTGCAACATCTAAATCAGATTTACTTTACTTACTTTATTATTAATTGTAAGGCTGTAATTATCACATTTTGTTCTTTGCTTTACCGGTTTCGGAACTTTCGGTATGAATCGGGAAATACCCAGATCATTCCAATTTCATTTGAACCATTACTAATTTTAGATCTCTAGTAATTAACTTTTGCAGGGTAACATATTTTTTTTTTAATTAATTGGAATATTGTTTAACATATTCTCGAAAATCTATTCTAATGTTATAATTTATTTCTTCATCAAGCTCATAAAGCATTGCTCTACTTGTATACAGGGTGTAAGGGACATCGTAACGAATACTGAAATACTGTGTTCAGACCATGATTCTGAGTCGAAAATCATGGGAATTTTCTGCCGGAAAATGTATTTTTTTATAACGTTCCATTTTTTTTGTTAAAAATGATATCAAAATGAGTAAACTGAACATTTCACCGTTTTTTTTAATTTAAATACCGCATACGGTCAAAAACTGCAGTGTAATTAATTAAACAGCCGAAGCGCACGGGGCCTGCCCTCCGGCCGCCAACATGTGTTAGTGTGCGTAGACTGTCTGCATGGAATACACATGTAGTTATTACTTTTATACGATAAGACTTACTACACATTATTGTTTTTTCAAAGTATATTCACTCGCAATTAATGCATTTTTGCATTCGCTGAAACCACTGTACAAAGCAGTTGGACCAGTCTTCCTTAGGGACCTCTTCAATGGCTTCATGGAACTCATTCACTGCCGATTCAGGGCTCCTAAAACGTGTGCTCTAAGTTTGTCTTTAACTTTGGAAACAAAAAGAAGTCGCCTGTAAGGCGGATGCGTCATCAGTTCCACATTTGAAGTCTTCAAATAAGCTTCTGTTACCTTAGCGGAATGTGAGGATGCGTTATTGTGGTGAAGGAGGATATTGCTTCGAGGACGCCTATCGCGAAGTTTTTCTAAGACACTTGGCAAGCAAGTGTTGACGTACCAATCTGCAGTTCCTGTCCTTTGATCTTCAAGCGATATTGTAGTGTAATGGCCTGATTTGCCGAAAAAGAAGCAACCATTTCTTTATCAATCCTTCGCCTTTCCTTAACTTTCGTCGGCAAATCTTCAAAAGGAAAGACCCATTCTGCCGACTGACTTTTTCTTTCGGGTTCAAAGTAGTTTTCGTCACCTGTCCCCCATTAACTGTTTTTATCATTTAACGGCACCACTAGACACGCAGTCGTTTCTGGTCCTAAGTTAAGTCATGTGGTATCCATCGAGTTCAAAGCTTCCGAACCTTTAGATGAACATGTAAAATGTTTTGCACTTTGCTAATTCAAATGCCTAACAAAGCACGAATTTGCTAGCAAGTAATTTCCTATTAGTTTCAAAAAGTTGTCGTACGGTGTCAATATTAGAGTGTAACCGCAGTCGCCGGCAGACCTTCACGTGCCTCACGAGATGATCACGTCCGCGTTTAAATTCTCCAAACTACGAATACACAGTGCTGTGACATGGTACTTTATCACCAAATGCCAAATGAAGTCTCTGGCAACTCTCTTGTTGACTTAAGCCACAACGAAAATAAAAAAAAAACGTTGAACGAAAATGTTCACGTGTTAAATTTATTTTGATAGCGACACACAATTCTCGAAAGGACGTCACAATGTAAAAAGAAATAACAGTCTCACAAATTAAAAAGTTGCATGTTCCCAAAGAGTTCCATTTTCGAATTTCAAAATTGTTTTTTTATTATTTTATTGGAAGTGGCCACGTCCAGAGACTTTCAGTATGCCCCAAGTATTTAATTGATTAGGATCACCACTATAACCCAAGCGGGGTAGTTTACCGAGCAGTTTATTTTTAAAATTTTCCATTCGAATTATATATTATCGAATTAATAATATTTCGTGTTACCACCATTTTCTTTTTCCTAGCAAAAGCACACATCTGTCCGCAATGATCAGAATGTAGTTTGTTCATTATTCCTTTGGTGTGTGGCAATATGTCAGTAAATACATATATTATCTAAATACCTAGCTGTGGTGGGCGCTAGTGACTGCGCCATAGTTTTGAGCTGCAGTCATCACAAAAAAACCTAAAACGTGGAATAATTATCTAAAGATTCTCTTTTCCAAAGATTTTTAATTTTTTACACTTTTTAAAGTAATGACGCTTTAAAGTTGGGCGACTGTTACTTTCAAACTAACAGAGCTGAGCTAGAGATTATACTTTTTCGTCTGAGTTTTCTTTTAAGGTGGAGGGTGTAAACGAGCAGACGGGTCACTTGCCGGAACCTGACTACCGCCGTCCATGAACGCCTGCAACTCAGAAGTCACAAGCGCGTTGCCGCTATTTGTGGAAGTCTTTTCTTTGGCTCGTGATATACATGTACTACCACCATATTCTTTTGCAAATTTTTTAATAGACAACAGTTTCGTTGGTAGCAACACGTAATCCTAAGAAAAATCGCACTTTCAGGTTTAGTTTTACTCTAAGTCTATTAGTATAGAAGAAAACAAATTTAAAATAACACTGTAGGCCGGGTCTTCTCTAAACAAGATATTAAAGTACAATTCGGAGTTGTTGAAATTTTCTTAAGGGGTTGTTAACTAGGTTGTTAACTATTATATAGTAAGCAAACCTTTTGTGCGAACGTAGAGATGTATCGCTCGGGAAACTCGTCGTACTCTTGTGCATCGTAACCTCCTCCGTTCTTTCTTTCCAAGTGATGTCTTCTGCGCACCTCACACCCATAGATTTTGTTGGGACCTAAAATCAGTTTTAATTTGCATATTATTTGTCATTGGATAATAATTTCTACATAGGTGATAGAACAATACAAACACAATACAAATACAAAACAGCAAAAAGTGAAATCTTTGAATGCTCAATATTTCTACCAAAGCAAAATTTTAAGTTTATTGAAGTGTTCCTTTGAAATATTTTATAAAACATTTAATTGTAGTTATTAGGTTATCTTAACAGTACATCTTTATATACTAAGTGGGCAAAAGCGATGAATTGAGTGAGGAAATTAAGAGAATATTTTTGTGCACTCATTAAGTTTTAAACTTTTCGAACTTACAACGCGTCATGACCCCTTTTATTCTCATGTAACGATTTGGACAGCAAAATTGCAATAAAAAAGCGTGTTACAAGAAGTCACTATACAGTTTGATATCATTATTAATTCAATTATTTATTTAAATCTTAGTTAAACGCAGTGTAGGACGCCAACAGGCCCGGTGGAGTGACGATTTGCGTAAGATGACTGGCAGGAGCTGGATGCGAGAAGCCGGCGTACAATAGGAGAGCCCTATGTCCAGCAGTGGACTGCGATAGGCTGATGATGATAATGATGATGAATATTAGTTCCCAACATCAAACAAATATAAAAGTATCATACGTAACGTACTTCCATGTTCTGCTACTTTACTCAACATCTCCGGCGGCACGTACTCGAAGGGTAGTTCTTGAAATATTTCCTGACTTCCCTAAGCATAAAAATAAGAAAGCATTTATATTTGTAGTACAGTTAACTTATATTTAAGGAAACTCCAAATTGAGAATTCAGAAGAAATCTATTTATAACTTTCTAGATCTTTCTTAAAAACTTGCTAGAAATAAGTAATATGTACGTGTACAAACAAAAATCAACGTTCATTTATCTATGTAATATTGCATCTCTTAATCTCTTTTTAGTTAAAGGACTTAAAAAAGAGTTATAAATAGACGCGTAATATGTATATAACAGCAAAACATTCGCGTAATAGAATAAAAACCTTTATGACTGGTATTCATATTAAAAAGCTTTTATTTCACGATGTCTGACTAGTTTCAGACTCGACCGAAGTGATACCAGTGCTTCACATAAAACCGGTGTTCAGCAATTCTTTCGTTACTTTCCACCGAGTGAGTAAGCCGGACCAGGAGCTCAAACCTTTCCTTCCTCTGATTCTAGGTGGAGGGACTTCCCTTGTCCATGGGCGGCAGTAGTTACTTACCACCACGTGCTTCTTTTGCTCGTTTGCCCGTGAGTATTATATTCATATGTAGCTTCCAAAAAAAATTTGTAAAAAGGTAAATGTTGTTTGTAAACATTTTTTAGTGATAATCTTAAAAAAAAAGTTAGATATTAAAAATAAAAATGTTCTACCACATTCACACAACGTTGTCTAGTCCCACACTAAGCAGAGCTTATTCTATAGGTACTAGATAACTGATATAAATACACATATGTATAGTATATACTTTATTTTGTAAATACATACATATTATACATAGAAACACACGGACGAAATCAACCATGAAAATGTTCATGCACACAAATGTTTGACTTGAGCCGGAATCCAACCTGCGACCTTTGGCGTAGTGGTCCGTTACACAAACCACTACGCCATCCGGCCGTTGGTTCTGGTTAGTTACTACAAACATCAGTGAATCGAGGTTTGTTGTGTTGGCCTATCTCGGCTTGAGTTTAATGTGCGATGAATGTAACTGTAAGTATACCTTTGGAATATAATTTGCACGGACGCATATATTTCAACTGTATTAGCAACGGACGAGGTGGCCGAGTGGTTAAGGCGTTGGACTGCTAATCCAATGTGCTCTGCACGCGTGGGTTCGAATCCCATCCTCGTCGAAATCTTTTTGATGATAAGATACTACTTAAGTGATGAGCATGATCAATCCTTTTTGAATGATTGTGTTATGAATGAAACTAATTAAAAAAAAAATACAAGCATGCTTATAAAATGTAAATACTTACAAGTTTCAGGAGTAGCGAAAGAGATGTATGAAACACCTACATTCTGCCAACTATAATTTAATCCTATTTATGTATTAGTGGAATAAACGATACAGGTGATACAAAATGACTCTACTCCTATTCGATAAGCGGTAAGCGTTGCTTTTCTTTGCGTTGCATTATTTACCTGAGATACATTGCCGGAGCCGGTGAAGACGAATGTAATTGGCCCTAAGGATTTAGGCATCATGCCGAGCGACACTTCATAGCCGGCGTCCCGGATCGCTTGACGAGCCATCATTGAGTTACGGTAGTTGTGTGCTGGACCTATATGCTGATAAATAAATTAGAGTTTAATGATTTTAATTATCTATGGCAAAATGAAAATACTTTTTGAGGGAATCTTCTTTCTTATGTTTATCCGATCTCATATTTAACTAGCAGTACCCTGCCTCGCTGTAGTTCATTGTGGTTGCATTGATGAGATAAAAGGTACAAAACTGACGCGAAATATAGATGAAAACAATTTTTCAAGCAGGTTGTAGGTATATCGTGTCAAAATTTCAGCTCAAGAACTTTTTGAATTTTTGAAGCGTGCACAAACCAACTCAATATTTTTAAGATATAAAACGAACTGAATAAATCAAAATAATTCTAAGGCTTTCTAGGCTTTATTTAGAACATTATGCAATAATTCAAGAAATTTAAACCTTTTAAGAGTATATTAAATATAGATTAGATTAGAAACTATAATAAATATTACTTTTACCACCATTCATGTTGTTGTTAAACGCCCCAACGCATAATTTTTGTGATCGAATACAATTATATTAGATCATAATCTACTTACAGAGAAATATTCACTGCGGTTGTGTATTTTTATGTAGTTTTATTTTCCTGACGTACTAAACTTACACGAGTATAAGAATTGTCACAAGCAAGAAAAATATTTATGATAGTTTACATAAATAAATACAACACATAAATCGCTGTATATAACAAATACCGAATAGACTGAATATACCAATTCATTTGAGAACTTTAACGTCAATAAATTTAAGTACCTCCCTAAACCTCTAAAGTCCGAATTTATGTCACTCGTCTTTAATGAGGTGCCACTAATTTGAAATTAAGGGTGTGGTGATAACTCGATTCTTGAAATAAACCAGACTGACAATAACGCAAATCAGTGTTTTAAGGTATAAAACTTAGGTCTCCTATTATGTCCACAACACAACCACGAGTATGTGCCAGGTTTGCATTTGTTGTATTAAATGATTCTGATTCTAAATTATCTGCATAAAGGTATTAGGTACGTATGTGTTTAAAAATGGAGCAGGACTACTGCACCAAGAAAACACTACTTACTAGTCTTACTTACGTACTTAAACGCTTTCAGCGACCAGACTAGTAGCTAACCGGAATGTACATTTTTAGTATTGTTAGGGGTGTTAACATCAAGTGGTGTGACCTATTGTGGTAACCGTAACTGAAACTATCAGATATCCGAAATTAAGATCTGCGTGTCCGAAACCGTCACCGGTTGTGATTTAAAAGTATCCGATTGCTTTAAATAGGGGCGGGGACTAAATAAAACATCTTACAACAGGTTTTAATATTTTGATATGCCTGGAATAATTAAGGTGGTTTTCCTTTATCATAACTTGAACTTATTAATATTTTAATACTACTTTACGATTTTACTTTATAATTATTGGAACGAAGTACCTTCTCGCGCGTTACACGCTCTGAGCGGATGGGAGCGAGATCGAATAATGTGTAACAAGACTTTTTACCGACACTTCAGTAGGCACGTCGACGTTACATATTTTTCATTTCAATTCAATTTCATATATATAGCAAACGTTTACTTCATTCGAAAGGAACTTCATTCAAGCGGGGCTCCATAGACCCCTCAAGCCGTTTTCTTCTTTTGTGATGTTATTATGAACTACTGTTACTATCTGTGACCATCTTGTTTTACGGAAATACAGAAACGTAAAGCACCTTTCTGTATTTCCATATTTCAAATTATTAGAAATCTGGCATCTGAAACTAACTAAAAATCGAAAGTAAGAACATATCGGAATCGTATTCGTAAAAATATAAAAATAATGTACCTACAGATGCCTTAATATTCAACGCATCATTTATAGGTGTAACTTCTTTGTTACCATCTGCGTTATCAGTATTATTTCAGTCCGTGTTGGTCTACATATCATTAGTTTAAATAAAGATTACTTACGATAACAAAATATCCACGGAGAATCATTATTTTGTGTCGCATTAGTCTTACGATTATCATTGTAGGTGTTCTATTTTTACTTTTATATTTTTACTCTCAGAAGACTTTGTTACTATAGTAATATTTGTACATTCATGTCATTATTATGTACATATTTTTGAAAATAAAAAATATATTTTCAAGAAATTTAGATTTTTCTTTTACGTACTTTTCCAACACTACTATAATATGCTATATCATTTTAAAACAAAGAAATGGTACTTAAATTATATAAATTCCTAGTGTTATTGTAGTCGTTTCCTAGTATTTTATGCAGTCATTAAAGCTTAACTTTGGAAATACTTTAATATTTGTGAAAGTGTATACTTTCATTATTAGTGCCAGTTTCCTAAAACTGTAACTCATAATGAAACGAGATTTAAATAATAGCAATGAACCGAATTATTTCCAAAACTGCAATTCGATTTTGATAGTGACTTAAAGACTTTAAAGCCAAGTCGAAATGAAAACTTACCATAAAAGGTGTGTGGTGGCCTAGAGCAAGTAGTCTCAACCCAATACCGTGTAGTATATTAATCATACCAGCTACTCCCGCGTATTTACCAAACGCCACAACACGGTTTCCAGAATCGTCCATGAGCTTTTCGTAGTCTAATAATCTTATTTGCTGAAAAAACATAAGCAGCTTAACATTTTGTAAACAAATTAATGAAGTACTCATTAACACATAAAACAATTTTTTGGATTGATCCGTTTATCTTTAGAAATCTTTTGGAAATGGAGATGAATTTCCATTTAATGAGACGTACTACGTAAGTATGTATTTACGCTTTCCTTATGCTCGGGTAACAGACCGAGCCCGAACAAAAAAAAACAGCAGCAGAGCATTTAAGGAAAACGTTTTACAAAAGATAAAACGCCATCATAGGGTTATGTGGTGTACAAGGAAGGCCTATCATTTCCCCATATTTGTCCGCCTGTCTTTTATAAGTATTTTATAAGAATCTGCAGAATAGATCTTGCAAGTGTGATCCTGACAAATTCTTGTGAATTTAATTTATAACGCGTATCTAATTCATTATTGTTAATTAAGTAAGTCACAAAGATTTGCATTTGCGAATGCGTTTATTCTTTTTAACCGTGCTAGGTATAATATTATCTTATTTAACCTTGCAATCGACCTAATTTTTTCTACCTACAAAAAATAACATTTTATTATATGCTTACTTGATAAAATATTTTATGGTACAAAATAAATATGTAATAACTTTTACGCAGCAAATTAACACGTATTCATAACACAATATTGAAAATGGTGTTATCTAACAACACCATTACATTTGAAAATGCTTTGCAATTAAAAATGTTCATGGAAGAGGGAGAAAACGAGCAGATGGGTCACTTAATGGAAAGTGACTACCGCCGCCCATGAACGTCTCTAACTCAGGAGTTACACGCGCGTTTTTGAGGAAGGAGTACGCTCTTTTCTTGAAGGTCGTATGGGTCCGCAGACGACAACTTGTTTGGTAGATTGGTATATTGGATACAATAAATTATAAAATAGGTAATTAAATTAACTTGATAATTACCTTCGCCAAAATAGCGTCCAACATTGGCATATTAGCCTCTTGAGCTTTGATAGTATGGGAAAAAAAGCAATAGGTCTTGTTGGGTATAAGGAGATCGATCGGTGTTTGTTTCACGCCGAATATCACATTTGCCTCGCTAATATCTTCTTGGACAATTGCTCCTGCACTTATGTATGCCTACAAAGAAAAAAACAATATAATATCATTAATTTAACCTTTTATCTCATGGAAACTGCTCGGTATCACCTAAGGATGGAATAAAATCACAATCACATGTGACTATTGTGACTGATTTACGAAATCACTGCTACTTAATTATTATTACTACGCTAGTGCAAGACTCGCGATAGGTATAAATCTAAAAAAATGTTTGTAAAAAATTTAAGGACCATTTGTTTGATCTACAAATTGATGTTCTGAGTCTGGGTGTTCTTTGTGTCCGTTTCATGTATGTTTGTAAAACATATACATTGGATATATTCCTAATGCGGGAGCCGTTTTTTTTAAATAAAATAAAAATATCATAATTGAGAATATAACTTCTTCATTAATATTTTTTATAGTATATTAATTTGATTATTTCCTTTACGATATTACGCTCAACTTTAAAGTTACAATTAATGAAACATATTGTAAGAAAACGAGGAGTTTTTTAAGTCGTTTTAATTCGTGCGGAGTAAAGTCTCTAAAGAGATACATCGACTTCATACATACCTGCATCGGATAAGCCCTACGGTTGGATGGCTGTACAATAACTTTAACACCTTGCTTGACCAGTCGATTGACGTTGGCCGGTGAAAATGGCGCCCGTCTCTCCCATACTGATTGATCTTCTCTGCGTATTGCTATTATACGACTATTCTGCAAAATAAAACGGTTTGTAAAGCTATACAAACTTACTACGTGACCGTGTAAATCTAGTATTCCTGATGTAAAATTGAAGGATACAAATAAAATGCATATAATTATGCATACGTATTATAAAGGTTAAATTTTTTCCAAACTAAATTTGGATTCTCAAATATTAAAGAAGTTTTTTAGTAGTATAAGTACAAAAACTCCTGAAAGCAGTTAAGGCGGGACAAAATAGTATCGTAATGCAATTAAAGAATACAAAATTCTGAATAGTGAAATGTTAAAAAAAGAAGGTAATTGTGGATATGGTAACCCAAACTGCGAAACAACAAAAATCTTGGATTTTCAACAAAAATTAACAATTATATAAAAAAATGTATAAAGTTATTTAGGATTTGGAAGATCTTTTCATTATTCATCATTGACATCCAATTTGTTTTATCGAATAAAAAGAAGATAAAAACAGAGTTTGACGTTTGTTTTGTTTAACTTCAGAGATAAGTGGAACGCGAACAATATCTGATTTGCTAATTATAGATATAGGTCAAATTGTGTAATATTATTGTAGTTGTATTAAGTTAGTAATTTATATTAAGTTGTATGCTGTGTTTTCTTACAGAATAAAGTTTATTTTATTTATTATTATATTTATTTTTGTAAATTATTAGTTGTATTAAGTATAATTAAAGTTAATATTAAATGAAGTATCAAAGTGTAAGTAGTGGTCTTGTGAACAACTCATTGACATTATAAAGGGGCAGACCCTGAACGTCTAACTTGTAAGTGAATTTCATTGTAAGTATAATCATGGTGAATGGAACGTAAATGTGACCTTGACCGCCTGTGATACTGTAGCACCGATAAACATAAAAATTCGCACCCGAATGAGTTCCAAGAGCTCCCCGCGCGGACCGCAAGCAAAAGCTACCAAAACTTATACCATGGCGAGGGTCTCATAATGGATCTAGAATTCTGATTTACAGAAAAAGAAAAAATACCTAAATATACTGAGGGGGCCGTTATTAAAGTTTACATTTTTTTATGTTTGAACCTTCATTCATACTTATTTATATCATTTCATTGAAATATTACCCAATTGTTAATTATATATAAACATACTAATCATATTTAATTACATAGGTTTATGTGTATTTCTAATTACAACGATCTTGGTGCCTGGCACTCCCAAATGATAAGGAGATGTCAACATGTTTAAGGTAACAAACATTGATAATAATGAAGTTATGTTTGTGACACAACACCCATTCGTAAAAATATTCCATAATAAAGGAAGTATTATCTAAAAGAAGGGCTCTGATACAGATGCACAGAAACTTTCCATAAAGTTATCATCAATGTTTTAGAGCATAACAAAGGTTACAAATAAGTAGTCAGTAAACGGAAACGCAATGTCTATATTTTAATTTGCGGCTTCATTACAATTTTACTACTTATTTTTAATTTTATCAATAAATAAGCTAATACAGTATCAAGCTTAACGGATCAACCTATATAACACAAGATAATTTAATAATATATGTTGTGTATTTTCAAGTAAGCAATCCAAGTATTTTTTTTTAATTCTTACAATCCATGGAACGATTATTTAAGTAGAATGATCCAAATCATTTGTACGACGACGTATCTGGATATTAATGACGTAAATTTATTGTATTCAACATTTTCACCAATCTTATCAAATAATTCTTCCATGAAAATTATACGCGGACTACGCCTATTTTTTATCGTATCATTAAGAGCACTATCTTATACATATATTGTACAATTATTATTATTCGTAAACAGAGCATAGGTGTACCTATCGGGCATTATGAAAATAAACGTTGTTATCAGTTGTTGCCTAGAAATTTAAATAACTCGACAGCTGTAACTGCGATCAAATAGCTCATTGGGTAGTTTTATATAGGTTACCTATCTCAAATTTCTCCTTTAACTATAAATAGTAGTAAAGAGCTAAGTTGATACATCTACATACTAGATAAATACCTAAATTAATCTTAAAATTATAAAAAAACAATTGACAATGTTATCAAAATTATGTTAATAAAAAAATCCGACAACGTGTACGGAACATCAGAACAAAAACTTTTGTGAGTTTTATATCTACTAAAGATATAAGATTTTTCTCATGTGTGTATATCCGGGATACTAAACTATTTTCGGATCTAACAAGAGTCTATAACACATAATGAAGCGTCCTGATATCGCCGTGGTACAAGTACGCGCGCGCGGCGGTATTCGGCCATCCTCGAAATATTAAATAAAGTGATTCCAATTGTATATCTTTCAATCACAAACCATGTGGTGACCGATTAAGAATACGGAGTATTATCACCCCTATTCATCCCGTGAGTGTCGTAAGAGCCGACTAAGGCAGCAAACTACGTAGGATAATAGCACTGCAAAGAGAAGGAAAACTTGACACAAACCCTACAGCAACCCGTTTGGCCAGTGGCCAACGTGGTTTATTAGTATTAGTTGTGGGCTCCGATTTACGCATTTAGACTCCAGAGTTGTCCTTTATGCGTCTAGGAGAGGTTGGCTAGGTGAGCCAACCAAGCTCCTTCTAGAAGCGCAGAAGCCTTCTGGGACGTTAACAGGCTTCTAGGAGAGATTTTGTACCAGATATGATACTTGCCCGTTGTGTGGCCACTTCCTCGCATACTAGGATTACGTGGACGGCCTTTTCTTCTGCTTTCAGGCATTGCGTAAGTGCAAAGAGGACTGTCCATCGCATTAATGGCGAATAGTTGTCAGTTCAGGGCTAGGTGTCCTGTTATGGTTCCTACAACTATTCGGATATCTAGTCTGCTAAGACTAATCAGTCTGCAAGTGAGTCGTGATGAGACTTCAGTCAGCACGAGTTTGGACTGTCTGCAGCCGGGTGAGTTTTTCCAGCTTCGGTAGTGCGCTTTACGAGTACGCTGTCTAGCCCAGGATCGAAGTTGATTAAAAAGTAGTGGCAGGAGTGTGGTTGGGTCGGTGGCCCGGGTTGCTGACCCTCCTTGCCAGGTTATTTGCAGTTTCATTCCCGTGTGAATTACTGTGCCCTTTAATCCATTGGAGCAGCACCACATTTGTTGTGGCAAGCTGTTTTTAGGGAGAGGACTATAAGAGGCTGTTGATGTGACAATTGTTTATATTTAATAAAGATCTCTGTGCTCTACTTTGGTAAGGCCGACTGGCTCTATGGACCATAAAGCCCAATGCGTTTACCACCATGGCACCTAGTGCAGTTAATGCAGCCTAGTTTAGATGTATAGTAGTATGTACAAAATGGACATCTCAAAGTATTTCTTAATAAAATATACTTACCTACTGAATACCTAACAATCACACTTTAAATTCATTAGTCCTGATAGCTATTTTGCAAATCGAAAAAATAAACGGTGTTTTTATATTTTACTAGCTGACCCGGCGAACTCTGTTCCGCCTTAAAGGCAATAAATAAGCCTATTTTCGAATTTAGTAAGTTTTTTTTTCTTAGAAAAAAAATTAAGTACATTAATCATTTATTTGCTTCCGTCTTTAAAAATTATTCGATGAAGCATTCCAAGTATAATAACGTGGCATCTCCGAGTAAAGCAAAGTTCGTGCAAAAATGTTTTTTTTTTTTTTCATAATAAATAGTATCCTATGTCCGTCTCCTGGCTCTAAGCTACCTCCTCACCAATTTTCAGCCATATCGGTAAAGCCGTTCTTGAGTTATAAATAGTGTAACTAACACGACTTTCTTTTATATATATAGATAAACTTAAACGTTCTTTATTTATACGAGTAAAGCGATAAAAACTTTTTGCTTAATGATAGCATGCGATATTAACAAAACCGAATGCCTCAAACGAAGTTTAAATTAAATATTTTTTTATTATATTTATTTTTTTATTTTTTCATAGAGTAAAATTAGTAATAGTACTCACCTTAGTAGTAGAATAGTAAACTAATTGCTTTAAATAATGACTCCTCAATCGGAGAAACGCTGATTTGTGTAACATTTTAAAACAATAAATCACAACCAACCAGTACGAAACCTAATAAAAATAATTGATCCACAAGAAAACTGTTCTGCATCCGTCGAGACGTGTCAGTAATCTATTTTATATAGCGGACAAAATAACGAGGTTCCTTTGAGAAAACATTACAATCGGTGTGACGTTTGATAAAACGAGAGATACTGATGCTAGATGTTATGTATTTATATTACATTACGTACTGACAATCATTATTGTTTTTGTTAATTATTTATTACACATCAGCCTTCCTATTTGTTAGTTGGGCGCAAACCACTGATAACTAATGATCGTTTTTGTTTATTTTACCAGCAGGATAATTTAATAAAAGATAATATGAAATATAGCCATGTAGGTATTTTATATTGTATAGTGAACCTCATGCATGATGTCGTTCAGATGTATTCTTGTTTTGAAGCCGATAAACTGAAGTTTAGTGGTCCAATAAAGCTCGTTAGAGAGAGAGAGAGAGAGTGAGAGCTTACATGAATGAAACCATAGCTATTTAATATTTAAGATATTGATGGATGTCCGAACTTATAACCACACCTTAGTCCACCACCACCATTCAGGCATCGTTTTCAAAAGAACGTCAAATCTTCTGATTTTTAAAATTAACAATTATTATAAACACATTATTAACAAATTATTATAAACACGGTTAAGCACAAATCGCTTGCAAACCAAGTTGTAACCATGTACAATTGTCATGCGAAGACTTGTTACAACTTGAAAAAATAAACAAAAACACTTCATTTTATAATCCTTAACATCTATATGAGTGAATAAAATAAGTTTTTGAAAAAAGAAGTTTAATGATAAAAGCAATAAACACCTGCCTGTAATTTTATAGCAACATGTTAATTTACATTTTTTTAACATACATTTTTAAATATTCTTTTACAAGAAGTAAACATTTTATTAATTTTTACTTCAACAATATCTAAAAAGTTCTTCAAAATCTACAGCAACATCTTCATGAACATCATGCATTGGTCAGGCTGTTCAAGACTACGAAGGAGTGCATGCCAAATGATGACTAAAGAGTTGAACGAACATTCGACCAGCTAGTACACATGATCATCATCATCAACAGCCTTTAATAGTCCACTGCTGGACATAAGCCTCTCCTGAGAAAGGAGGTTTTGGCCTACTATACCACGCTGGCCAGACGGGTTGGTAAAGGGTTTGTGTCAAGTTTTCCTTCTCTCTGCAGTGCTGTTGTCCTGCTTAGTTTTTTCCCTTAGTCGGCTCTTACGACACCCACGTACACATGATACGTACTTGGAAATACTCTGTTTTAGTTGTACTATAGCTGTAAGCTCCCCAAATAAAACAAAATTAAGTTACTCCTTATATAGTCAGCTAAAGTAAAATCAAAAACAGTAAAATCTTATCAGGATCGGCCAGCCTTTGCGAAGGTTAGCCGGAACCAACCAACAGACAGATGGATAAAAAAATTAAAAACTGATTTTTAGACATAGGTACCGTGCGTACTAATAACTGTATATACTTACTGAAAAAAACTATTTTTAAATTGTTATTATCTGAATTCTGGTTCTAACTATTACAATTCTTTGAGAATGTTCACTAAATCCTAAGCACATTTTCAAAGAGTTAGGCCCTAACACTACACGAACACTTTGACATTACAAAGAGACACTTCAATTTTATTTATTTGGTGTTGATACAATTAAATACAAGTATTTGTAAGAAAAGACTAAGCCAGTCGTTTAAAAATAGTTCATGTTGGTTCATAAATATGAGACAAAAACGTTTGTTCTTATAACTACATACCTACTAGAGTAGGAACAAACGCGTAAAACAAAACTATTTAAAAAAAAATAAAAACTACAGAAACAATATCATAACGTGGTATAGGCGTTTTTTAATGTGGTTCCATGGCAAGTTTGAATGTTACATTTCCCGTGGTTGCAGCCTGTTTTTAATCTGTTTTCCTATGATAACTGAAACACTCAGTCGCACTTCCAACCTTATGCTACTAAGCCCATCCTGACCTTCTGCGGGTACCAAGTGGTTGATACCTGCGCCGGCAGGGAGGAAGTAAGGAATTTTCGAATATACAGGTGAAGACGGGCGTCAGGAAAAGGGCATCCCTCGTGCACAGACTGCAGCAGATTCTAACGTACTTTTCTGGGTAGTCGCCTAATCTTGCCATCCCTTGCTTTCTTGTTGGTAGTACGCGAATGAAGAGAACGAAAATATATTATGGCTATCGATATTCATTTTGCTCACTGATTAGTGTTCTACCAAGTGTTGTTCAAGCTTGTGACATCTCCATAATTGAGGTTAAAACTTAGCAAGTCCCTAAAGCTCCTAAAAGGCCTTGTTATTTCTTAGTCCGCTGGGCCGGATACAGGGTACTTTTTTGATATCACAGACCAACAAAATTCGACAAAGTTTCTTTCTTTCACAAATATAAATATGACCGCGGCCTTAAAAGGACCTTCAAATTAAGATCATAGTTTACCCATTCATAATCTAAGATCTCAGCTGAATAGCCTGGTAAAACCCTAAATCTTGTAGCTTGTTTCTTGGGTGAAGAAGAATAAGCCCTTGACTCTTGACATAACCTTCAAGCGAATTATTCTGCTGATTCGGTAGTTTTCTAGCACCCGGTATGTAAACCTTAAAACGACCCAAGCTTTCATATCCACCGAACCTTGCCCACCTCGAGTTCGATCGAGTAAACCTTCAACTGAACTACAAGCCTCTAAACTAAGCAAACCCTGTTCACTCACTTTTCTCTCACTCATTCACTCACTCACGTTCGCAAACTCAAAGTCTGTTCACGATGTATGTTAGCTCAATAACCATTGCGAAACCATAGCGAAATTCATTCGAAATTATATTGAAGTTCAAAAAATAACTACACCTGTTTTCGATAGATGGCGTTGTTTCTCTTTCCTGAATCGCGCTATGGTTGGGTTACTGTTTTACCTGTATAAGACCGATGTGATAGTTTATGTTCGATTGAAGTTAATTGAAATACATTACCTTAGTTCAAGTTACAGTTTGGTTTTATTATACGAACCTACTAGTAGCTCCACCCGCGGAGATCAGCTAGATTTAGTTCCAAAGCAACGCGAACTAAATCATTGGTCCTTCTGAGCCGCACGTGCTCCTTAGGCTTTTTTTCTAGTTCAACGGTCTTGTTAGACCGTCCCTCAGTACTCGCAGTGGATCGCTGCGTAAACAGAGTACGAGGTCGAGTTTTGAGACGCTCCATAGAGGGCGATCTCCACCAAGCTACGACCGAGGTGCGAGTTTACGGCGAAGACAAGCAGCAAGCAGTACACAGTGGCTGGACAATTGGTTGATGACCAAATCAGACGCAGAGAGCTTACATCAAAGGCCTACAGAGGGCGCCACCGGTATCAACAATACATGTTAAGTAATTGTGAAGTGCAACTGTGAGTACAATTCACGTCATTAATAGTGGTTAATGATCAAGCAAATTTAAACTTTATATCTGAAAACATTTTAACTTAGTATTATTTTAATATCTGAAGGTCTCAACAATTTTATATCAAGAGAGAGGACTTTGAATTATTATGTACTATATTTTAAACTTATTTGTAAGAATTGCATGTTAGTTTTAGGACTTAGTATAATTTATAAAAAACGGGGGCACGGGGAATCCATGCCGGATCTTCGCCGATAGTAAAACATTTTATTCCCAAACACTTGTAAAATTTTAAGATTTTTACCCTTTCCTGACTGTTTGCTACTCCACAGTTGGAGTATATAGCTAATCTATTAGCAATCAGAACTGATAACTTGTTTATATTTGTTTATTTTTACTCTGTGTTTAACATGGAAGGTCTACTTAATGTTCTAAAAGACCTGCAAAAGGTAATAGATAGGGGTTTTATTAATTTTAAAAAGAGTCCCAAAGACAGACTAACGCTTGAATTTATAGAAATTAAACAAGAATTGTTACAAAAGAATTGGGACCTCTTTAAAGAAAATTACACTAAAATGAGAGAAAAATATTCGGTTCAAGAGGATGTGCTTATAGAAATATATGATAGTACAGAGGACACCTATGTTTCTCATAAAAGTTTAATGAAATCTTTGTTAAAGAAATTTGCTTATGAAAAACAAGCTGATACATGTCATGATAAGAGTGGTGCATCCAAAACGAATCTCGCAAAATTACCGAAAATTACAATACCTAATTTTAGCGGTAAATATGGCGAATGGACAACATTTCGGGATTTGTTCACGTCACTTGTGCATAATAACTCGAGCTTGGACAATGTACAAAAGATGCACTATTTAAAGAGTCACCTCATCGGTGAAGCCGAACAATTGGTGAGGCACACACCAGTGAGCGATTCAAACTATGTTCAGTGCTGGTCACAGTTAGAGAAACGGTACAGTAATAAAAAATACTTGGTCAATTGCATTCTGAAACGTTTCTTTGCCCAAAAACGTATGCACGTTGAATCAGCGACTTCATTAAAAGAAATGCTCGACACGACGAATGATTGTCTCAGTGCACTGGCAAACTTAGACGTCAATGTGACCACTTGGGACGTCATTATTATACATATCGTGACCTTTAAGCTCGATTCTGAGACACGCAAGCAGTGGGAATTACATGTAAGTGGGAATGACTCGAACGAATTGCCCACCTTTAAACAATTCTCTAGTTTTATTGAAACTCGTTTTCGCGCGCTAGAGTGCATAGAACCGAAAAGGGTTATGGCTCCACAGGTCAACACGTCATACACTTCAAAGGCATTAGTAGCCGTGAGTTCAAGCCATGTACGATGTGAATACTGTTCTGAAAACCACAAACTTTGTTACTGTAAGAAATTCGCCAAACAACCTGTCAATAACAGGCGCGAATTCGTAGCAAAACATAAAATATGTTTTAATTGCATGGGCAGTAATCACCTGGTTTCAAATTGCAAAAAGCAAACCACTTGCAAACTGTGCAACAAACGACACCATTC